CATCGCCTTGCTCGTGCTCTTTGGTGTTCTGGGCATTGCCTTTCTATTCTTCGAGCATTGGAAAGGAGCCGATGCTTCTTTCCCTTTTCGCATGATAACGAGAAGAAATATGGCTGCTGCTGCATGGAATGGATTTCTGAATGGCGGCGCATTCCCTCTTCTAGTGTATTACATTCCTTTGTGGCATCAAGTCATCAAAGAGGTAGACGCTGTCCAGTCTGGTATCCGACTTCTTCCTCTCATCCTTGCAGTGGTCGTTTGTGCTCTGCTTGCAGGAGCTTTGGTCAGCAAATTTGGGTATTGTAAGTGGGAGGTGTCAGATTTGGCTTGATCTAGCATGTGGACTAACTCGCAACGCAGATAATATCTTCATGATCCTGGGATCAATTATTCTCCCAGTTGGAGAGGGCCTACTGACTACATGGAACGTCGACACGCCATTTTCTCAATGGGTTGGCTACCAAGCCATGGTAGGAATCGGCATCGGTTTCGGCCAGCAGCAACCCATGATCGCCATCCAGACTCTTTTGCCTCGACACGAAATCCCATCGGGCACAGCCGTCATACAGCTTTTGCAGACACTTAGTGGTGCCATCTTCATCTCGGTCGGCCAGTCCGTCCTCCAAAATGAGCTGCTGCGTAACCTGAAGGCTGCTCTTCCTGATGCGAGCTTCGATGCTTCGGTCCTGACCACAGTCGGTGCGACCCAAGTGCGGAATCTGGTTCCACCGGAGGACCTTCCGGCCGTGCTGGAAGCCTACAACGATGCTCTGACCAGGACATACCTTGTGGCTGTTGTTGTATCCTCTTTGACTATATTCGGAAGTCTGGCAATGGAGTGGAAGAATGTAGTCAAGCCGAAGGCCCAGGAAAAACCCAAAGACGTCGAGGCCGCCAAGGACGAGAACGACGCCAAGGATGTCGAGGAGGTTAAGGAAGCTCAAGAAGTCAAAGAAGATAAGGAGTCGGCATGAGAGGGAGGGGGGAAACGTTCTGTCGGCTAACTAATGACCTTTCTAGGTCTGGAGAGTATTGAGTGGTCAAATTCGGGTGTTTTCAAGCCGATTCGCATTCACCCAAGTATTGATAGATGAGAATAAAAAACGAGATAGAGAGTCCCAGTTGCTATTACGGGGCCGGGGGTAATTTTATCCACTTTGACATCGCATTGGAATGTTATACTTGATTTGTTTCAGCCTTGGGCTAGCAAAGACTTTCAACCTTTCGTATTCATTGTGTTGAGATGTTGGGTCTGGCGTCTTCTATTGTGGTTTTTAGCTTTTCATTCGAACTCTCCCATATCCTTGATAAGTTTTGAGGTGTGTGAGGATCTTGACATTCGATTTATGTTGACTCCAGTAACAGCCACTGGTTCCTTTTACTAGGAATGTCATCGTGACACTTTTGAAACGTCGGTGCAAGGATCGCACTTTACTTCCTTTCCAGTCTACATATTTATCACGTTCATTGGTGAGAATAGGGGCGTCTGCTTACATGTCAGATTTTGGGTTGACTTCTACGCGGTGAGCACTGTCGTTCGCTCGGAGACATTTTGAGTTTCCCATCACGAAAAAGTGCCCGAGCTTACATAAAAATGTGTCCGATTCCAGTATTTCGGTGTGATAATGCAAATCGCATCACACCAAGCACTCTTATTCCACCATGACTTCCGAAGCCCAAATAGATAGTTTCCAAAAAGCGAATCCCGAGGTAACACTCCTCACTCCCACTTCACCAGAATGGAAGGATCGTCGAGCTACTCGAGGACACGCTGGGCAAGAGAAAAAGCCTTTGGGTATCGCAATACCTACTAATGCTCAGCAAGTGGCTGGTATTGTCCGCTGGGCGGTCAAGAATGAAGTCGATTTCACAGTTCGCACTGGCGGTAACGATTTCTATGGCAGAAATGCAGCAGATGGTGCCCTAATTATTGATATGCGAGATATCAAATTCATCAATGTGGCAGATGATAAAACAACGGCCACGCTTGGCGGCGGTGTCATTGCAAAGGACATGCTGCTCAAGTTTGATGAGCACAATCTCACCGCTCCCCTTGGAAACTCCCTAGAAATTGGCTACGTGGGGTGGTCAACGATTGGCGGTTATGGACCATTCACTGGAGCCTTGGGGATGGGCTTTGAAGGAATTGTCGGGGCGGAGATTGTCAATCACGAGGGAGAGATTGTTAAAGCCACCGATGAAATGCTAGAAGGTTTGCGAGGCATGGGTGGCAACCTCGGCATTGTCACATCATTGACAATCAAGGTCTACCCAAAGAGAGAGGTAAGCAGCCATGCATTCGTCATCTTCGTTCCTGTTATTGTGCTAACCAGGTGTAGATCTTCATTGGAATGCTAATCTTTGATGACAGCCCGGAAACAATTAAAGCCATTGTTTCCGCGGAGGAGAAGCTCACTTTACCCAAGGATCTAAACATCCATCACTTCCTTATCCAAATGCCGCAGCAGCGAACGTTTTCTATCGTGTTCAGTTGGGGTGGTTCAGACATCGAGGAAGGCAAAAAGTATCTGGAGACATTCACGGCAGCCTTGCCACCGGTTAAGATGAATACTGTTCAGCAGAAGTCTCTCCTGGGGCATTATGAGAGCTTGCAAATACCATGTCTGCCATATGGCGGCCAAAGGTCGATATACATCAAGGAGCTCTCTTCCGGTATATTCGACACCCTAATGGAGGCTCTCAAGATTAAGCCTGAATTTGCCAACATTGGCTGGTCGATGAAAACTGTCATCGACCATGAAGCAATAGTGCCAAATTGCTTTGGTGCGGGCTCTCACATTCTGCTCTCGTTCACGGATATGGTACCCGAGGAGAAATATCTTGCCGAGGCAAGGAAGTGGAACGACTGGTTGTATGACAAAATTCGCTCTTCCGGGGATCCCGCTGTCATGGAGGGGTCCTATCCCGCCCTGACGAGGCCAGAAGACAGGACTGCTGAGCAGTTATTTGGGGATAAATGGCCCCGAGCCAAGGAGCTGAAGGCGAAATTTGATCCTCAAAACGTTTTCAAACATGCCTTCCCAAAATTCTAGACTGGAAAACTGGGACGAATGTAGGCTTTTGCTGTGAAGCATACAAATGATACAATACATTTAAGTCACTCGGACCGCAGTTTTTATAGAAAGATTCTTAGTACGAAGATTTCAAATGATCTGTTGGGAGTTTCGATTACTTTGAACTAGCAGAGAGAGATAGAACCCTGGTTCTAAATCCTTTTGCTGAGTGATGCCTGTATTTTCAATAATCATTTGTATCCACGGTCCAGGCTAATAATAGGTTGAGTCCATTCTGTTTTTAGTGTAAAAGCTCAACTGTTATAATGAAAGACCACCAGTTTGCAATCTGCATTTGGGAACTGCTGCCTGTGATTTAATTTGCTTCAGATGAAATTACAGATTGCAGATCCTGAAGTTCGGATATCCAGGCATCAGCAAAACCCCCCGGTCCCCATAACTACAACCGTAATGCTATGTATAAGTATCCGATTATCCCTAAACTTGTTGTTGATTCAAAGGATATGCTTTTTCCAACAATTCATTATTCACTTTCGCTTGCTGATCTCAAGTTTTGCATCATGTTTTGGGTCATCTGTGTTGCTATAGCTGCAACAGCTACTGCCAGAAGCTGTGGTAGAATGGTAACAATGGAAAACCTGGTCACCTTTGGAGATAGTATCACGGATGACGGCCGCATAGCGTATTTTCAAGAGCATATACAATTCCCCCCTCCAGGAACTATTGTCCCGATAGCCCAAGAGGCGGCTACTGGTGGCGCAACTTGGGGTCGTCTTGTTGCGAATGTCACCGGAGCCAACTACAACAACTATGCGTTCTCTGGCGCTACATGTTCCAAGGACATTGTTGAGAGATACGTACCTGGACTCGGAATTGCCTTTCCTACAATATTAGAACAGGAGGTTCCGGCATTCGAGGCAGATCTTGGATTCGACATCCTTTATCCTAACCGAGAGGCCGACAATACCGTCTACGCAATCATGATCGGAGCCAATGATCTTGGAATATCAGGCTATCTTTCAGACTCACAGGCCCCTTGGTCAACAATCCAGAGTTTCGTCGATTGTGCTTGGAACGTTCTCGACAAACTGTATGCCTCGGGTGGACGGTTTTTCGTTGTTATGAATGTCATACCACTGGAGATAACGCCTCTATACAAATCTGTGGACAAAGGAGGGCTAGAATTCAGCACGCTATTTCCAACCAAGCCTGGTACTAATACCACACTTTACGAACAGCGAATTTTTCAGTCAACGTCAAGCGCCAACGATCTCTTTAGCATTGGAGGACCATTCCATCTGAAACTCAAGAACCGCTGGCCTGGGGCTACATTGGCAAATTTCGATACAAACCGACTTTTGAAGGATATTCATGCAAACCCGGAGAGGTTTTTCGGACCTCAGGCCAACGTCGATGGGGTCTACCAGTTCTGCCGGTCCTCCGATGTTGCCAGCTGCACCAGGGCTTCAGAGCCTAAATCTAACTTCATGTGGTTTGATGAGCTCCATCCTTCAGAACGTACCTGTAAGTCAAGCAGCGACCCCCGACAATATGATCATAAACCTGACAGATGCTTGCCATAGCCGAGATCATTGCTCAAAGCTTCATTGATACTATCCAAGGTAACTCGTCTTATGCCACTTACTGGCGGTAATTCAAGGCACCTAATTGTTGACAAGAGATCGCCGATTTGGGGAGAACGTTTTTCCTCTAAGCCTGACAAACATTATATGACATCTCCCAAATCCAATTATAATACAACACGGTCAACATTCAAATATCTTTGCGCCCTAATTGCCCATAATTGCCCATCCTTTGTAAATACCGGTAACTGTCATCCAAAATCCGCCGTGTCCACCAATAGGAGATTCCATCTTGATTATTCCATATCACATACCTTCACCTTCCATCTTTGACCGTTCCTGTCTTGGAACTGTCTGTCCTTTTTCATCACCCTCCCCGAAGCTACTCTGGAGGAATTTCCTCTGTGTATGCGAGGTCTCAGATGCTCTCTTCTTGGAAATCTCAAACGTTGTAGCAAAGAAGCTAAAATACCACCATCTTTCTTCGCCTCTTCTGTATTAATCGATCGTTTGAGTGTGTATTTTCGAAACTCGTCGAAATCGGTCCAGACTTTCACCCTCTTGCCTGTTCTTCGGGTATCGATTAAGTCGACGATGTTTACAAGCGTTTTCTTGAGGTGTTTTTGGCATTCTTCGATCGTGTTGTGTGTGGGGATGCCCACTTCTTCACACAAGGCTTGATAGCCAGCCAGCTTCGCCTCTTCGGTGAGGGGGAGATCTTCAAGATCCTCCTGCCCTTCTTCGATGTTTTGCGACGCGGAGAAGTAATGTAGCTTCAATTCGGATCGTAAGGCGATCGTGCGTTGCTTTTGGAACTCGGAAGTCCCATCAGCCCAATCTTGGGAGGATGCAAGGCGGGCAAACTCGTCTTCGAAAGACGCGCTGCTATCGGGAACGAAGTTGTCGAATTTCTCAAAATGAGATTGGGATGACGGCGGCGGCATTTGGGATGAGGGAGGGGGCACTTGAGATGAGGGAGGGGGCATTTGGTCCATGTTTGCTGTCGTCGGTCTGGTAGTATCGGGATATGTGGGAGGTGAGGTTGGCGAGCGTAACGTGTGCCAGACGCGTCGCGGGGTAATAGTAAAGGCGTGCATATTATTTACAGCTGTCCAAGAGTGGCGAGGATCTGACCCTGCTCATCTTTTGTGCAGACACGAGATGTGTTATGCATAACAACGTACATATGTCACCAACCCCTGCCATTGGCTGGTCCAACTGGCATTGGGACTTTCCTCCCAACGCCATTTGCAACAGCGGAATAGATTAATGTATGTAATCTTTAAGAGACAAGAAACACCAACTTTAGCCCTTGGCTTGTTCATCAAGCTCCATTACCTGCACCCACATATTCGAAATCACGAATAGTCCCATGTAGTTCCTCGCTTTCCACGGCTTCGTCGGATCAATGAGAGCAATGTCGAAATTGCTGACAATCTATGTCGGATTACATCATATATTAACTTGAATTCAGAGCGCGACGATCGAAGCGTCCACATACCTCAAATAAAAGCTTTCCTAGTTCCATCTGCGCGACGACCTTTCCTAGACACTGAAACCTACCATGCCCAAAGATCAAATCATTCGTGCGGAGCATGGCGGCTAATTTAGCTGTATCACTTTCAAACCAACGTTCAGGCCGAAAACACTTTGCATCAGTGCCGTAAATCTCTTCATTACGGTGCATTCCGTGGGCTGAGTATCCAATGCTGACACCCCCTGGAAGATGTACTTCCTCGCCGCTCTCGACCTCGACCGTGTCTCCTCCTCGAGGAACATCACGGGAGAAAAGAACTGCTACTGGGGGCCAGACTCTCAAGGTTTCGCGGACAACGGCCTGCAAATACGGAAGTCGTTTGGCTTGGTTGGAGGTGATGATGCCCTCGCCAGCTTTTGGTACGATACTGCCACGCACTGCCTCATTGGCCTCTTTTTGAAGTTTCTTATAGACTCGTGTGTTTGTTATGATGTGGAGAAGAGCACTGCGCAGGCCTGCTGAAGTGGTGTCAGAGCCCGCAATGAACTGTTCAACAGACTCTATGCGAAGCTCCTGGCCCTTGAGGCCATGCCGTATGAAAGAGGCCAACATGTCAGATCTCTTGTCGTTCGGTGCCGCTAGCCGCTTATCCACATGGCTGAAGCACATGTCCATTATTCTACCGATACCACGTTTGTCCGTCCGTGCTGGGGAGATGAATGCGCCAATGATGGGCGCGTGAGCAAGCCAACTTAAGCCCAGGGCAAGAGAAGCGTTGAACATCTTCATGCCCTCATGACTCGACTTGAGGTAATCGTCGACATCAACGTCTGTCCTAAGCAGTCCGAACGTGTTGCCATGCCCGATACTACTTATGACATCAAGGGTGAAGTAATGAACCTTCTGAGCTAGGTCTACGGGCACGATAGCCTCTTGAGTGGATAGGTATTTAGACCGAAGAAGGTCTACGAGCTCCTGGACCTGTTCGTCGATTGGTATCTCCATCTCCAAGTTCTCTCGGCCAGAATACTGAGGGCCAACTGATGTTAGCTATGCATAATACAATGTTGTCATCAAAGGTAAAGAAGCGTACCCCAGCCACCATTTGTTTCCTCTTTCTGCTATGAATTTCTTCATCTGTGCAGGAGAATACATTGTCCTGGCGGTACCCGATTCTGCAAGCCTGGTAGAACCAAGGAGATCGTCGATACCCGGGATGGGTATTGATATGAGCCCAGACTTTGGGGGACGAAGTGACTAGTAAGTTGGGTGCGACTCGCACAATTGGACCTGGGATAGAAGCGAGCGCATTAGTTGACGAGCGTCCTTGAACTATGAAGGGCTTGAAGCACCCCCACTCACCATGTTTTTGATTCGCTTCTTCATACCATTCATGGCATCTTTCACTCAATATGGCTAGGCAATGTGGCCAGCCTGATATTCCTGTGAGCCATGGACCTTTCACTTTTCGCAACCTATAATATACTACCCAGGTTTGGATAATGTATAACCCAAATGAAACAACAGCGAGCGCCAACCAGTGCGCGTGAAGCACGGTGAGAATACCCATCTTGGTGAGATCGATCATAAGACTGGCAAATTTGCTTACAGAGAGTGGTCATGCGATTCACTGGCGGGTGTCTTTCTCTTTAAGTGCTTCATGCCACCTGGTCAAGCCACTCGGGCAGGAGGGGTAGTAAGCTCATGCATCTACGGCGAGTCCAATCAAATGTTGCAGATAACCAAGTCCTTGCGTTGTAATTGCTTGTTATATATCGGGCCCCTCACTGTGTTGTCTTTTATTGTGTTAAAGGTTTAAAAGCTTTTTTTTTTATTAAGGCTATCCTCTGCCGAACCCTGATTTCTTCTACATCCTTTCCTCCCTTCTGGTGCTATCGCAGGCAGCCCTACTTATTCTTCTTGTTAACAGTATTCTGCTTGAATAACCCTGCCTTAGTCACGAGGAATTAGAACTATTCTAATCCCTTGCTTCTTAATACCGAGATAACCTTAGTATCGAGTTCATCCTCAGGTATACGCCTAAGGATATCTTGGCCGAAATTATATATAGCCTTAACCTGCTCTGCAGAGAGGTTATTAAGATTATCTTGATTAAGTTTACTAATCTCAATAGCCTTCATAAAACCTGCAAGCTTCGGATTACTGATATCAGGCTTAGGCTTTATTATATTACACCAGGTAATCTTATTACCTTTAAGAGAAGGTACTAAGATCCCGTTCTTTATTATAATCTTAACTATTAGGATAAACAGCGAAGGCTGCGGGCGTATTAGTATTAGTACTCTGGCCAAGGGGCTACTGATACTCACTAGGTTAGCTGCTGAAAAGATTCACGCTCGGTTAAAGTATATGGATTAGCATAATATAAGATAAACGAAGGAAGCCAGGTAAAGAGGGCAGCTTTAGTAGTTATTCGACGCGCAGCTCGTCCTAACGGTAAGCGAGTTATCAGTATAAAGGTTTACAGAATTTTCTGCTGTATAACTACAGCCTTAGGCTAGCAAAGCTTTTTTTAACCTTTCGTATTCATTGTGTTGAGTTATTAGGTCTGACTTCTTCTTTTGTTTTAACTTTCTATCAAAACTCTCTCCGGTATACATCGGGCATTGCTCAATATCTTGGCAGAGCTTGACGAGTTCTCAGCATCCTATAGGCTCGTGCTAGGTGGGATTGGGCAACTGAGTGCTCCCTAAGGATAGGTTGCTTCAATGGACAAATAGACTTGCCTTTCCTCAATCTACTTGATACCAGGTCTTCAGCCATTCGTCAAAAGTGTTCGGTGCCTATATTTGATTTAGAGATCTCCTTTTCGCGCCATGATATACGTAAATTGAATCCGTTTGCGGGCGCATATCTGCGTTTGTTTTCATAGTGATGCAATTTCATAATTTGGCCTGGGGCAGACAAGTCAACGAGAAGGTACTTCTGCTAATTACATACGTCGGCTTATTGCAAGAAGTTGACCCAGAGAGTATACCCCTCACTCATGCTACTTCTGTTCAGCTTTCACGCCTAATATCTTGTACGAAATTGCAAGGACGACTTTATATCAGGCTTCACCGCTCATGTTTGCTGCTAACAATTTCAAATACATGTCCCAGAGAACTAAGATCAACCCATTTTGAGTCCGAGGGCTACACATTCAACTCAAGTTCATGGATGTCGCAGGCCGAGAAGGTCTAAGAAGGGGCCATCATTCACCGCAACGAGATATGCCACCTCTTCTTTGGATTCATTGAAATGCTGAATCTTTGATCCAGCAGGTACAGCGAATGTATCCTTTGAAATCCACTTGAATGTAACCTTTTCCTTAGATGGCGAGTCGATCGTGGTATATCCCTTGCCTTCCACGCAATGATATATGAAGGAAGAGCTATCCAAGGTTTCTTTGGAGGACGCTCCAGGAGCCAGACGCTCCGCTTGAAGGCCCAAGGTTGTAGAAAGAGGCGCCCCATTCTTCTGTTTGTAATGATAGATCGCGTGTTGTTCAGTGCTTGCATCCAGTGTCTTTTGCACAGGTGCCCAAGGGTGTCGCCACTCGCAAGGATCAGAGGGCCTATCTCTCCAAATTAGTCACAAAACCATTGTTAAGTGAGCATAGTCGGTCACTTACGTGCTAGGGTAGCGCTTCTCGGCGTATCCTTCGGCATAGTGAACGGGCGAGTAGGTAAATAGAGGTAGGTTCAGCATATCCAACCAGATTACGGGAGCGTCGCTTTCGTTGCCGTGATCATGCCAATGCCACGTAGGTGTGACGACAACATCACCCCGCACGAGGGGCATTTTCTGGCCTTCCACAGCAGTGAAACCTTCTCCTTCAACAATGAAGCGGCAAGCATATGCGATATGGCGGTGGGCGGGTGCAGTCTCCCCTGGTTTGACGATCTGGAGACCGCCATAGATGGTATCAGTGGTATGGGGGGACTCTGAACTCAACAGTTAGCCTGTTGGGGAATGGGAGACGCGGACATTTGAATGAACGGAGAATGTAACATACTCATCTTCGGGTTTACCAACATCAGCACTCTCCGTTCTGCATCTTCCTCTGGTACGAGCTTGGCTGCTAAATGTAGATGAGGAAGCATCTCCTCGTATTTCCATAGCGCTGGCTCGGCTGTTGGGTTGGGAGTCGGGGGAACCATTGCACTCATCTTAGACCACAAAGGCTCCAGGTTCTTGGAGGGCAAGGCCTGCAGGAAAGTATCCATGGCCTTAGGGGCCTTTCCGGATTCGACTTCAATCGCAGATGGACTCATTTTGGCGAATTTTTGATTTGCTTGTTTTGTTTGCTTCAAGGGCGAACTGTTTTCCACAATGGCAATACAACGTTTGTTTGGTTGAAGGTGGGCAGTAGAACTATTAATCCCAAGCTCCGCCCCCAGACAAATCCCCAGGCTGAAAATGACATAAGACATTCAACTTTTGCCTAGGTCTCTTCCGGTCCATCTCCCTTGATTTGGAATCGGGTTACTTCCAGGTGTGTTGAAGTAACAACGGAACGTCCCCCGGTTTTACTCCTCCGAGATCTCGGAAGGCTCATGAGCCACTCACATTCCGTTCCGAGGTACCCACTAGCAACTCAATGCTCATAACTACTAAGTCTAACGTCATCTTCCGGTGTGTTCGTAGCCGAGGGATATTAGATTAAATGGCTTCCACGATTCTCAGATCCTGCTTCCGGCAATCGTACCACTTCTTACCCCAGACTCGTTTACCCTGCCGCCAACACTCAACACGCTTCAGCACCATAATGTCTTCCCAAACTTGGAGTCGTCTTATTCGCTTCATTGACGATAATGGCAATGAGACCTTCGGCGAGCCTCTTGTAAAATCTGAGACTGAGCTTGAGCAGCTCCTCTCCAGTCAGAATCTCTATGCTACCGAGTTCAAGGGACAGTCTCCCACATCAGAACTCGTGAAGGGAGAGAAGGTCCACGTCAAGGCTATCCGTGATATCTTGAAGCCCTCTGATGTACCTATAATCCGATGTATCGGTCTCAACTATATCAAGCACAGTAAGCCATTTTCCCCAGACCTTGAAACCCCATCTACCTTACTTTGTACTAACGCTTTGTCAGTCAAGGAGGGCGGTCGCACTCCTCCCCCTTACCCTTCTGTTTTCATCAAACCCTCTACTAGTATTGCCGGCCACGTTGAGGATATCCCTATCCCCAAGGTTGCCCAAGATGGGACTGTCGATTATGAGGGTGAATTAGTAAGTGTTGTCTCAATACATTAACCCTCAGAATTTCCCCAAGACTGACACTCCTTCAGGCCATTGTCATTGGCAAGACCGGCAAGAACATCAGCAAGGAGGATGCCCTCTCCCACGTTGCTGGCTACCTGGCCGCCAATGACGTCTCCGCCCGTGCCTGGCAGCGCGACCCCAAGAAGGCTGGCGGCGTCCCCCAATGGTGCTTCAGCAAGGGTTTTGACAAGTTCGCACCTCTGAGTCCCATGATTGTTTCTCCAGCTGTTGTCGGAAATGCATCGGACCTCCACCTACAGACATTCGTCAATGGCGAGGAGCGTCAAAACACTAGCACCGGTGATCTTCTGTTCGGCGTTGAAGCCATTGTCAGCTTCGTGAGCCAGGGAACCACCCTGGAAGCTGGTACCATCATTCTGACCGGAACTCCCTCGGGCGTTGCTATGGGAATGAAGGAGCCCAAGTATCTGAACGATGGCGATGTCGTGGAGGTCAGCATCAGCAGCTTAGGGCGCGTAAAGAACAAGATGGCTTTCGAATAAGGTAAGCCTGGTTGTAGATATAAGAATAAATATAGACTTTAGACAAATATTTCATCATTTGAATCATGAACAAGATTTTGATACATTAGATTTGAATTCAACCTTCATAATTGAGAAGCTCCCAAGCCGCTTGCATGTCATTCAGCCAGGTCAGATTATTCACATCAAAGTCAAGATACTGCAACCCCATTTGATTTAAATCTCCACCGCCGAAGGAAAAGTCCTCTTCCATCTGTGGCCCCGTTACTTGGCCAAGAGTTTGTAATGACTGTTGGTTGGTATTCGTCTCGACCGCTTGTGTCCTTGGTCTAGTGGCCTCGGGTTGCTGGATCTTGGCAGAAAGCAATTGAAGCGCTGTCCCGCACCTCCTGGCAGATTGGCCAAACCTTTCATGATCTCTGAGAATTGACATGGCTTCCCCCCATGTTTGGTTGAAGTCTGGTTCAGGGAGGACCTCGGGCCGTAACTTGGCGGCGATCAGTACGGTTGCGGCCGTGTAAACATAATACACACGATACCACCATGCCGGTAGATATCCAATCGATTCATCGATTGCCTGATATTTGAGCAATACTGAAATTATTTTCTGTGCTGTCGAAACGCACATTATTGCACATTCCTTCAAAGTCCGAACTTCGAGAGAATCTGCACTTTTCCCCAGCTCACCTCCCTGGGCTGACAAGCAGAAAGACGCAAGAACAGGGCGAAGGAGAAGAATGCGTGCATGGAGGAATCTATGTTGGGAGGTTAGTAAGAAACTATAGGAGGGTATCGCAGACGACACAACTTACCGGATATGCAAGACAACAGCCTGTCGTTGGGTAATTTGATCGCGGGGTTGAGAGTATGTCCATCTGAGCTGCGCCGGCAAGCCACGATCCCACTTGTCCAGTTCAGCGTCAAACTGCATGACCATTCCCAAGTCTGTCTTGCTGTGATTCGCGCTGCCTGAGTCACCTTCGTTGTTAGATGCAAGTACACTTTTACATCGCGCTCCATAATAAAGAGACTGGATGGTGCGGTGGATAAGTTCATATAGCTGGACAGATTTGACAAAGAACGTGGCATCTGTTGAAGATGAATCAAGAACACCGGTGACGGCCTCGGGTCGGTCTATGGGCGTATTGGGTAGGGGCACAGTGGATGCAACATAGGTAGAGATCATTGCCGGCCTTCCATGTGTGACTGAAACCATACTGTAGACAGAGGTAATCAGTGGGTGTGCGTGTTTTAGTTTTCAAGGGGTTGAAGCTTACCGGTCCATCAATACACAGCCATACCATATCCTCCGGAGTAATTCACGTTCCTTCGGATCAGAATGCTCTGCGGAAGTCTCACTCAAATGCAAGCCGATTCCCTGTGCGATACGAACAGCTGAGCCCACAACCATCCATGTTTGATGTGGACGCTCAGTGCTCTGTAGATACTGGCTCGTCAGAAGCAAATACTGTAGAAGCTCGATGGATGCCGGTTCCCAAGTATTCAGAGGTAGCAGCCCTTGTGCCCGGTCAAAGTATACCCTGCTGGATTCCTCTCTCTGATCCGGGTCCTGAGACTCAATGAGCTGAGATGAGAGAGCAAATATTACATTTAAGGACGCGAGAAATATCTGCTCATCAATCTCTGTAGCTACACCGTCGAAGATGGCACGATATGATTTCTCCCATCTGGCTTTGTCCAAGAATGGGTAGAGTGGATCAACATACAGCCAGTACACCCCTAATAAGTGGTCTGCCTGCCTGCGTGTTGGCAATACCTTGTAGGCATCATTTATTGTATTTTGCGGAGTGGGCGCAGCTCCTTTGTAAGTCGGCAAAGGGGGTGCCTGGTTGGGAGGGAGGGAGACTCTGTGGCCCAAGCGGGCATCGATTGCTTTTTTAATCTGAGTCGCGAAAGAGCCAGCGCTGCTGCTACCAAAATACTCCCGAGTGGTAGTTCCCTCGTCCACAACGGCGGTCATGGAGTCAATAACAGAAGGGCTGTGGGTGTGTACTGAAGCTGGTGCTCGGCTACCTGTCGAAAGCGCTCGAGGAGAACTATTATCACCCGGGTCAGAGGCTTGAGCCTGGCGAGCTAGAGAAGCTCTCCTCGGGGTCTCGACTGCAACGGGCTGGGTTGGTCCAGCACGTCCACCTCGATTTGAACCTGCAAACGCCCTGAAGCTAGGTCTGCTGGGTGTGATAAAAGACTCTTGAGATTCGGATCCCGGTTCAGCTTGTCGGGAATCTGCGATGGGCTTAGGGCCGGATGAGGTTGTAGATTGACTGTATTTACATGTCCCTTGCAGGGCCAGCTTTCTTGCACAGTTTCCGCAAGCTACAAGTCATATTACATTAATTTCCGTTTATTGAAGCCAAGACGGGCCAGAAGCTGTGAATGGACTATGTACGCTTGGCCCGGCGACAGGAGAACTCACAAGGACGTATGCCATCGCACTTCACTTTTCTGGTGCGGCATGTATCGCATGCCACGTCGATCTTGATTCGCTTGGGTCGTGGCTCACGGACTGGATCATGCCCAGGGTCCGACATGGCTGCTCGGAAGAGATCTCTGGGGAAACCCACCGGCCGGAATGGCATAGTTCGCGGAGGTAAGAGACATTTACACCAGTGTCTCGTCACTGATTAGCAATCGAAGAATTCAGTCGGACCTCGGTCGGGATCCAGAGCTAGACATAGCAGTTCCGAAAATGATACAATCCGATTGGTGGCTGTCAAAATTCCATACTCCATCTATGTCTCGGATCTCTCCCCGAAGATCTCCACCCAGCTCAAGTTGTAGCTTCACTTCTTCCATGTCATCCGAAGAAACTGGACCAAGCAATTTTGAGAAACGAGAGGTACAATCTACCATTTAGATACTATCTACTTCCGCATTTCCTCCCATTGTGATGCGCCTTCCGACGGGCTCATCCATGTTGGGCGGTTTTTGACGAATAGATCGCTGTTTGGTTTGAGATCCAAGCTGTTGAGTAGAAATTAGAAGCCATACATCAATCGCGTGGGACAAGAAATGCACGAGTCCATACCCGGAATCTAGAATTGCAGTTCTGATAATGACGAATTTGCCCTTGGCCTGACCGGGAACTGTCCATACTGGTGAACCACATGTCTTGCAGAAGGCCTTCTCCTTGGGAGAGCCGCTAGAAGTGTCATTCAGGGTATAGAAGGAGAGGTTTTCCTGTCCAGTGACTTGAACTTCATTTGTAGGGAACTTCGCAATCTGGGGCAAATGTGATAATGTTACTTAGCATCAATTTTGTGACATGAAGGTATAGATTGTGTTCCTCTCGACTTACGACTTGGTTCGCGCCGCCTGCTCCCTTGCTGCAGTGAGTACAAAAACAGGAAAGCACAACGGCTGGCTCAGCATTAATGGTCAAACTAACACCGCCACAAAGGCAGCGTCCAGAATAAGGAGCCGGCATTCTGAGTTATGGATAAGGGGGTGTAAGTGGATCTGGGGTAGTAAGAGGTGTTTAGTAAAACCTCCTCGAGCGGCCCTTGTAGAATTATAACAGACTATTTGTACAATGTATCAAGCTCCAGCTAGTTTCACCAGCCGGATTGCTCTAAAACAAGACTCCGTTATGGAAATGATAGCGCAACTGTGGTGGGTACTGGTGGATCTCCTCTCGGAAACATCGTTTCCTCTCGCGGAGTGTTCCCCGATGGCCAAGATCCGCCTTCGGGGTGAGGCACATTTTCCCATTAATCCTTGTATCCCAAGTGTTAGGGAACCAGGCTGGATGGCACATATGTAACGATACTTCCAGCGTAGCACAAGCCATTACTTACATTGATATTGAGCGCTGTAACTTGATCAAAATGGCTTCTACTGTGGACGTAGATGCCGTCCTCGGGACCTTGACCATTGAAGAAAAGGTAACGTGAAAACTTTCTGATGAGCAAATTGCTTTAATGCCGCGTCTAACAGAATGTTATACATAGATATCTCTTTTAGCCGGAGCAAACTTCTCCAGTACCGCAGATGTGTTACCCAAGGGCGTCCCCTTTGTCAAGGTGTGTTGTCAAACCTACACAATACATCCTCTTCCATTGACTTGCTGACTGAGGGATCTTAGGCCGTAGATGGTCCCAATGGCGTACGATCGGCAGCCATTGATGCTGATGTCCGTTCAGCATGCTTCCCGGCTGCTTGCTGCATTGCATCAACCTTCGATGCTGACATCGCACGGCACATGGGTGAGGCGCTTGCCGAGGAAGCGATCCTCAAGGGAGCACACTGCGTCCTCGGGCCGACTGTTTGCATCCATCGTCATCCACTGGGCGGACGCAATTTTGAGAGTTTTAGCGAAGATCCCCTCCTTGCTGGCAAGCTGTCCTCTCAGATCATCTCCGGGCTTCAAAGTCAAGGCGTCTCGGCTACGATCAAGCATTTCGTGGCGAACGAGCAGGAGACGGCCAGAACGACGGTAAATGAAACAATTAGCGAACGTGCATTGAGAGAGATCTATCTCAAGCCATTTGAGATTGCTGTAAGAGAGGCTAATCCCTGGGCTATAATGACCGCTTATAATTTGGTCAATGGCGAACACTGTGACTCGCACCAACAACTTCTCCAAACTGTTCTGAGGGGTGAATGGGGCTGGGACGGTCTAGTCATGAGCGACTGGGGCGGTACTAACTCGGTTTCTGATGCTCTGATTGCCGGCCTTGACCTTGAGATGCCTGGGCCTCCTCGGATTCGGAAGATACCGGCTGTGCTCAAAGCCCTCGAAAATGGAGAGATTTCCGAGGACACCATTAACTCGCGAGCCAAATCCGTCCTGAAATGGGTATACAAACTGAAATCTCTCGAGAAACACGGCTCCGAGACTGTTGTGGCCAATAAGCCTAAACACAGAACGTTTATTCGGGATGCTGCTGCAAAAGGCATGGTTCTCTTGAAGAACAACAATAACATTCTCCCTCTCGCGAAGGACAAGGTGCGAGGCAAGAAGATCGCTTTGATCGGCTTTGCTAAAGACGCAATGGCACACGGAGGCGGCAGCGCAAGTGTGAATTCGTATTACAAGGTGACGCCGTGGGAAGCCCTGCAGGGTGCTCTCGGTGACTCGGTAGAGTTCACCTTCTCCAAGGGTGCGCATAAAGAACGTCTTTTACCACCACTTACCAAAGATGATCAAAGCTGTGGAACTGTTGTTGGTCTTGACGGAAGCGCTGGATTCTCTCGACTGCTCTTTGAGAGCGGCAAACCTGAGCCCGTGTCTACTAGTCACGGGTACCCAAGGTCAGCTTATTCTCCCCTTGGATCCCAGGAATCTCTTAACAGAGCATTGGAAATTGTCGGTGATTTTGTTCCCTCCGAGACGGGTGTGCACTACATCGCCTGCTCTGGACTTGGGCCAACCAAGGTTAGCATTGACGGGGAGGTGATCTTTGAGCAGAGTGGCAACTGTTCTGATCCGATGGGTTCACTGTTTTTGGCAGCGCCTGAGCCCGAGATCAAGCACTCTTTCGAGAAGGGTCGCAAGTACCGTCTGCGCATTCAAAGCGACCCGCCTGCAAACATCGGACTCGAGATTCTTGAAGGGCGTAGCGGCGTGCGCCTTGGGTTCTCACTGGAGTCAGACCATGACGCAGACCTGGAAGGCGATGCGGTGCAGGCAGCCAAGGATGCCGACTATGCGATCGTCTTCACAGGCCATGACCCGCAATGGGAAACAGAGGGCCGGGACCAGGACTCCTTTAATCTTCCCCGGCAGCAGAATTCTCTCGTGTCCGCAGTGGCAGCTGCGAACAGTAACACGATTGTGGTGAACTCGACAGGTGTTGCAATCTCCATGCCATGGCTTGACAGTGTCCAGGGACTGGTTCAGGCCTGGTTTGGTGGTCAAGAGTGCGGGAATGCCATTGCAGATGTCTTGACTGGCACCGCAAACCCTGAAGGCCGGCTCCCTGTAAGCTTTCCAAGAAATATCGAGGACGCTCCCGCATACGGAAACTTCCCTGGTACCACAGTTGACGGTAGATTGGAGGTTACATACGCGGAAGGAGTCTTCGTTGGATATCGACATTACGACCGTGTGGAATCAAGCAAATTAAACTTTGCATTCGGCTACGGCTTGTCTTATACATCATTCAACTATGGAAAGATGCAAGTTGAGGCAGTTGAGGAAAGGGATGATAGCTTTTCCATCAACTTGAATGTGAAGAATACTGGAGAGGTGGCAGGAGGAAGTCTTGTGCAAGTGTATGTTGGACGAGCATCTCAATCCTCGGATCACCCAATCAAGTCCCTGGTCGCATTTCAAAAAGTACGACTCAGCCCTGGAGAAGAGAGAAACGTTAGTCTCTCAGTTTACACCAAAGACTTTGCCTACTTCGACGAGGAGAGCAGCAAGTGGGTTGTGGATGCAGCAGAGTATTCGTTCTTCTTATGCTCATCTGCTGCGGACATTCTACAAACCGTATCCGTGGCTGTAAAAGGACAAATATTTGCCCTTTGAAGAATAGAAAACATCGGCATATTACAATACAATTATTAGAGTTAAAATTTCGGTTGAATTTCATCAAGTTCATCTTTTTGTGATGTCTTTTGACCAGTCTAGTTAATGACATATTCTATAAGTGTGTGTTTATTTACTCTAGTCGTCTGAACTGGTCTATTCTAATTCCCAGAGGCTATTTCAGCCTTGTACCTATCTTCTCCGGCCTTCAAGATCATGCGGAATAGTTCTATATCCTGGTGAGCGTCTTGCGCACTGGTCTTTGGTGCTTTGTTGTTAATAACACAGTCGTAGAGCTCCAGCATCTCCAGCGTGTAAGGATCTTCGTACGTCCTCCGAATCGTGCGCTCCTGGAAGCCCGCCTCTCCATCCTTTTCCCGGATGGTCATAGTTACGGGCAGGCCCTTGACGTACGGAGAGTCGTAATTGATACGAACAATTTTGTCCGTGGAATATACCTCAATGTGGGCATCGAACTGAGGAACATTGTTGAGCCCCGATTCATATGACACCGGAAAATCATTGTACTGGAAAAGGACACTGAATATCCCCGGTAGGGTCAAGATAGCGCCAGCTACACCCTGAGGCATTCCGAGAATCTCGCGCATGGCGGAAAGATCGTGGGTGCCCAGGCTAGAAGAAGAGGGAAAACGTCAGCTTATTTGAGTCTGGCCATTGATTAATTCCAGGATTTAGTAACTTACGCTCCGAGTACACGTAACATTCTCATAGACTTGGGTGTGACGGGAACATCAAACTCATGTTTCAGGGCCTGCTCGTAGATGTCATTCTCGCGGCGAACACGATCCTGACCATCAGCTTCAGAGAAATCCGTGAATCTCTGCGGGAACATGCCGGACTGCTCAATAAAGATTGAGTTGGGACCAATGATGTCCCTGACCCGTGCAAATTTGATCTGGTCCATGCCTCCCACCTCCTTTACGGCTTCGAGGAACGCGGTGGCGTATCGGCGCATCGTTCCTACGAAAACCTTGCCCTTGGAGCTCTTCTCGACCTCAATGAGCCTATCCAAGTCACGGAAGCAGAGAGCAGCAGGCTTCTCAATCAGACAATACTTGTCATTCTGCAGGGCAAGAATGCCATGCTCGACATGGTATGCATCGGCATTGGCGATGAGGACGATGTCCACCTCCAGAGAAGAGCATAGCTCCACTGGGTCCGTGGTTGTATGAGGAGTACCGCCCTGGACCTTTCCAGCACAGTAGGCGAGAGACTGCTTTGAGATATCGCAAAGATATGTGGTGCGGAAGCGGTGAGCTAGAGCATTGATATTCGGGATGTGTGCAACTTGGGAAATTTCACCACAACCGATGATACCAACTCGCAAGATGCGGCTCCCGCCACTGGGCAATGTTTGGTTGTTGGCAGCCATAATGCGAGCTGATTTTTCAGTTTTTCGGAAAGGTGAATATGCTTTCTTCCGGGGATCAAAAACCGAGTTCGAGACTCACAGTTAAAGAAACCTTGTCATGGAGAAGGGACAGATAAAAACCCCATGATCTCTCTACATTGCTGGGGAGCTTGGAACTATTAACTGACTAGCGTCAGCTGGAATGCAAGATCCATGATCCGCGACTCCCCATCGTAGATATTCCCATCTAGAACCTTAGCTAGCTGGTCGTGGTCTCCACATACCGACAGACCCCGATGGCAATTTCGAACCGACACTCCCCGGGCTCCTCTCCGCCACGTGATCGATGCAATGTTGCTTCCGCAAGTCGTATCCCGAGCCTCTCCACAACTCCCCACGGGGCTCCAAAGTTTGCTTTTCTTACATGAGCGTGAATGATGGGTGGGTGAGGCATGCCTTTATCGAGAGTGTATATAGCCTGCAACATCCCGTCACCCATGGCTCTATCCCACTCCTGATCACACCGAGATTGAATCGCCTGGAAGAATAAACTGGACAGCAAACACAAGCTCTAGGAAGTTTCGTTTTATCTTTAACCCAGAAGAAAATGGGTATCTTTTCTGGAAAAAAGGAGGCCGAGCTGGCCGTCGGCAAAGACCTTGCCCAGGTGTGCAGATCTTTATTTCTACTTATTGTTCCTACTAGGAGTTGTTGATCGCTTACTGACAGTCTGTTTGATCCAGGTCCTGCCCGAAAATCCCAAGCCATGGTACTTGACATGGCATATCGTCAAACTGAACCTATGCCTTCTGGTTCCCTTGATATCTTCGGCGTCGGTCGGATACGATGGTATGCTCCCCACGAACGATACAAACCAAAAATGAAAACCCGATGTTGACATCAGCCAATGCTAGGATCGATGATGAACGGGCTGCAAACTCTACCTCAATGGCGACAATACTTCGGGAATCCAGAGGGAGCATTGCTTGGCTTGATGAACTCCGTATATCCTTTGGGAAAGGTGGTTTCCATGTTCGTGGTCTCGTATCTGTGCGATCGATGGGGGCGAAAGCTCCCAATCATGATTGGCCTCGTCACTTGCATTGCCTTCGCGATTCTGCAGGGTCTCTCGAACAATCTTCACAGTTTCATCATTGCGCGCGCTTTTCTGGGCTTCTTTACAAGTTTTCTTTCCCAGCCAAGTCCCATCATCGTGGCTGAGCTTGCATACCCGACACAGCGAGGAAAGATCACCGCACTTTATAATACCTTCTTCGTAAGTAGCATAGGTCCGCGGGCTCCTTTTAACCAAAGAGAAATGCTAACGGTTTACCCGCCCGTAGTACTTCGGTGCCATCTTTGCTGCATGGTGTACATTTGGAACATTCAAGATTGAATCAACATGGAGTTGGAGAATCCCCTCCCTTTTGCAAGGAGCTATCCCATTCTGCCAGCTTCTAGGAGTGTTCTTCCTCCCCGAGTCCCCAAGGTTCGTTTACCCATCATAACTTGCTATTTCAGACCCTAACAATCACTAGGTGGCTTGTTTCACGCGGTCGCAAAGAAGAAGCTCGAAAGATTCTCACCGAATACCACGGCGGCGGCGACGTCAACTCACCATTGGTCGACTTCGAAATGCGAGAAATTGAAAAGGTCATTGTAGAAGAGGCTGAAACTCTGTCCGGGGTTTCATGGATCGAGCTCGTCCGCACACCTGCCAACAGGAAACGAACCCTCATTGCCGTTATCGTTGGATGGTTTGCCCAGTGGAATGGAGTCGGAGTTGTGTCATATTACTTGACCCTTGTGCTCAACACCATTGGTATCACGAGCGTCAAGGACCAGACTCTCATCAACGGCTTATTGCAAATCTTCAACTGGCTCGTGGCCACGTTCCTCGGAGCACTTATGGTGGATCGTCTTGGTCGCCGTTCCTTGTTCCTTCTTTCTACCGCCGGCATGTTGGTGGCCTATGTCATCTGGACGGGTCTTACGGCGCACTTCGTTCAGTCTCACAGCGAGGCTACGGGGCGCGCGGTCGTTGCCTTCATCTTCATCTACTATCTCTTTTACGATATCGCCTGGAGTCCGCTGCTCCAAGCCTACTCGGTTGAAATCTTCCCTTACACGTTGCGAGCGCGGGGACTGTCTGCGACATATGTTGCTTCTTTCGTCGGTCTAATTGTGGGCAATCAGGTTAACCCTATCGCGATGAAGGCAATCGCGTGGAAGTACTACATTGTCTTCTGCTGCATCCTTGCGGTTTTGATTGTCGTCATCTATTTCCTGTTCCCGGAGACAAAGGGGCACACTCTTGAGGAAATCAGAGAGATCTTTGAGGGCAAGTCCGAGAATGATGACAAGCTGGGTAGGGTTGAATCCGCAGTTGATGAGGACCAGCGTGGACAAAAGAAGGGGACCGTCAAGCAGGTTGAGATCGCGCCATGAAATTGTAGATACGGAAAGATTGAGGAGAGGATTGAAAGACGTGGCTCGTGGGAATATCTCTAATTTCACAACAAGATCAGGACAGCCAATGTCACAATGTATCGGAAGGTGAATTAATCGTAGAGCTCAAATGGCAACCAACAAAACCACACCAAACATTTAGTTCAAATACAAGGCAAATTACTTTGCAAATTACCTCTTCGTGAACCACCACTTCGCTTCCTAGAGCTTCCCTCCTGTGTGAGCCAGTATTCCTCCTCGTGATAGACAGGGCGTGTAATAGTATTCTGTCTAATTTCCAGAGGGGCGGATGCTACCGCGGTCACGTCTCTCGATTGCAGGCCAGATTTATATTAGGCAAAAAGGCATCACTGCTTTGTCCAGAATGCTCTGATCTTGTAGTATGTGAGACATTTAGCCATGTTTGGTTAGAGGCGCTGAAAGCGAGAAATACGGGTGGAACTTCAGCTCAACAAATCAATATCGTCCACGTGACCGCGTTTCAATCGCTTAACAAAATCACGATAAAACACCGATACTGAGCGCATCCTGAATTCAACGGACATACAAATCCACCATCTCATTTTTGTTTTTATGGTGGCATTATGGGCGACTTTGATTGCTACTGTTTCTTGTGTAGTGGGCCGCTTTTCGAGCCGCAGCTCGGCTCTGCCTCTCCACGAGCTTTAAGGAAGCGTCGCCAAAAAGTTGAGGAGAAGAGATTGGCATTGAAGGCAGGACTTCGATACGTGTCAGATTCAAGTGAATCCGAAGATGGGGGTGAAGAGGAGAACGAGGATGACGAGGAGATCGACGAGTACGAAGAGCGGACATCATATGACCCCGAACTAGCCACCGAGGAACGGACTGATTGGATCCAGTATCTGCGAGTTCTTGGATTCAATCCAAACGCAGTCGGGGATTCCAAGTGCGAATACAAATGACGCTAGTGTGAAATCTTGAAAACTGACGTAAATCAGGGCTTGGATCTCTGGAAGCGCGAGGTACGATGATGGGGTATGTCTCCTGAACAGTCTTCGTGCCTCACTGGATTCTAACTGAGCAGGGGGTGATTGAAGTGTTTGATGGATCTGGTTTGTCCTTTTTGCGGCAAAATCTCCCTGCCAAGGAGACTGACATCAACATAGATCCAAACCAACCCTTTTTGGCCGAGAACAGATGTTACGATTGGTAATCTGTTTTTGTACAAATAAAATCGCCGAGGCTGACGATTTCTAGTTACGTGCCTACAAATGGTAACGAAGTCGTTTTCCCCTTCCACTCCAGCTGTATGGCTGTGTTGAAGAAGGTGTACGAATGGAGCCTTAACAGCGGCTCCTACAAGAGTAATCTACCGCATTCTCCTCTGCTGTGGACTTGGCATATACTAACAAGATAATCTGCCCTGGCCAGAAATGAAAGGTTTCGACTCTACTGAAATCGATATGGATGCACTGTATGACGCAGCCACCGTTTTATGTGACCCATACGCCGTCCATCTGAAACTAAAATATGGTGGTATCTCTGGCGCAGAGCAATGCTGGGAATGCCACCCCGGCGAGGAAGTAAGGCAACGTATGAAGAGCATTCAGCAGCAGACTGCTAACTGCTATAGTACTCTGTCACTGATCCCTTACATTCCGCTGTTGAGACGATCGAGTTGCCCCACGTGTCTAAAGCTTCTCAATCGCTCTATTCTCGCTTACGTTCTTCGGTTGACCCATTTGGAGCAGTGCCCAACGAAATAATTCATTTTATTTGCAATTACCTTTCTGGGGAGGACCTTAGCAACTTCTTGACGGCTTCATTTGTGGTACACTGCGCTACTCTTGAGCCTACGTTCTGGAAGTCTCTTGGGAGATCTCGTATGCCGTGGGCATGGGAACTTTGGGAAAGAACATCAAGGCATGACTCACAATTAGGGTTCCCTATTGACTACAAGAAACTCTATTTCATTGTTGATGCTCGCACCAGCCTTCCCTTTGGTATCACAAGAAGACTGAGTGGTTGGATGGGTTTGGCAAATCGACGACGAATATGGACTACTTGTCTCCTTCTACTGCCTCACTACTTACGTTCTCTTCAAGGGAGGATATCTGACAATAACTCTTCCTCTGATATCACAGACGCGGCCATCGAAGGAGAGCTTTTCCCGGTATCATACCCATCAGCATCCAGCACTGCCTCCCAAACCTTCGTTCTTCACTCATGGGAGGAGCTGCGTGCGACTCCTTCTATTTTTGAGGCGTACTGGGACTTGAATCAGAATTTGGTTGGCCTTGGCACATCCTCCGGGATACACAAACGGATTCTTGGAAGAGGTGCTGGCTTGGAATCGGGCGTAGGTAATGGGATAACAAAGTCTGCGGGCCGCATCAATACTGGCGAATGGATCCAGAGCTTGTCGCTCGGCCTCGAGATCCTGCAACCTTTACATGGCACTGCTGTTAAAAGAGTAGATGTAGGTCTAATCCTTCACTTCATAAAGACTATGCTGACTATATTCAGGTCACTCTCACGTCCGGAAGAAAAATCACACTTGGTGATGGACGGCGGAACTTCGCTAAGAGACAACTTCTCTGCTTTAATGGATACACGTTTGCTGGACTTTTCGGACAAACTGGACATGTATGCCCTCACCGCCCCCATATTTTCCACTTGCTAACGTACCTACATAGAATGGAGTGATTGGGTCATTAGGTATCCTGCAGTGTCCCACACCCAAGTCTTTGTGTGATATTCCATCTCCAAAGCTCTCGATCGCTGAACGACTTCTGTGGCATCATTCATCTTCCTCAATCATACATAATCGTGACGTAAATCTTCGACCACTTGTCATTTTGGAAGATAGTTCCATCAATGCATTGACGCCACACGAGACATTTTCATGGACCGCTGGTGCCGAGCAATTTAGCAAACTTGAACGCATCTCCGCTAGGCTTTGTACGGTCCTGGAACATACGGGCATCTTACAGTTGCAGTGCAGGTTCGTTCGGAGATTCTGGGAACCAAAAAGGGGACTGGGTAGAAACAGTGGTGACGTCTCCGAAGAGCTTCTCGAATCAGAAGGCACTCCTGTCCATCATTTCGACATTGATGGGCCAGGCGGCGAACGCGTTATTGGTGTAAAGGCACAAGGAATGAATGACAAGATTACAGCTATCACAGTAAGTTGTAGCCCCATGCTTTCGATAACTCAGCGGCTGACTGGGCAGTTTTGCACGAACCAAGGGCGCCAAGCGACTTTCGGCCAGGAGACGCAGGATAAGTGGACTACTTTCGAGGAAACCGGGGAGGAATTCATATTTGGTCTTGCTGCGGGATTCTCCTTGTCTGCAGATCCTCGTGAAAAGGTCTATACTCTACTCTGCTCACGCACCAAATTGGCAACTCTATGGCTAATCTTTTTCTACAGCACTTCTCTTTGATGAATTCTATCATAGTTCTGACAAAGAAATCAGATTAGCATGGGTCAATTGAGAGGAAAGAAGTTTGCCAATCTTTTCACCTCGTGGCTGTTGGTTAGGGTAGCAAGTTTAGCTCAGAGTCCCAAAATCTCAATGAGATTGCCAACAGTATCAATCTTCTGGGCATCACTCGAATTCAACATCCCTTAAGGGCAAAAATAATAACAAACCCTGCATCTCTATAGGGCTACTGAAAGAAAATCCAAAATCAGTTTTCTCAATAAGCCAAAACGAAACTAGGCTATATCTGGGGACAGAGTCAAGATCTGCTAATTCAATAAAAGGCTGCCGAAAGGCCCAAGCCGGTTGATCCAGATCCCGTTCCGAAATCTCTGGCATATAATTGGTTGGGATCCACGCAAAGGAAGAGGTCCTGTTCACTCCGCAGTGGGATAGTGGAGTTGGGTAAGGCGAGATCTCGGGGTATCTCGGCAAGGCTGTCCATCAATCTTCATCGAGAAAGCGAGCTAAAGGTAAGTAGCTATGGCCAGCATGACTTGCAGACGTACTATTCAAGTGCGTAGACTTGCCTCGCTTCCAATCACCACTATACCTCCTTGTCGTTCTTACAGCACTCTCAATTTGACAAGAGGATAGGTCAAAGATTCCTGCTTGTCATTTTCCTACAATGTCTCAAGAAAAACCCACCCTCCGCTGGGGAATCATCGGCACGGGCCTGATTTCCTCATGGTTTAGTCGGGACATCTCTCTGGCGCGTGATAACGCCCAGACAACCCACCACATTCAAGCAATTGGCTCTTCGTCCATCGAAAAGGGCACCAAGTTTGTTGAGAGCCATCTGCCAGACCAGAAGCAATATCCCACTGTATACGGTAGCTATGGAGAAGTCTACCGCGACCCAAACGTGGACATAATCTACCTTGGCATCCCACATGCTTTTCATAAACAAGCTTGTCTCGAGGCCATTTCCCACAGCAAGCATGTGCTGTGTGAAAAGGCTTTCACTCTCAACGCGAGAGAGGCCAGGGAGGTCTTTGACGCCGCCAAGCGAAAGGGGGTTTTTGTAATGGAGGCAATGTGGACTCGCTTCTTTCCGCTTGTTAAGATACTGAAGAAATTGGTTCATAAGGAGAAAGTTATCGGCGATGTTGTGCGTGTGTTTTGCGACTTCGCCATGAACCAAAACCTCGAATCTCTTGGCCCTGACTCGCGACTGAAGAATCCCGCGCTTGGTGCTGGAAGTCTGTTGGACATTGGCATTTACAGCTTAACATGGGGCTTATTGACTCTCGATTCGGAAATTGGGGATCAAGCGCAGAAACCCAAGGTATTAGCAACACAAACTCTAAAGGATGGCGTCGATGTTGGGACATCCATTCTCCTCGCTTATCCAAACGGAAAACAGGGCATTTTGACGTCCAACGTGGCTGTCAAGACACCTGCTCAATTCTGTAGAATTGAGGGTACTTCTGGTCATATTGTGGTTCAAGGGTTTGTAGCTTCAGTGCCTGCATCGTTCACTGTTTTCACCGAGCAACAGCCTGAGGGCAAACAATATGAGTTTGAGCGCCCAGGCAGGGGCTTTTACTGGGAGGCTGATTCGGTTGCTCTTGATATCGCGGCAGGAAAGACAGAGAGTGATATAATGCCGTGGGCGGAGACAGTCCGGGTGTTGGAGATCCTCGATGAAATCAGGGCACAGGGAGGAGCTAGATTCCCTCAGGATCAAGAGAGTTGAAGTAATGCAATTTCGTGCAGAAAAGAATAGCTCAAGCAATATAATTCTTTGAAAGTTAATGTACCTATTTCAGTCATCTACCACATGGTACGGAACTGGATAATAATCATCACTCATAAGTGTATATTCTAGTGATAGATGGTTCATTTATTGATCGATCTTCAAACAGATGACTTTACGTAAAGATTTCAGGTAGTAAGTTATTGTAAATTTATTCCATGAATAGTTTCAAGACTCAACTTGCGATAAGGAGGGTAGAGTTACAACGTCGTCTCTTATGTCTACGAATAAGGACTAAAGCTCACGGCCTTAGATGTATGTATATAATTTGTGTTCAATCAGACCAGGAAATAATTCCCTTCTAAGAATTCAATCGGAAATCTAACAACGAAAAGGAGGCTTCCAATTCGTAATCTGTAGGGTAGGTTGGCGAAAACAGACAAATCTCCGCTTGCTTTAGATCTTCTAATGGCACTCGCCTCGCCTTAGCTCGACTTTGACTTGGCCCCGGCGTTCATTAACTCTCCGAGAATGGAGCCTGAACAAATCTTGCTTTTTCTTCCATGTCGCATGATCTTGATCCGTCTCCAGCTGGCTGGAAATGTGGGGTGAATGGAATGTTCCGCGCAGCCCGGATCTGGTAAGACACCAATTCATAGCCGAGACTCCCCGACCCAAGATTCCCCATCATTACCGCATGACAACCCATTTTCCTGTCCGTTGCAGAGCCATCAGCTTCTAGGCTCATTTGAGTTTTACCTTGCTTCGGCCACGTGGTTCCGCCCATTTAATGGGGAAGCGGGGTGTCTACCTTTGACATCCCCGACAAGGCCTTCCGCTACTCCCCGCCTGTTCTTCCCCGACATCCTGTTCCGAGCGCAAGCAACCTTGAGCGTCTTCAGTGTTTCAGGCATTACTTATGATGGCCGATTCAAAGTCCCCGGGAGACAGTGCCTCGAAGACATGGGGGGGGACTGGGGGTGATGCCGACCATGCGAACAAGAGACAGCGAACCGCAGCAATGTATCAGCGAAAACGTGCAGTGACAGCATGCCAGCCTTGTCGACTTCGCAAAACACGTTGTGATAACGTGCGGCCAATATGTGGTTTCTGTTCTAAAAATGGCGCCCAGTGCACATATCCCGAAGCTAATAACGGCGACTATTCGACGTTTGTGCTCACTTGCTGCCCACGGAGCAATTTAGAATAGCTTGCTGACAATCTGTGGACGTCGTGTTAGGTTCGACCCGGCAAGTTTAGCTATCCTAGATCGCATCAATCATGTAGTTTCACTACTCGAAACACAGAGCCAAGAAGTAGTTGCGAGCGATGGCCCATCTGCTTCTGGATCATCACACGCACCACACCACTCCAGCATCCCAACCCCGGCTGATTCCACCAGGTCAACCTCGAATTTATCTGACGAAGATATCTTGTTGGCATTTGATGTCCCGGATTTCCCTTCCAGCATTAATAACTGTGAGAGCATTCTCCGCTGGCCCGTATTTGAAGGCCTGGTGCCGGATATTCATTCCTTCATTTTGGATCTTGACGATACTGGCGCTGGCCGTGGTGATCGTGTTGTCGAAGCACGGGGATCTTTTGGCCGTGGCGTCCAAGAGGATGACTTCATATCGCTATCTAAAAGATTCTTGGCCTATGTGCACGTCAAGAATCCTATCCTCGATGTATCGGATTATAAGAATCAAGTTCGGATAGCAGCAGAAAATGGACCCAGGTGGGATGGCCAGTCATGCCTAGTAGTAGGTCCTTCTTTCTAATGAATTCACAGCGCGAGCTTTCACTAACGCGGCAATTTCAGTTAATTTCATGTGCACTGGCATGTCTTTCAGCACCCTTCCAGTCAGATATTACTTTCGGCAACACACCTGAATCGATGCGGTCTTCGACATCTGCAGCCGTGGATCCAGACACTGCAGCGATGTATTATCTGGCTGCAAAGAAGCGACTGGGCATACAGAAGCCGTCTCTGCTCTATATTCAGTGCCTATTCCTGTGTGGAGTGTACGAAATGTATACCCTGTCTCCCCTCCAAGCTTGGTTTTACTTTAACAGGGCTTGTGTTGATTTGCGCAACCTGCTCTGGGCACGTAATCGAAGGAGGTCACCGGATCCGGTCTCACAAGAAGCTCGTCGGTTGGAGCAAAGGCTATATTGGTCTTGCGTAAAGACCGAGTAGTAAGTCTTGATTTATAGAAGGATAGAATGAGGTTCCAACTAACAGTATGCCGAAGTGAGCTGAGATGCGAAATACCATTGCCGCCGAGCGGGATCACCAACTGTGAATACCCAGACATGTTCCCATCTCCCCCAACGAGATTAGGATCCCCGACCATCCACGGGCAAACCCTCGAAGAGCTCGAGTCAGATATCGTTCCCGAGGAAGAGAAAAGCTGGTTTTACTACCTCGCAGAGATCTCCTATCGTCGTATTTTGAATCGTGCCATGGCAGTAATGGGCCACGAAGGAGAAGAGGGCTGGATCCGGAATATTTCCAGCCGGATCAAGCAGTGTAAGACATTTAATGATCAAATAGATCTCTGGTAAGGATCGATTTCTCCAAGCAACAGTGCTACGATGAGAAAAAGCTTAACATAAGTAGGTATTCTCACGTACCGCCTCAGCTCAACCCCCAACATGAAGGCCACGAGAACAGTGAACTCGGGCAGTTTCTAGCCAATCGTGCAATCAGCTGCCGCGAATGGATCCATCGGCCGTTCCTCTACTACATTATTCATAGGCCACCTTCCGATCCAATCCATGACCAAGTGATGCCGTTGGCACAGAAGTGTTTGGAGCTTTGCGTTCAACAAATGATCCGCACTTTTGGCAACCATAGGCATCACGGCACTTGGTACGTCTCCCGAGGGTGTATAACCCGAGCCCTGCTCCTTCTTGCCGCTGCAAGAAGTGGAAAGATATCCCTCCCCGAGGATTGGAAGGAGGCTTTGGAGATAGCTCGAGGGACGGTGCGTAGATGGTGCGGTGAGGCAACCGATCTTCGTTGGGCTGAAGCTACATTTGATGATATTGTGAGAGTCGTAATGGAATGAGCATTTAATGCAACTAAGCTTTGCTGGGCATTGGTCAGAGCAGATCGAGTCAAGCTAATAAAAGAAATACAAATTTGATACGAAAATCTATCTAAGTGATATAATTGAACGTGCAATCTTTCTTTGAAACATCAATCTAAAGCCACGAATCGTGTATCGCTTTTCTCCATCTCTGAACAGCAGCCTGACCGGCGGGCTCTGTCTCGCCGTCTGTTATAAACTTGGATTGATAGATAGCATTCAAGTCTAAAGCTCCTCATCTTTGAGAGTATTGTCGTCGTCTGCTGGGAGACCAACATTAATGTCTTCACCTTTGCAGCCGAGCGAAGCCACGAAGCACATAAGACCGAGGCACGCCAGTAGACTCCAAGCAGTGATAAAGACCGAAGGAAGTTGCAAGAAAATGGTCCAATATGCGCCGAAATCAACAGAATAAAGGCTGAGTAAGTATAGAATGGTGTAGATAGATTGGTATGTGAGACGACACAATGTGATGATGTAGATGGCTACCATGTACTTGAAAATCTAATAAGGCGTTAGTACGGGACTTTGCATGGCTCGTATTCAGTCTTACACGGGAGCTGACTGCAGCTCTTGCCCTGACAAGGAACACGAAAGCAGTAATGCCGAAAAGCAAGAGAATCAGAATTGTGGCAGCGTCAATGGCATTACACACAAGACCCAGCTTTTCAATCTGAGTGAAGAGCAAGGCTTCGGCGAGGAAAATCCTCAAGCAGTTGAGAGAAACAACCAATCCGAGGATGGAGAAGGCCAATTTGCGAGGGAACCATCGTGCGGGGGGTGCCTTAAAATCTCGCACGACTTCAATTTCAGCGACCATGACCACAACAAAAGCAGTCGCGCCGAAAAGGGCACAGACTACGTTGGTATGAAAGCTGGGGTTCGCCTTGTCGTAGGTACCAGCCGAGACACTAGTGTCAGGGACCGACTGGGCCATGATCTCGAGGGCCAACCATCTACACGACATATCTATTTTAGTGACCCAGACTTCCGGTAGTGTCAGGCGGAGAACTTACGTTGTTGTCAGGGTCAAGGAAGCTTTGACCCATGAGAGGCTCAAAGGCCCGTTAGACCCATGACGGTGGAGTTTAACGAATCCAAAGATAGTCAAGCCAAGGCTGACTAGAAATGCTATGCATGCAAACACGAGCCCGGCAATGGCGATGTCGAGGAGCGTTCTGCGGTTCATGGTGATGATTGAGCGGAAGGGACTGATGGTAGACGATGGAAAATCAGTTGCTTTCCTGCTAGCTCAACTTTCTGTACCAGACCAGGAATGGGAAGTTGAGGCGACCGTTATATAGAAAAACAGGCTGACCCTTACCCTCGGTGCCCCTGATTAGAGATGATTAGAGGGAGGCAACTATCGCTGACCTCAACGACCAGGGATGGAATAAGCTCACGAACCGAGGATCTCATTTGTGGCGGTAGTGAGCCTCGATGTAACCAACCTTTGCCCTTAAAGAGTGGTAAATTCCCCCCCATTGGTCGTGAGACGAAATTACCAAGCCTTGTCGGCCTCTCTATCGGGGATTAGGTAGCCTCGATTCGTCATTCTGACCGCCAGGGCTGACAGGGGCGGTGCTTATCTCAACATTCCATAACCCGGCGCACTGTGCGATGTATCTCACTGGGATTTGATTTGTCATTATTGCTGCCAAGTCTGCTTCCGTGGTATGGGTTTGTGAGTCTTGTACATAAGCACAGTATTAAGTAAACAGTATTACAGATATACTCCTCCAATCATCTTCCCTGTCTACTGCTGAGACATCGGCCACTTCCCCTTTTGGTATTTCCTCGCGCACATAAACTTGAATGGGTCAAGTGAGCAAGCTAAAACTCCTTCCGTTAAGAGTAAGCTTTCGAGAACAGGCCAGGGAAATCCACGGACGAGCGAGGCGAGGGATTGGCCCTGGTCAGCCGCGCGCTAGTTTCTTATTGTAGCTTGCCGTAAGGAAGAGTGATTGGCCAACGAAGCTTTCGTGTTGTGAACACTGAGGCTTATACTCTTTGTGTCGAATGCCGATCACTACACCTCATCGAGTTGCCGAAGGTCTATTTTGGATTATGGGAATCCCGTTACATGCAACGTTGGCTTTGCGCTATTGATTCGAGATAGACTATTGTTTCGTGCCTCTTATTATGATTCATCCTTTCAGGTTGGCCGACAAATCGGCCATGGACATGATACTCACTCGAGCACACAATCGCATCCTTCATACATGCAATTGAACTCTTTCCTTCCTTTTTTTGCTGAGGTTTACGAGAGTTCCATGAGTCACGGAATTGCCCTGATAGTCTCTGCCGGTGATATTCGTATTTGAAGTTTGAAGTAAGATAGATATTCGTATTGAACGAAACACATTCGTATTGAATCAACCTCAAGTATCAGGCCGAAGTGATGATCGTGTATATATCACTCCTTGACTTCATGGAATTTACCTCCAACAACACCCCAATCGCCTTCAACCCAAGTAGCCTTGATTGCCAAACGCTTAAACTTCCACAACCCATCAACATCCTCAACTAGCTCTCCGCGATACAGACTTCCAGACATCAGGCTGGGCTGGTCCGCTTCCATACCCTTCCCACCGGCAAAATGTTGAACGAAAACGGTAGCAGTCAGCCTAGCCTCCTTCTCGTCGCCAGCTGCTCCTGCGGTCTCACCGGCTCCCACTTTCATGGAAACGCGCAAATTAGTAACGAAGTGCGTGGTGTCGACGGCAAAGATGAGAGCAAGTCCGGTGCTGTGGATCTCAGACAGACCAGTCATGGCACGGCCGTTGACCAGAAAGACACCGTCGGGCAAAAAAGTTGAATCAAAGAGAGCTTGGTCATTCGTGTCCCAAGCCACGGCGCAACGGTACATGGCGTCGGCCACGGCGTCGCGCCCAGTCAGAGGAGGATTGAGAGTTGCAGGAAGGGAGAAATAGGATGCCATGTTGAAGATTTAGATAGAGTTTGCTCAGCGGGTTGCGTTAAGGAGTTATGTGGGAATAGAGCTTCGAGGATATAGAACAGGAATTGTCTTGCTGATGGTAGGAGGATGTTGTCCTGTGCTTTTAAGGAATGATGACCTCCTTTTATACATATTCTTCAATACCTGAAATGAAAATGCCGCAAGGATTCTGACTTTATTCAGCCCAACAGACCACTTGTTCCCGACATTTCGATGCCATCTTTCAGCTGTTTAATGTACACCTGGACGGCTTGTGGACCAAGTTGAACATCGAGCCAATCAACTGTTCATATTCCCGTTTTGTGGTTAGTGCAGGCCTCAGAAGCCGAGACATGGTTAGCGTGGACGATCAAGGACCGGGGTAGAGGGACTCCGGACAGGTTCGAATATGCCCTTGCAAGTTAATCCTCTATCTTAATGCTATAGGCTAGATTTTTATATTGTCCAGGTCGTAGAGGTCCCTGAGACGCCAGGGGGGAGAATTTTTCGAATACCTATGGACAATGATTTCCTTCTCATATTCACGGGCAACCCAACCATTCCAACTTCGACGTGATAACCTCGGAATGCATACGCTTGAAGGCAGTTTACTACTCAAGTTCTTTTGATTTTTCTGATGTGAAGCTTTGCTTGGGAGATAAGTAGCAATTGTTAGCCGGAAACCCCGTCATGCATACTACCGGTAACAGCGGTCTATTCCTCGTCACAAACCCTATCATACCTCCCGGACCAGTTAACTGCTTCACATTCATGTAGCACTCCCCCAGTGCCCAACTTCCTTGGTCGAGTCAGTAATGCTTTCATAATAAGAAGCATGAAAACATGTCACTTAGATATATCATTTAGCTATTAGCCTGAATAAGCCTAGGGGAGCTTGTAAAAGCCGATGCAAGTGGCGGTGACTCAAGTGATGAACAGAGTAATAGCTACAAGAATATGTACTCCAGACATGTAGCTTATTTTGGCTGCATTATGTTAGATATTCTTCATTTAGACGAACATTGAGAAGTTTGATGCATGTCGGATGTGGAGTTTCCTACAAACATTGCATTGGAGTGAATATGAGTTGAAAACACTTATAGAGCTAGTAGAAAACCCAACAGCAAAAAAAGCATTTTCCCATGTGATACAACTCTAGTCAGTCCATCTGTAAAATAAAGACGCAACAGACAGTCGTCACACGTTCCACTTGGGACGGTTTTGATGACGAGAGGGGAGAGATCTGTCGCCCTTGGAGATTTTTTCGAAATGATGGAAGCATAAGCTTTGATTACTGGGAAACACAGGGAGATACCATTACCAGTATGACGTGCATGGTAGTCGTCTTTCGTTCGTAAGGTGACAGGCTTGCTCCCGGAACTCGGTATCACATTGTCGGGCGGCGTGTTTGACAGCCGTATGTGTCCCCATTGCTCCTTTCTTTATCCTCTGTTGTTGAAGTTGCTTGCAGGATTGTTTGGCGGTGATGACTGTTGAGAGATGTTTGACAGCCACCTAGAAGTTACTGCCACGGCATGTGAGAAGGCGGTGACAAACTTGCCGCCCAAGAGAAACGCGTCGCGTCCCCAAAGATTGTTCGCCTTCTTCCTCAGGCTGCAGTTTTCTCCCCCCAACACATTTCATCTTCCTTCACACCTCCGTTATTTCGTCGTCAGTCCCCAATCAGCCTCCGTCACGATGCTTCCTGACGCACTGGTCAGTGTCTACCGACGCTACAAGGCCGACACAGATGCCTTGGCTGGCTGGCTTGCCTTGACGGCCAAATGCGCAGGCTGCCAGCCCCATCTGCTCGGCTTTTCTGGCGATGTGCCTGCGAAGCCACCAGGTCGGCTCAAAGGAAAGGCAAGGAAGCTGGCCCGGCTAGATCCAACTGAGGTCAAGAAGCACATTATCCCAATCAAAAGCTTCATCCCGCTAGCTGAGTACATTGCCTCCGCAAAGCAACCGAAAATCGAAGTGCCTGAGTCCGTCATAAACATTGCAACAAGAGTCATCCGAGTACGATCTCAATTCAGCTCCCGCCTGAGTGACCACGGCGCCGATCCAAGCCTCGAATCAGACAAGACACATTCCCACTTTGTTGACATTCTCAAGAAAGTCCTCAGCATCTTGAATCAATGTCGTCCCACTACTGATTCACAGAAGCGACCACTCGACGAATCGATCAGGAATTCCTTCAGCCACCTCACCGTAGAGGAGCCCTCGCAAAGCTTTCTCGACGTTAGTGACGATGAGCTGCCACCGAAGGTCCACGCAGACGATGGCACGGTTTTTGAGGCCGAGCCTCAAACTACCTACGAGGACGCCAGGGCTGCCTATGCGATGCTGCTAGCCGATTTGAACAAAATCAGGCGCGAGGTGAAGCTCGTTTGGCTGGCCTCCTCACACGGCACCGTGGATGTTTCAGCCGCTGGTGTCGTGTCAAATACAGCCATCGACTTGGCCCGGTATCTCATCGACCAGGTCCTCCCGCTACTGAAGGATCATGGCGGATCCTACGATTTTGGGGCAAGATACGCACTGGAGCTGATCAAAGAACGCGGCCATTTCATCCACGCAGTGCCCACTTTCACTCGCGAAATGCTAGATGATTTCTACAAAGACGTCGACGAAACAATGCTGCTAGCGTTAAACGCGATCAAAAGGAGAGAAATGTGCAGGTGCTGTTCGGAAATGTCAGGTGGCCGTGCTGGGAGTGAAATTCATGCTCAGGTCACCGACATCCTGCAGGTTACGCCATACAAAATCCAAGAGGACAACATCATCTTCGCGGATTTCTATGGTGACCTCATCGATCTTTTGTACAACTCGGACCGATATCCCATCGAAGACGAGTCAGTCCGTGGCATTCGCGAACTACGAGAAAAGCACCAGTCGCCATTCTATCTTGCCTTCGCAGCCCAGATCATTCTCGACATCCACCACACCCTCGGGTCGCGCGTATCTAGGCCTCTGGCTCAGTTGACAAAGGAGCTCAACTTCATGGACGACCTCATCGACAAGCACTACCAAACCGAAGATGTTGATCTGGACGAGAAGACTGATTGTCGTTGCCTCCGCAGTTTCCAGAGCGATATCAAGTACTTCCAAGCCGACCCTACGCTCAAGCATAGAAACCCCAACCGTCCGTCGAACCGCGTTCACGGAACTTCCCCCCCGACCAAGCATCGAATCTTGAAGCTGTCGCCAGTTCTTTGCGGAATCGCCATATTCAGCTTTCGCTCTAAAATGCACGACGTGGGCTTCAAGGCCTTCAACCGCAGCCGCTCAATCGTGTACGCCGTCCACCTTTACAACGCCCTGGTTAAGGAGAAGCTGGTCGAGAACACCTGGGTCGACATGCAGCTCGCGGAGAACTTCTTCGGTGAGCGCAACATCTTCGCAGGAAAGAAGCCGAGCAACATGGACGGGTACCTCAAGCAGCTAATGCTGCAGGAGGGGATGACTGTCCGCGGTCTGTGCAACATGTTCAACCAGCTCAGAGGAAACGGCCAGATAAGGTCGGGGACGGAGAGGCGCCGGTGCAAGGAGACCAAAAAGGGAGCCCCCGTTTCCAACATTTTTATCCAGAGATACAGCAAGAACTCCAAGCGGATTGACCTCAGACCGGAGGACATAAACGAGATCATCTCGCGCAGGCGTTGGATAGATGTTGAATCGCCTACCGAAGGCCAGCAAAATATTCAAGCGCCGACCGAGACAGGTGAACGACGCCAGTCCGTACCAGACTTGAAACATCGACAACATCTGTCCCCACACGAATTACTGAGGCCGTTGGCGAGTGCACTCACCGAAGAATCTTTCGAGATTGCCTTTCCTCGTCTCCTGATGCACAAGGTCTGCTGGGAGTTTCTGCAAAAAGTCACCGACGAGTGTGGACCAGATGTAGACAAAGGTCTTGACCAAAAGACCCCCTGTGATCCTAAATATGTTACCAGCCGCATCTTCTCACTTGCGGTAGCTGACAGGGCCAAGGGTTTGGAGGTTATGCAAAAAGCTGCTCAGGTGGTCGAGGACACGCTTGCGTCTAGATCACGGAGCGTGGTTCTCGACGTCATGGAGAAAGAGTTTGGTCTCTCCAGGGACCTGTTGGAACAAGTTTGCGCCGCTTCAAAGCTGGCCAGTGTGTTTTAGATTCCCGGCCATGAAGTGCGTTAGTATGGTGGACAGCAGAACAGGCTGAAAGATTGTAGTCGCCGGGACTTTATTGTGCAATGTACTCATCGAGCTACTGCCTGGAGTCTGACACACGCATTTATGATTTACTAATGGTTGGAGTTAATGTTAAGGACTGTGTCAACGAAGGAAATGAGAACAAGAGCATTTGATGATTGAGGCTTAGCAAGGAAGGCCTAATAAATTAATTTCAGCAACCATACATATCGATTTGCGATATCATCTCAACTCCGTCACCCCATTAGCCCCAGAAGATTCCAGTCTCATTAATATCCTACCACCAGAGTGTCTAAATAAATAAGGAGACGGGAAGATCAGTGCTACTTGGAACGTGTTCTTCCATCCCTTGGAGCGCGCAAGACATCGTCATAAGGAAGCGAACTAACCGAAGGCTTAAGCCGTCAAGTGAAAGTTCCGCCGAGACATCGAGTAGGTAGCTGTTAGTTAGCAAGTAGAGGTACTTGAATGTCTGATGGATGACAGTGGAGGTGGCAAGTACTGGCTACAAAGGGCTGCTCAACGAACTCAGCTTACAACGAATGTTTACCCTGTAATACAGTGAGAGGTAAGTCACTAACCAGATACGGAAGTCTACCGATGAAGCGATTTGTTTCGACAAAACCCTCACCTCATCATGTTCCCCAGTCCAACCGAGAAGCATAGCCACAGAGAGAGAATGGCATCTAGAGCCGCCCAGTCAGAAGCCCAAGGACGGAGGCCGACGAGGAGATCAAGATACGGGTGCAGGAACTGCAAACTTAGAAAGCTCAAGGTGCGCAACTATCTTCTAACTGATTGTCAATCACCCGCAGCTGATCTCTCTGTCCACGCCAGTGCGACGAAACCAAGCCGCAATGCAAGAGGTGCTGCTCGTTCGGAGTAGTGTGTAACTTCATACTCAATGTTTCAGATCTACAACCTGTCGCCGATGACTCAATAAGACCATCAATTCCTCTGAAGAGAGTTGGCCCTCGGCCATCGATGGCTAGTGCTGTCTGGACATCCGACACCACATACTTCTATCAATTGAATGCCAAATGCCAGGACTTCCTCACCCGGTATCTAGGTCGAAGTCTCATTACACCTGGCGACCCTAGTATGGTCGAAGTAAATCGGAAACTCCTCGCCCTAACCTTCACGGTAGGTCGCAACAGTCATGCTGTTCTGCTTGTGCTAGCATGGAACGAAAACTAACTATAATCGTCGGAAATTCGAACGGCTGACAATTCATCTACAGCACCCATTCTTGATGCACGCCTCATTAGCGGTGGCGCTTGCTTATGACCGCCATCTTAACAGCTCACCGGACGGTCGTCGCTCTGTAGAAGAATGCTATCATCGGTCTCAAAGCACCGCACTCTTCAACCAACGGCTACGAGAGCCGATTGGGACGGAGGATAAAGATCCAATATGGGGCACCGCAGCGGCTCTAGCTCTCCTGAGCTTCGCAACGCCTGATACATGTAGCCCAGAGGAATCATGGCCCTTGAAGACTTCGGGGTCCTCCGACTTGGAATGGTTACGTATGAGCAATGGAAAGATGTCGCTCTGGCGCATCACAGACCCTCTCCGACCGGAGAGCCTGTTCCATGTTATGGCGCCCGCCTTTGCCCAGATGAACTCACCCCTCCCAGATACGGGCGTCTTTGGTATCCCAAGCCCTCTAGCTAGCGTTTGCAATCTTGACGACAGTTCTACCGAAGACAGCAACCCTTACTTCAAAGTCGCCCATGCAGTAGCCCAGGTTTTAGATCTTCCCGATAGCCAAGTCACTACAGGCGAAATCGGGGTCTTCCCACGCAGCATACACGATTCGTTCAAATCATTGCTGTTGGAAAGAGACTCCATCGCGCTCTTGTTGCTATATCTTTGGTATCGCAAAGCAGGTCGGAGTATGTGGTGGGTTGAACTCAGAGCAAGGGTTGAGTGCCCTGCCATTTGCTTGTATTTGAGGACTTATCATAAGGAGTTCCATGCTTTGCACGAGTTTCTACCGGGAGGTTCACTTGCTAGAGAATAATAATAAAAGCAAAGAGAATTATCTGTTCCCATCGTTCATCTGTCATCACCTCCCTGAAGAAGCAACATCATCCTCAGGCCTCTATTGGAAGTGGTCACAAGGAAATATTGGATCCCTGTTCGCGATCCAAAGGCAATAAGGCGTCCATGATGTTAGGCATCTATACTTACTATATGGGTTTTAAAATGAGCATATCCTGGTCTTGTAAATGCAGTCCTTTCCACGTATTTATCCACTTCTCAGCGTCAGCACACCACACATTAACTGCATGCATAGCCAGGTTACAGCCACAGCAGAATGGCCCGCAGCGGATTTACCCAATGGTTGCAAGTTGTGGTATTTTGCTCAATCTCGAGTGGAAATATATATGGTCCAGGGGAAGCGAAAGCCCCGGATTATATACCGAACCAACACACTATAATCAAACGTCATTACCCATTGTGATGGGCCGTGATTTATGTTGTCCACCTGTGAAAACAGCCTTCAGCACCCGGCAATCGATGCAAAATGCCAGGTGAGACTGCTGAGGCTTTACCCCGCTACGCTGAGGGCTCGCATGCCTCAAGGGGCTTTCCACATCGTCGATATCGATCAGTTGCCATGTACTCCTTACAGGGCCTTATCCTACGCTTGGGGCAGTAGTCTTGTTCAAAATGATTCTCAAATCATTGAGATCGACGGTCACACCCACCAAGTCCGAGAAAACTTGTACAATTTCCTGTGCAGTGTAGGGCAGAGAGAGGAATACGGGCTGTTTTTCATCGACGCTCTTTGCATCAATCAGCTAGACAGTGATGAGAAACCACACCAAGTCATGCTGATGGATGAGATCTACAAACACGCCAGGCAAGTGGTTGGATGGCTTGGAGCCCCAGATTGCCAACAGTATATGAATGTCAAGATGTTGCATGAAAGCATCCGTCAGGATCGTCGCACTTGGGATCAAGCAGCCTGGGATGGTCTCACCTTTCTTAGCCATGCCAGCTATTGGGGACGCATGTGGGTTGTCCAAGAAGTGGTCCTCGCAGCCAGCATGGAGGTCTGGTGCGGCCCATTTACTTTCCCCATCGATTTATTTGAGAATTCATCTTCCACGAAGGAAGCCTCAAAGTTACGCTTCGCACCCGACGGGACCCCCAATTTAACTCATTCAGCCAGCGAGAGGTCGCAAACTCCCGCTCAAATCATCGTGACCCATCGTCTAAGACACGTTCTCCGGCCGATACGGCGGCCTGAGTGGGACCAACTACATATGATGACGCAAGAAGAAATTCAGAATGCTTTGCTGAAGCCAAACAATGCAGTCCACACGTACAAATCAAGGTTACCAGATACACTTTGGCAACTTATGTGGAAGTTTGGGCGGCAGAACTGCTCTGACCCCATGGATAAACTGTACGGGCTACTTGGGATCCTCCATGAAGACACTCGAGCCCAGATAAAGCCGGATTATGGCAGAGGTGTCATTTATGCCTTCTATCAAGCGCTGAGTGTCGGTTTACAACGGCTTTTCCCTATTGAAGATCGGACCATCGGTGAGCAATTCCTGGACGGGAAGCGCTCCTATATCTCCTACTACTGTGATGTTCGGAACGCATTCTCTCTAGACGACGAAATCACCAAGCCAATCTTGCGGCAGGTGTGTAAGGATCTTCAACTCTACAGGAGGGGGCGAGACGCACTGTTTGAGGCGCAGCTTAGCAGCATCTACGGCTGGGGTGAACTCGATATTCGGCATCACAGGCATCATAGAGAGTTTGAGAAGGCAATCTTGGGCATTGCAGAGGAAGAACCTGTATCAGAGGACAGTCGTGTCCTCCGCTTTCATTCGTGGCAGACGCGAAAGTTAGCAAGCTTGTACGTTGTCCCTCGCTTCAACAACAGGAGTATGCTAACATCTTGATTAGAGCTGGTCGATTCACGTCCAAAAGAGTAGATTCACAGGGGTGGCAGGCCCTGCTTGATGATTAAAGACCTATTGGAGGAAGATTAGGTGCCATAGATGTAGTTTATTGCGTTTCTTTCTCTGGCGACTGTACTTAATCAATAAGCATCAATCAACTATTGAGAAGCAACCAAAGCAGGCAGAATGCTACTGCCATACGCCTCAACAGGCGCCAAAAGTTGGTATGTCTCCCACTGCTGCCGAGCAATACTATCCGTCGAGTTCACCTCCGGCTCGATGAACTCATCCGCGTCCATTTCATCCTTGACAAAGTCCTGGCCCTCCTTCTCCAACAGCTTCTCACTCGCCTCTTGTTGAGCCCCGTTGTCCACCTTTGCCTTTGGTACAGAAATGCCCTGCGCCCAGCTAAAGTAGCCATCCTGATCCCAGATCTGCTTCACGCGGCGGAGCTCCCAAATGTTGTTTCCCCAGTAGGCCATCTCGTGCTGTATGAGCTTGTCGTCGGGGAAGTTGACGTACGTTGCGCCGGGAACCATGCCATACGGTCGAAGCTGCGGCTTCACCACGTCCAGGACGGCTCGCATGTCGTACTCGAGCCACTTGTCGGTGAACTCCAGGTTGATATATGCATTGTAGGTGCTCCCCCTCCAGCGGAATGCGCTATCCTTGCGCGAGCGAGCGTTGGCCTCGCCGCCAGAGTGGATAAAGGTGGCCTGGAAGACGTTGTCCTTCTCGCTGCCGAACTTCTCACGGAAAGTCTGCATCTCTTTGCGGAGGATGTTTGTGATCTTGCCAAATATCTCTGCGTTGTTCTTGAAGACAAAGGAGGTGTGAAGTTGGTAGGTCTTGTTGGTGGGGAATGCCTTCTTGGTCTCTTCGATCCACTGCGCGGCAAGTGTCTCGTGGAGGAATCGCGTCGAGACCTCTTCTAGAGATCGTTGCTTGAGCTGCGTCTTGAGATAGTCGTGCTGAGTTAAAGCGTTCTCCCGTCGAGCTTCAGTGAGGGTCTCCAGGTCCCCTTTTGGTAGTTCCCATCCATCAATGACCTCTTCGTACTCTTTCTTCCTGCCATTGAAGTACACGATGAAACGAACACCCACTTCAGTGTCCGTTTTACTAGTCTCGCAGAGCCAAGTGCTATCAATGGTCATAGCATTGGGCCAGTTCTTGGAGTAGAATGACTTCATGGTGATCATGAACGCATCCATGTTCTCCTTCTTGACGTACCAGGTAAACTTGCCGGCCATGACCCAGTGACTCTGCAGCTTCTTAAGCTCAAGCTTCATCTCGGTCACCACGCCGAAGTTGCCACCGCCGGCGCCCCGAAGTGCCCAGAAGAGCGCGCGCTTGTTCGGGTCGGAGTCGTTCCTGGTGACGGTAACCTCGTCGCCCGCAGCCGTGACGATGCTAAGCTCCTTGACGGTGTCACAGCCCATCCCGAAGCTTCTGGTGAACGGCGCCAAGCCGCCGCCAAGTATGAAACCGCTAACACCGACAGACGGACAACGCCCGCCGTTGACCACGAGGCCATCGAGGCGCTCGCTAATGAGCTTCTTGTACACATGGAACCAGAGAGCGCCACCCTTGATCGTGGCTGTCTTCTCGCCGGTCTTTTCGTCCGTTGCGATTGACACTTGGTTCATCAAGCCGAGCTCCATGAGAATCCCGACTTGGGCAGTGGACCCTCCAGCAAAGGAGTGTCCTCCGTTCTTAATGGTGATGGGGATGTTCCTTGCCTTGGCGATCTTGACGACATCACGCACGTCGCAGGCGCACTTGGGCTGGACAACACAGGGCGGGAGGGAGAAGCGGTATAGTAAATTAGCGGTGGCAATGTACCGCTCGTGGTCATCCTCGCCGGGCTCATAGGTAGGGATGCGCTTGGTTCTGAACAGTCTGATTGCCGCCGCCATGTCCTCGGGCTGGTATGGGAGGACGGGGATAGAAGGTTGCTCCGACATGATTACCGAAAGTTTTTTTAATGAAGAGAACGAGGCTGAGGCTAGGTAAGAAGAGTAATGTGTATCTGTGACGAGCAGATTGACCCAAACCGTTGCTGGGTCCATTTTATACTTGGAGTTATAGAAACCATGTTATGATGTAATGCTTCGGGAATCAATAGTGTCTGTCATGTTGCATTTTGGAATCGTATATTCAGTCTAGATGTCCACACCCTAGATTCCAGGTGGACCAAAATGGAGATAGTGCGGAGGGGGCTGCATGTTGGGCTGCAAAGATATTGATCTAGTGTTGCAGTTTCATCCTCAGCTGGCCAGAGTCGAGGCCGTTCGTCGTTTGGTGAGCCACTCGGGGACTGAAGGGGCGGCCCATTTACGAATGAGATTGATACATCTTTGAGACATGCAGCATTCTATGCTCCATTTCGCAAACCATCGAGTGATATTGGCACGGGCGAGATTGGGCTTGTATGAATTGGGAGACCTTTTGGCGGCTGTTGAGCTGAACCTCATTTGTCTTGCTCTCATTGGTCTTTGGCTCAATAACAATCATGCGCCGCTTTCAGCTTCATCTCTCCGATAACTTTACTGCTTTCACTATTTTCCTCTGCTCTTAGTTGCCCAAGACCACTCTGTTCCTGGGATAAGGTCCGAGCATATTGTAAAGCCGAATCTATGTGACCACTGGCCGACAAAGGCGATTCACCAAGTTGACCACATGACCATCAATCAGAATGACGCGCAATACATCGTGCACTGTCCTGCATCGCTATCGCTATCGCAAACATTTAGTTTCAGCATAAAGAGCCACGTGAGAGAAGTATCGAAGCAACCGACAGAAGATTCGGCTTCTATTTTGGGCAGATGCGACGCCGCAGCCGCCAAGAAGCGAGCAGGCCAATCAGCTCGCAGGACACAGCCGAGCCACGGCGGGTGATGGAGAAACTGCGCAAGATAAAGCGACGATCTTGGGCTGATTCTGCTGGGAAATAAGGCATTCTCCTCCGGCAGTCGTCACCGGCACTAATGAGCCCCCAAAACAGCGCTGAAATTCTCCACATACGGCCACCGAGCCACCGCTGGACACGACGCTGTCTCACAACTATCAATGAGGATTCTAGATGGCATCAAAAGAATAAATACAGCTCATTGCTCGGTGTCTACCTTAATAATTCATCATCCAACTCAATTCACAAGCTACTTCACCAGTATAAGACCACCACTTTACCAAACACTTTCACACAACCACCAACTCGTCAACATCATCATGTCTGCCCAGAGTTACTACGGATCTTCCTCCAACTCCAACTATCCTCAACAGGTCAGTCTCAAATCAGCACATCACCATCTCCAACTTCGGCCATGTACTAACTTCTCACCACTAGGCTCAGTATGCCCAACAACCAAGCCAGGGCTCTCCTTACGGCCAAGGACAGGGAGCCCCTTACCAGCAGTCCTACAATGCCCAGGCATACCAGACCCACCCCCAGGCTCACGGCCAGCCTGAGATGATGGTCGGCCCCGATGGCGAGCGAGGCCTCGGTGCGACTGTTGTCGGAGGTGGTGCCGCTGGCTGGACAGCCCACAAGGCCGGCGCCGGTATGCTCGGCAGCCTTGCGAGCGCCGCTGCCGGTGCCATTGGTGCCAATTTCCTCGAGAACAAGCTCAAGAAGTAAGAAGCCTTCAAGACCAAGTGCTCATGGCTGAACGATTCGCTAACAACATGTGCTATCTAGGCATCGCAAGGATAAGAAGAACAAGCACTAAGCTTGCGCAAGAGCCATGATGACTCATGATGTCTGAATATACGAGGGAGGGCCATGAGGGGGTTTTTATTATTTGGGATCAGATTGATTTCAGTATGCATTTGCTGTGTTTCGCGTTGATTTCTTGATTTTTAGTTTCGACCGCATATGCGAGTGCAAACTGCAACATAGATTATATGAATGATAATAGACTGTTTATGCAAGCAACGCCTTTCATCAAGTGATTTATCTTGACTTCTAATAGAACAGGATTCGGCTCTCACGGTGGTGGATTCCAGTCACACAAGCTTACATATATATACCTGTCAGCAATTGGGGGCGACAAGGACACGTTTTCTTCTTAAACAAAGCTAGAGATCAACAAAACCTATGCCACATTCTAGCACAAAACAAATATCTAGCAGTTCTCTTACCTTCATCATGAAGTCTCTACAGTGTTTGGTTCTTGCAAATATAGTCTGCGCTTCGAGCGCCGCGTTTCTGCCTCGGTCGCTGCTAGCTTACTTCGGTCTATCAGAGAGTAGCATCCCGCGTTTTATTCGCGAGATCAATCATCCCTACATCAAGTCTCGGCAGCGCGATATCGAATCCCTTTCAGATCCTACCGAGGCGTTATGCAATCCAGACTCACAGTTCCGGGCATCCTTGCCAGACTTCCCGGACGACCTATTCAAACGACTATCAGTAGACAACAACAAAGTGTCCCAAGGCAGGCGTGGATGGACTAACGCCAGAGAGGTACTATCTGACATCCTGAGCTGCAAAGCGGCTCTCGACGGCGTTGAGGAGTTTGAGGTCGACATATTCTTACACAGAGGAGATGATGAGTGGTTTGGCGAGGTGCCGACCCCACCTGATGATGTTCTGGACCTGTTTGTACGGCTCTTCGCCAATGCTCCGCGCCTTTCGAATCTCACATGGGTCCAACCGTCAGCAGATAGCGCCGCAGCCGCTACGTTTGAGAAATATTTCCTCGAGCAAAATGTCGAGTTTCCAGCCTTGAAAGAGGCAAGTCTCGGGCCGAACATGCATTATCTGCTGGCTGGGACACCACACTTGCGGAAACTTTCCTCCTACACGAAAAGTTACGTATGGTCGACTTACTCGATGAGATCTCTGTCTCAACAAACAGACGGTCCGCAGATGAGTTTCGTGAAATCCACTTCGAAGCTAGAGCGTCTCGAAGAGTTTGGCCTTCATGCAACGTGGACGCCAGAGTTGGTCGCTGAGCTACAACAATCGGCGAGCCAACTCGTGAAGTTGGATATCGACGGAGATGTGGACGGACGATGGGCTAGAGAGAATCTCGGGGTGAGCATGTTCCCTTGTCGAGCAAGATCGCGTGGGGCGTGAAATTCTACAGGGCAAAAAAACTAATACAATACTTAACAATATAGGCAATGGCAAGGGAACTGAGCAAGTTCGAAAATTTGAGAGAACTTCAACTCCCTCATGTCATTTACTTGGGATTCGGCTCTGATGAGTGGCCAGATTGTGGCAATGCATACTTCGGCGCCTCTGGCAGGGTCTTAAGACGGCAGGAGGAGATAAGTTATATTTCCAGCACCGAGAAGGCAGCTGGAATCATCGCTCCCCTGATGCCAAACCTTGAGAAATTGTGCATAGGTGGTGAGTGCACGGAGATCACGGCTGGCAAGGAACTGAAATGGCCATGGACAGGCCGGCTCCGAGAATATATGCTGGAGGAATGGCCGCGGTATGACGGGGCAAGTGGCGAATACGGATATGGATACGAGGAATCTGAGGACCCTCAAGGTCCAGTCCTGGAAAACTGGGAAGAGGACAGAAAGTGGTTTGGCGGGCCAGATGGCCATAGGGAGCTTTAATGCATAGGGTCTATGTACATGGAATCCGGTAGTGCGCATATGTAGCCTGAAAACAAGACACACCGCCGACTATTGAGATGTAAAGGACAGTGAATACCCAAGGGCTCGGGCAGAGCTGATTTGGTGCGAAGAAATCACCTGGAAGAGTGCATCGCGAGATATTTTCCCAAAGATAAGAGAAGATAAATGTCATCAAGTAGAACAGTTCACTAGCCTCGGCTTATTTCACTCAGTATATGATAAAGCTAATCCACTGTAAACATATAGAGGGGGCACGTCACCCATTGTTGGTCCGCCTAGCTGCTCTTCATTTCACTCACAAGCTTAAACATGTCTGCCAAGGTCTCTACGTTTGTGAGAACACTGTCGTGATTGGTCTTCTCGACAGTTCTCGCTCTTATGTCCACACACTGATCATGTGCTGCAGCTGCTTCTTCCCAACACGACCGGAAGTAATCTTGGCCCTTCTTACCAGTCATGATGTCCGACTCGGCAAGATAGATGCTTACGCTGAGCTTTCCCGCCTGGCCCTTTAAGTGTGTCTCCTTCTCTCTCGAAGCGATTCTCTCGACCAGATCATGCATGTTTTCGGCTTCATCCCACGAGCCTTTTGGTCCCTTTTTGAGACAGTTGACCGCTTCCCAGTTTGCACCAGCTGTTTCTTGATCAAACATGCCTCGAACCATGAGACGCTCCAGCTCGACTTGCGTATCGTACGCGGGCCCGTAATCACGTTCGATGGCCCGCATGTTCTTCTCCCTCTCCGAGGGCTCTTGGTTCCCAGGCGTCAGGGCTTGGGCCATCTGACCCATAATACCGGACGACGCCTCAATCGTTCCTCCTGCCTGAACTACAAAGAATTTGGCCAGCTTGTTCCACTGCGACAAGGCGAAGACTGGAAACACCTGTAGCGAGGAGATGAGCGCCGCGTTGGAGCATGCTCCGTCCACGAAGGGGGCGAAGAAGAAGACCATGGGATGCTGAGGGTGCAAGATCTGACGTGAGTGCCAGAGGAGGTTCATGTTGTAGAGTGTGCCTGCGCTGTGGGATGCGAGCGCGACGTGCTTGACGCCAAGTGCCTCCAGGAATTTGGGCAGGATGGCTACCCAGTCCTTGATACGATCCTCTGCACCAACATTTGGCGTTTTTCCAAATCCAAAACTGTCCAAATCATCAGCCTTCATTCAAGCATTGGCTTCCAGAGGAGATTACCGATCTGGGACCAAGACTCTCACGCCGTGCTTCTGTCCAAAGGCGTGCATGAACGTGCCGAGGAATCGCGACCCAAACATGCCCGGGGTGAACAAAACGGTCGGTGTCTCGGCATCACTTCTAGAATCTAAGTGTCCGCATTCCGAATAGCTGATTAGAACGTCACCATGCTTGCCGCCTGAGGGGATGGTGGTTGTTTGATGAAAGCGCGGATTGGCGAGATATTCCGCCGCGGCGTTCAAGGCAGTGTTATCGGAGGTCATGATGGCACCAAATTTGCTACCGACAGGTAATTCAATGCTAAGACTGAGGCCTGAGACAAAAAAAGAAAGCAGGTTCAGAACTATATCGTTCGACAAAGTGGTCAGCTGGATGCTGTAGGTGCAAAGTTCAGCCGTAAGCGGGGCGCTGCGGAATTGAGAAAGTGGGCTTTGCCAAAAGGATTCGTATTACAGTTCAGATACACCGAGCATGTATACTTGACACTATACATGGTCTGTCTAAGAAACCCCTTTTATAAGCGTTTGATTTGGATGGGATTAGATAAGTCACAGCCTCTCAGTGAGCTGCAGCCATGGAGATTCAACGCTTTTTCTCTCTCTCAACACCAGAGGCCTACCCTGCAGCCCGACAAGTACCAGACTCCCACGGTTCGAAACCATGGTGTTCCAAAGTATATCGAACGAGCATTTACAGTGGCTAAACTTCTAGATGGATTTATCGGATATAAACTTATTTAAATAAAACTCAGTCGTTTAGTTATGGCCGTCCTTTAGGAAAGACGTCGACAGTGGACGACATAAAAATCAGTGTATCGGGTACCATTCCCTGTTCATAGACACGTCATCCAAGCAGACAACAAGGCATATATACTGGTCTCAATGTACTACAAATACGCGATATCGATAGCATTACAGTTCTTTAGTAAAACAATGTATAATTATTCATCGATTGTCACCGAAGAGAGATGTCCATTGTGCGATATGTTCGGCCATTTGGCGATTGGGAAACAGCCGATAAACAGCTGAAGTCAGGCCTCTGTCGGGCCTGAATTGGGCCGATCTGCGGAGTTTTGCTTGGGGCCTGAACAATCCCTGTTATTGTTAGCGCAGATCGTCAATTCGCGTCGACGCGTCCAATTGTTATTGCGATGACGGAATTGAGGCCTGCCCTCCACACATTCTCGTAAATCAATTAAGCATCGACCGTTGGCGACGGGTAGAATCCACGCTGTAGCAGCCGAGTCACTTTATTACCTATTTACAGGCAATAACACCAATCAGTCTATCACCATGCCCCCTCCTAAGCAGACGCCAGTCCCCCTCCCCATCCCCGTGGGCATGCCAACCACGTCGTTGCCCGCGAATGTCGTGACCAGGCCAGCTCCTCTCGCTGAGAAGGACGCCAACGCTGTTCCCACCCCACAACCCACCGGCGGCAAGAAGCGCAAGTCAGCTGGGGCGGCTGAGGGCGAGGACAAGCCCAAGCGGTCCAAGAAGGCCAGCGCCAAGGACGCCCAGGATGCCCTCCTCGACGTCAACCACATCGACTTGCCCGGGCAAGAGTCCCGCAAGGTGCCCGTCTTCGACACCTGCAGGGAGATCCGGAAGAAGATCAAGGCCCTCTTGCGCAAGGGCGTCCAGCAGGCCGCCTTTGTCCGGGCGATGAACAAGGGCCTGCCCGACGATGGGGGCAAGAAGGTCAACTCAATGAACATGAAGCCCTTCATGGAGCAGAAGGACACCATGGACGGGAACACGAGCACGGTGTTCTACGCCGCCTATCTCTTCTTCGAGAGGCAGCGCATCAAGGACAACAAGCCCAAGACCGCCTTCCGCGAGGAGATGGAGAAGACGCATGGCAGGGAGGGTGTAGATATCGTCCACAATGTGAAGGGTGGGTTTTGGTTATTTGCCGGCGAGAGCGCCCATATGGACAAGTACGGAAAGCTGCAAATTGCAGGGGGGCGATGATTATTGGTCTTATGAATGTCATTTTGTATTGTTTCTCTGGTGGTGTTGAGGACTCAAGTTATTGTAAGGCGAAGCATCTCGACGCAACCAGCGGAGGAGTATTGGGGGCTTGGATCTCGGATCTATCATTGGCGTTTCGTAGGTATGGATGATTTGGAACAAAATAAAGGCGATTCAATTAACATAGCTGTCATCATGTGATAGATTGAAGCGGCGCGATCTTTGCCCTTATAGAGCTTGCAATCTCAACGAGGCAAGCATCTCAGAAGAGCACCCACGGCTTCCAACCAACACACTTCCCCTTCGCCGCGTACATCGTCACACCACATGCCCCATACAAGCATCCAGCAAATACAATAGCAGACCAGTATTCACCACCTGCCCCTGAAATCAATTGTCCTCCCAGCGGCACTCCAATGAGGCCAGCGAACGATGCCACAGTGCACGAGGTGGCCCAGTACCGGCCATAGTTCTTTATACCACACAGTTTCCCAATGCAGACAGGATTCATGCTCATATGGCTCCCGCTGCCAAATCCAAACATGGCAACGAAGACCACCAAGCCGGCGAGGGATGATCCAGCTGGAAGCCAGATGGCCAGACAGGACGTGCAGCACAATATGGAAGCAAGCATGTGAGAGTTGAAGGCCCCGAACTGATCACCCCACCACCCTGCTAGAATCCTGCCGCAGATACTGGCTGCATTCAGAATGGTTGGGATCTGGTAGGAGAAACTGAGGCCGAACCCTTTGCGGAGGGCGTAGCTCGAAACGTACGTCATGGGAATGAATAGTGCAAACTCCATCAGGAAGACTCCCAGTGTTGCCAAGCTGAAAGCCACGTCCCGGAATATCTTGAGGTCGGGGTGCAGGCTCATACCTCCGGTCGACGATAAACGTGTCCGGACGAGGAAGAACGCGCAAACGCAGCAGAAGAGGTTGATCAGTCCCACTGCCCACATACCCCATCTCCAGCCGGCCTGCTCGAAAAGAACACGCAGGATGATGGGGTACACCATACCGCCGAATGAGCTACCCGTGGATGCGATTCCTGTCGCCAAGCCTCGACGCTGTTTGAACCAGTGCCCAACAGTAGCGTATGAAGGAGTCAAGAGCAGCGCCCCTCCGATGCCATTCAGAACTCCAAACACTAATATAAAGCTCCAATATTCTGAACATTGGTTTCAGCTTTGTAATTATAGAATTGAAGGAGGGGGGGTTTCTCACCAGTGCAGATACTCAACAACATTGGGCAGGCGACGACACACACTCCTCCCGCAGCAAGCAACCACTTGGGTCCATACTTGTCGAAGATGGGACCGACGTAGATGCCGCAGAAGAAGGAAAGAAACGCCCAGAGGGAGAAAATCCACCCGATGGAGCCCTCTCCGTGGTCTGCGAGCTGGTGCCTGCTAATATACGCATGTATTGTAGCCATCGAATTTGCAAATCCCAGCGCACCGAAGCAGGAGAGCCAGCAACCGAGCACCACTAGCCATGCTCTCAGGCCACCCTCGGGGAAGTCTTGCTCTTGATCTTCGAGAGGAACCTCATCTTCTAAACCTGTCTCTTCAGCGGGGGTGACTTCATTTTGTACTGAGCGTTTTTCATTCACTGCAGGTTGCTGGGTGTTGGCCCCGGCTTTGGTGTCCGGGCTGGGAGGCATTGTGTAAGGGGTTGACGGATGGTCTGGAGTTCGCAACGCTTTTCCTAGGTGCACTAGAACGGTTTTCTTCCCTTGACGTCTGTCGATTTCAGTCAATCTGTTAATGTATCATCAAGATGTTCCTCTGGAAATGAAGAGCGAGCGAAATTACGGTATACAATGTTCTCGGCATCGGCTTGTAGCTCGGCATCGGCTTGACCCGCCTGTTAGGCCGGCATCGGCTTGGTGGAGTGGTTGAGCCTTCTTAGCCTGTACGTGGGCGAGTGATTTCTCTCGCTTAACACAGTCAACCCCAAGGAAGTCATGCCTCTAATCGGTAGTGGAGCCTGATTGCCGAACTGGCTAGATCTAATTATGTGTGCGAGTTGATGCAAGAGGAAGTGTTAAATTGCGTGATGGGAAGCTGCCCAATGGTGTTTCCCAACGTATTTTTGGAGTTGTCCGCTCGAAATCTTATTTACTGCCTTTGCAATCTAGGAATATAGGCTAACTAACATGGCTCTATATTTGGAAGCCTAACAGTCTTACTGGTAAATTATCTAATGCGAAGCCTGTATATTTTCGCAACATGAGAATGAGCCTTATATCGAGACTAGTGATCGGGCTACCTTGCCATAGAATAGTATCGAAAGGGCTGTTGGAACCTTGATCGTATGTTATTGGGAAAGACTTACGGCTGTTGCGTCCATTGGCCTATACCTTACATACGAGCGATTTGGTCAAACTTTCAATCGATTCAACAACTTTGTTTGGTTCTGGCTGTTCTGAATCTGCTTCAAATACTAGTAAAGTATTGCTTTCGGCGCGCAAGTCTTGAACCGCCTGGTTTACAGGTGAGGATCAACTGTATCCTCTACCACCCTCACCGACGGTCTCTGGACTGGTAAGACTGGTAAAAGTGGCAGGATTTTCTGCTGCAGTGATCATGGTGAATCGTTAGCTGGCCCCGCAATGGGCCAATTATGCATGTCTACACACGTTGGGACCCTTGTACAGGGCTGGTCCCTCATCTCGCAAACCTGCAGGCTGACATGCCCTTTTCTTTCTGAAAAATCACGGTTGCCCCCAAGATTCACGGTGGTCGGGAAAATTCGCCAATGCTGGAATATGCTCGACATGTTTTTGCCCCAGGAAGTCATTGACAACATCGTGTTCTCGCTTCTCATCACCGTGTATCAGTTCGAGGACCGGGCGGCGAGCACGCAATGGATCGATGGGCGCGTGTTCAGAACCAGCACGTGCAGAGATAAGCTTGGCATTGGCCATCGTACGGCCTTCGACCTCGAGGCCGTCTGCAACATACGCCTAGTATCTCTTGCATGGTACTATAGCGCCACGAAGCTTCTTGAGAGACACCTGTCATGGCATCTGAATCTTGACTCGGACTATTCGCTTGCTAAGGTAAGGCACCTATGTGTTGATGAGGTGGGGGTTGGAAGACTGCTCCCAACTCGCAATATTGTCAGGAGATTGAGGATACTGCCGATCAAGACGAGTATAGCACCGGATCGGATCAAGTATGAAAAGATAGAAGGGCGGCCAACTGAGGAGGAGTTATTGCAATGGCCTAAGGACGGCGCGGCAGCGTACCGACGTTTCGCGCGCTTCTGCATTTCCGATGTTAGCGGAGAAGAAGCTCGCAAACGATCAATAGCTATGATGGCGGTGTATGATATGTTCCATTGCTTCTTGAAAAGTCTGGTCCATATCGAATCTTTTGACATCGCCTTCCCACAAGCGCACGTCAATGTGGATGATCAGTGCGCAGAGTCATACAACTTCGATGTAATTCGAGGGCTTTCGCGGGAATTCGAGTACGGACTCCGGAAAGAGGCGTTCGCTTGTTTGCAGGACCTCCGTGTGTCTCTTCCAGGAACATATAACGTCAAAGCTTACCTTTCCGGCATGAGCCAAGCCGCGCGGGACAAGCTCAAAAATCTATTCATAGGGATCACAGACGCTACGGGAGCTGCTGGATGCCATGAATATAGCCGCAGTCCTTGGAACAGGACGGAAGACTTGGATGGGACAGTTCATGACTCCCGAGGGACAGTGCTGAAAATTCCACCAAGCCGCCTGCAGCTGTACAAACCGAATAGGCATTACCAAGACCATGTATGGGAATTCATCTCTTCATGCCACAATCTTACATCATTAGGCGTCAGGGCAACTCATTATCTGGACCTGCGGAACCTGACACGGGAAAGCTATTCTAGGCTCAATGGCCTGAAGGAACTCTATCTTTCCCGTGTTTACGTGGATAAAGAATCCATATTAAAGCTGCTACTGCCAAAGGAATGGGACCATACAACACCGGCGAGTCTAGGGAATCTCACTCTTGAAGATGTGAAGATGCATCTAGACGGTGGTACTTGGTGCCAAGTGATGCAATTTCTCTGGGATCATTGTGCGGACCTCAACTATGTCTCGCTGTTAAGGCTCTCCTACTTTTGTGAGCACCCGAGAGCCTGGCCTCGCGGTTATGCGTACCGCGTGCCTGCAGGAACCATCGCTACGCGGAATGAGGAGGACATTGACTCGGTCCGCAGGATTGTAGAACGGTTTCTACAGCGGGAGGGAGGCATATTAACCTGCCCTGATGTTTATTTGCATATGGCAATTGGCTTGGGATATGACGAATACAACTGCGAATGGGGCAAACTTTTTGAAGAAGGAAGCGCCTGATGCAGATGAGTGATACTGGCCTTTCAAGATCAGGAAATTTGAGTGACGGACCAGATGCAACTGAGATGACCCTTACTTACCGCTCCCCATTCTGTCAGCTTCAAATAAAATATTGTAACGCTCATCTTCAAATAGCCTGTTTTAGGCGACTTATATTAGAAATCAAAATTTACCTAGGATGTCGATGTTCCGGCCAAGTCTACCCAATTGCAGCGATCAACGTTGTGCTCCAAGATAGCATAAGTCTTGGTCATTGGGCACATCTTCTTCTCTCTTCCAAACTCCGATTAAACGAGATCCGTCGTATCTCTGACTCAAGGACGGTCACGTCGTGATCGAGCCCAAATCTCCTGTTCGAACGCGTCGCGCCAGATCCCACCCACTAATAAGCAGCTACGAGTCACCGCCAGGGTGTTCCCAAGTCCTGGCTATCCACTCTTCCAGGTGTCATTGCTTTAGCTTATTGACAAGTCGTCGGGTAGATCCATGCACGCAGATCGCGTGGGAAGCTGTCGTCCAATGAATGCTTCACCTACTTGTCATCCAAAAAAAGACACTCTCGTCTTGGATTGGTGCCCAACTCGGGATATATTCCACTGCCGTTCACCGCCTCACAGAGAATTTTTTTAATCCTCTTTTCTAATTCCTGTTCTTCAATTGATATCATTTCTGACTTTGTCGAGCGATAAGACTAACGTTTAACGTCTACGACGAGCGTCGGCACATACCGCTTGCTGACTGGGGAATACCGCCATGTCGATTTTACTCGACCCGAAGAAACCAAATGTGGAGTAAGTATTGTTGAATCTCTTCAGCACCGGAAATGAGGCTTACAATAGATACGCAGTATCGTCCTCGTCCACGGTGTCAACGTTTGGGGCAAGGAGAAACACGCTGCCGATACCTGGACATGCGACACACCAGACGGCAGAGTGCACTGGGTAAGAGATTTCCTTCCCATCTACGAAGAAACCTCTCGCGCCCGTGTCCTTGCCCACGAGTACGATGCGTCCGCCGTCTGGGGGACGGGGCCCAGGGCCGTCGGAGCCGAAGCTGACAGGCTGTTGGATTGGCTGCATGTTCAACGCAAGGTGTGTTCTTCCTACTTCCCGCGTGAGAACGTGCTACAGAATTACATACTTACCCTACTAGGGCTGTGCCGCGAGACCTATAATCTTTCTGGCTCACAGCCTCGGAGGTCTCTTAGTCAAAGCGGTAAGTTTCGAGCCGTCACTTCCGAAGTGATCTCATGTCTGAAGCTAATTTTCCGTTTGATAGGCCTTGGTACGAGCCAAGAGGAGTAGTGGCAAGTCATCGACGATATGGTATTTCACCACCGGCATCATGTTCTTCGGGACGCCGCATCGTGGTGTCGATAGCAACGTCCACGGCAAAGTCGCCAACCTCTTTCAGACCCTCAACGCTGACCGCCCCGACACGAACTTCTTAACAGCCATGGATGCTTATGCCCCAGAGATTGATCGACTTTACGAGAGGTTCAGTGAGATGTATGGAAGGTATCAATTCGTCACTGTGTATGAAACACGACCGCATAAGATCAAGCCATTGGGAGTGGTAAGTGAGATTTGATTGCTCCTTTAGATTTGTGTACTAATTGTGTGGTTAGATTGTTCCCAGAAATTCAGCGGTACTTGGCTTACCGGACGGTCACGAAACACGCATCGCTCTTGACCGTGACCACACCAGTATCTGCAAGTTTGCCTCTGACAGAGAACACGAATTCCAGGCCGTCTTTGCAAACTTCGTCCTTCTCTGCCAAGAGGCAACGACGGCTTTCAAGACACCCGGAGAGCCTGAACCGGTTCCTGTTAACCCTACCATCAATAATTATCCCCCTGGTAAGTCAAACAAATCGAGACAAGAGAAGGGCTGGAAATAATCACATTGAAACTCTGGACTGACAGAACCGTTAGAGCCCGAGGCGAGTATGTCATTCGAACAAGCACTGCTTGAGGCCCGAGCCTTCCTCAACTCGAAAAGGACCGCATCCGCCTTGAGAACCGTCGACGAAGAGATTCGAAAACGCCAGTCTTCAACGAACGGCAGTGCCATGAATCTCGTACCTCAGATCACTCTCGTCATGCCTGTTCTGTCTTCACTCGTGAAGCTTGGTCTCACATTTGGAGCCTATTTGATGCCAACACTAAAAAGCACCATCAGCATGATTGTAGGTGGATTGGACGACATCGAAACAGATCAGGAACAGATTTACCACCTCGCGAGGTTGAGTCTCTCCATCATGAGCGACGGCGTGCGGGACAGCAAGCGAATCAAGAAGAAGTTGGAGAAACATCTCTCCAGTGAACTGGGAGACTCTGCGCAGAAGACCGAGGCTCAAAGGCTCATAGCTGGGTTGGACGCCTACACCCAACTGTGGACGAGGGAAATCAGAAACCGACAGCCACAAATGGAAGAGGCGTATAGGAGGGTACAAGAGACAGAGGACTTCAAATCGGAGTTTGAGCGTGCGCAGGACGAATCGGAGGAGTCTTTCTTGGAATGGCTCGTCCTCTTGATTCCCAGACTTTTGGTCTGGCTTCAGGCGTTGATCATCGAGATAGGAGTATTCCTTGGTCGATCTTTATCTTCATTGTGGACTTGACAGAACTAAGAGCCTTGGAGATTTTTCTTTTGTTTGCATATTTCTTATTTATTATTTAGTTTTCAGTTACATGCATGTGGTCATCCTCATAAGGGTGATTCACCAACAAATGAATTTTTGATTAAAGCGCTTTGACCTTTACTTCCAACACTACCTCTGTCAAATTGATCTGCATGCCTCTAAAATTTGTCGCTCTTCGATTTGTAAAGGTTCTGCTCCCTGTCTCTCACTTTGCGATTTCATGTCATGTTTTCAGATTCCTGTTGTAGACTTTCATCTACCAGTCTACTTTTGTTCAACGTTTAGCTGTCCTCATTAAAAAGCAAGATACTATTGAACAGCGATCATATAAAATTACATGAACAGCATCAGGCGTCGCCACCACTACACTACCCCTCTCACAGGCGTGAGCTCTTCTCCTTCGCAGGTCCTTTACCTCTTTGGCTGAGAACAGCCCCACCGTCGATCTCAAACACATTGCCCGTTATATGCGCGCCTCCCTTGCTGGCAACAAACAGCACAAGCCCGGCGAAGTCTTCGGGCTTCCCAACTCTTCCACTCGGCTGATTATCCAACAGCGTCTTGGTAGATTCGCGCAGGCCAAAGGATGACATGCGGCTGGGGAATACGCCGGGCGCGATGCAGTTGACTGTCACATGTTGTGGCATCAGCTTGGATGCCAGCTGCTTGGAGAGGTGAATGCAGGCCGCCTTGCTGGGCCCGTAGCTAAAGACGCCAGTTCCAGGAGGGGACAGGCCGCCATGCTCGCCAGAGGTGGAATCAGCCGTGGATATACCAGCCATGCTGGCGATGTTGATGACGCGGCTGGGCTCGTCGGCCGTTGCGCCTTTGATGAGCTGGTGGTGCAGACCGACCGTCACGTAGAAGATGGCCTTTACGTTGAGGGCCATGAGCTTATCCCATCCAGATTCAGGAAAATCGAAGTAGTCTCCACCCCTAGAAAGAAACAAATGATTAGCATCATTGCGTGAAATATGCCTAGGCTATCTTCATGCTCACCACGTTGCGCCGGAATTGTTGATGAGAACAGTCAACCTGTCGGTGCGCTTCTTGACCTCGGCAACCAGAGCATCGCACCCGGCCTTGTCCTTGAGGTCGGCGACAAAATATTCGCACTTGCCAGGGCCCAGTGCATTGAGACGCGCGGTGGCCGTCTCCAGGTCCTTCTGCTTGCGGCTGGCGATGATGACGCGCGCGCCGTTCTGGATGAAGCCCTGGGCTGCCATCTCGCCCAGGCCAGAGGCGCCGCCTGTGACGAGCACGACGTGGTGGCTGGCATTGAACAGGTTGCCGACCGTGAGGTCGACGTTTGACGACAGATGGGCCATCGTGAGAGGTCTATGCGAACACGATTCTTGATTGTTGTTTGGGAAAGAAACAGATCGCAGTCGTGATATCCAGATACTACTAATAATAACACACGGACCAATTGTCAGGATTCAGGTAGACCCCGAAGACTTGATGCGGGGTTGCCGAGGTACAAGATAATGCCTGTCCAAGGAAAAGGGGCAAAACAGGTACAAAATAGGTCCAGGCTGACCAACAATACAGGTTTACCAAGGCAATCTCCAATCCTCTAAGTTTGTCTGTATATTCAAATCCGAGACAGTCAGTTACGGGACGGCGAGACTTTTGCTGTGCGTAGTGCAGCTAACCGCTCCTCTGCTAGCAGTGAGCTTATCAGCTTACACATCATCCCTCTCGACATGCGCTCCTCCCGGGCCGATACTCTGCCAAATGTTTCTATCGGGCCTCATTTTTGCAATTTTGTCGATCGCTAGCCCCTTGCGTCGTCTTGTCTAGACTAGGGAAAGGATTAGAGGTAGAGAGCGAGGTTGCGGTAAGACGTGGAGACGAGGAACCAGTCCTCAAATTCGGCATATCCGAAGGATTAAAAGTAATAATGATGGCCAAACAATTTGCGGCGCATCTAAGCAATGTAGAGAGCAATGATAAGTCGCGTGTATCCCCTTGGTAGGAACTGCAGCTTGCTTTGTGCTGCGCTGAGAAGGTTTGAGCAGATTTAAGAATGTATGGGGCCGCCACATAAGCACAAAAGCAACTCATTTCATTGGGGGACAGATTATCATGATCAACATACGTGCCGACCTCATCCCCAAAGTCAATCAATCAAGAAAAAGTTGATTTGTCGCTGAATGGCGAAACCTGGACTTTGTTCCTTCGCACGCAGTCTGAACAGCCTCGACTATCCGTCCAGTGAGGAAGTCTTATCCGCTTAAGAACAGCTGGAGAGCACAACGATTGATATTGATTCAGCCATCAGCATGAGCCCCATGGCCGAGCACGATTCCATCTCGCGATACCACTCTAGTACCCGACATCAAGAGAATTCTGGCCCACCACAGACATTGCCCAGGCTGAGACACCTCGGGCTCCCTTCATTTGAGGAATTCAGTTCTTTCCAAGAACCGCAGCATCTGGAGTTGAACAGGAAGGGGAAATCACAGATCCGCCAGGAGCAAAATCGCCATGCACAACGAGCATCGCGCCAGAGAAGAGCCGCTCGAGCCATGGATCTCGAAGAACAGCTTCAGCGTCAAGACGAGGAGCACGAAGAGGGGCAGCGGGAAATGAATGAGACCATCAATCAGCTGGAGTTGGAGCTCGAATCAGCGAAAGCTAAAAGCAAATTACTCGAAGAGATGCTCGAACGAGAGCGCAAGGATAGACTTGAGGTCGAGAAGCAGATCGGCGCAATGGCAGTGCCACGGCATATATCGCCCCAATCGTCCTGTCGAAGTCGCTCGGGCTCTGAGAATCGCCCTAGCCGAGAAAGCAGCGATAGCGGATAGTTTGACGAGCCTGGGTAATGGTATTGATTCGAGGTTTTGCTCTTCAGGTTGCATAATGTATGACATTTTCTTTCATTTATCAAGTCTCTATATTCGTGGAGATTTAGTACGCTATCGAAACTATCAACTATAAGCAAATCGTCAACTCCATACGTGATTGTCTCTTTCTGTTTTGACTCATCTGCCTTAATTTGTTCGAGTGCCAGATTATATTCATTCGCAGCTTAAAGACATCAGATCTACACCTTTGCAAGTTCCCTTAACCGGATGTGCCTCGCATTGAGATGTGTAAGGTGTCTTCCACCGTCTATGTTTTCTGAACCATACCACTAAGAACTGTGGTATCTGAGGCAAATTCGTTCTGCGAGAAGAAAGCCGGGCGACGTTGGCTTCTACCACTATGTTTGAACATCTGCAGTTGCAAATCATAATGAAGCAAATTCGCGAATTTGCGCGCTCGCATAAATTCTAGTTAATCGAATTGATCATTATTTTTGCAACGATGTAGGAACTCGTAACACCCAAGAAATGCGGTGAAGTCGCACAGGAAGTCGCTCCATCCTCAATGCAGGAAAATCAGAGGAGACATGAATAAAAAAACAAACGCCTTAATTCTATTCCCGATGCAAGGGATTACTTCTGCCAAACAGCAAGGGTCTCCGACTTGTCCAGGCCAACCTTCTCCCCAGGATACACTTCTAGGACGCGCTTCCAGCCATAATACCCAGCGAAGCAGGGCTCGTAATTCACCCAATCGTCGGTCGGACCTAACCAGACGACCGTTCCGATGTTGAGCCCGGCCTCGACGATGCCTCTGATGTGCTGCGACACAATGTCGGGGTGATGCGGGTAGATGAACATCAGGGCTGACACGTCCGGGTCCTGGAGTCGCGGGGTAACGTCAGATGCGCTGGGGATCTTGGAGAGGGCTGTCTCGGGCAGGTATTTGTTAGGGGCGCCGGCCAGCTCGGTCTCCACCTGGACGCCCTCCACTGTGATCCTGGGCTCATTGCCGGGGGGAGTGCGCGCCTTTATGGTGTCTGCTAGCAGGCGTTCGACGAGTCCCGAGCGGCTGCCAATGGAGAGGACGAGGTAGTGGTCGCAATGGCGGCAGTTTGTGGGTGCCATGATGTCGGCCAGGCCATCGAGGAACTTGGTAGAAAGGCTCAGGGGCGAGTCCTCGTGGCGGATGGGAGTCTCGCTCAGGTTCAGAGTTGGCAGCTCCATGATGAGTGGGTTGTGGGTCTGTGTACGCTTGTGGGAGAATCAACCTTGGTGATGCCGATGGCGAGTTTCTCAAAGTCAAAGGAGATGGAGAAGTTTGGGAGGAATAGATGCTGGACAGCCATCGGAGAGATTCGGCGAGGGCACATCTATATGAATGAATGGCCCGTCCGTAGCTACCACCCCCTTTGTAAGGAATTACCTGAATCTCACATAACGTTCGATAATCGAAGCCCCGTTACTGGTCAGCGAGCTCACTAAAACAGTAATAAAAGGCTAGGGGTTTGATGGGGAAGAGGCTAGACCGGGCCGGCCGGTCCAGTTTTCTGGGTCAGGTCGGTCCAAAGCAAACTCGATCTGATCTCGACTTGTCCATACGGTATGCCGATACCGCAACGCCGAATCTCGAGGGAAGAAGGTGGCGGCAACGGCCGAACTGCATGGGGCGATGAACACTCGTTGAGATTAGCGAGACGGCACACGGGAGTTCGTCTACTGGCAGTGATTCAGAAGGGCACGTGCCTGTTAACTGTCATTGGCAAAACCCCACATGCGTGTCAATGAGCATTAAAAAGGCAGAACGAAACTTTCCGTCGACCCGGCTCATGCCTAGCCTAACTGGGGAATTGCCCTTCCCCTCCCCCCGTTATTGGACTTCCAGTTCCCGACGAAAACTCTTCACAGCCGCCCCTCTAGCTTCGGTTGGACATATTTGCTTGACTATCGATCCATTGATTCAACGCAGTTGGACCGCCGTGCCATGCTGTGCCCCGCTTTCCTACAACGCAACATCATATACGTGTACGCCCGCGCGAGACTAGACCGCGGGGGACTGTAGGTTATTAAGTGATGACAATGGGATTGTCAGCTGCATGTGGGGGAGCACGGAAGCTAGTCGGGGCATTCCGGAGGCCACTGACTCGAGCAGACCGCTGGTTGGTAGCTTGAACACGTAAATGAGCCAAGCCAATGGTACTGATGGGCCTCGGAAAGCAGCCGTATGGGGCTGGAGAAGAAGGCAAGGCCGACCGACCGATCAAGGCCCAGAATATCTCGTATTGTTGGTCTTCTTGTTATCCGGCACCGAGACCTATCGCCAGACCGGCCGCCGTCCGGTTTACACCACCCATCGGTTTCCGGCCCCCGTATTAGAAAACAATGGCCATTCATTGGTTAAGACTAGCTTCATAAGTAATTGGGTAATTCTACGTATAAGAATATTGTCATCATTTCATTGAGTCGATCCTGTAGCATCCCCGACTGCGTTGAGCATCACACCACCTTGAAGCATCGTTGAAAAACAGACCAATTTCTAAACATCGCATTATTTTCACGTCTCCAATACGCTATCATGTAGAGACGAGGAAGGTAGTCATAATATCGGTTAAGTACTAGTCTCATTTCTATACTGTAGATATTTAGTATTAGATTTCGGAGATCCTGCAATTAGTGGAAGACTGCAAACGATTTATGGCTAGTATGGTTAGTGAGTAATATACTTCAGCAAAGAATAGTAGGATCACTCTAATCTCTAGGAGTAGGGATTAAAGGTACATTGGAACAATGAGAGCAGACTTGCACAGATCCAAGACATGGTAAAATCCAAAATATAATTTGTTTTGAGTTGAATACTCGGTATTCATTATTCGCGTCAGAGTATAGTAGCATCCGAAGTCTTCATCCTTTCGTAGTGATCCAGAGGTTTGTTTAATAAGTCTACGATGATATTCTAGGATTACTTGGCTAAAGGGAACTAGGGCCATGTCGAACTTGGGGAGAGTGATGTATTTAAATAAGTTTAACCCGTCGAAAATGTCGCATGTACTAAAAAGCGAACCTAAAGGCAATCACATGGGTCAAATGTAAGACCTGGACCTATACATAACGAGGGGAGTCCTCAATGCAGGACGTGCTGATTTCTGTTTCATTATTTCCCAAGGCCAGACTGGAAACTGGTTTACGCTTCAAGTTCCGCTCCTCGAGCCACGATCATCATATTGAACGATCCTTAGTTGGAATCAAGTGCTGGCAACATGGCGCACGTGTTAGTTGCCTTGAGAACAATGGCGATTATCTGAGACTTCTAGAGTATAACTATCGAGTATAAAATACTGATCTCATTTCTCGCATGGGTGCATGGTACAATAAAATGCACAAGAGGACACGATTGCGGAATTATTTTGAGAATATTGCGTGGACTTTGGTTTAGTGTGATGAACAATGGTGAACTACGGTATGTTTTCGCTTCCTATCTTTTACGTGCTGGTGCATATTCCGAGGTAACTCTCTTGCCATCGATCCGGGTTGCGCTTTCGCAGAATATAGATTGTCAGGGTACCCGAATTAAGCAATTGGATAAGGGAATGATCCTTTCAGTTGGATGGTAAAAGCCTCTTTACGGGTTTCATCCAGGCCGTGAAAGAGACAACCATTCTCACCGCCAGTTGATCACACCATTACTGAGTACAACGGAGATAATCTCTCATCGGAGAAATCTTACAGAACGGGCTAAGTTACCAAATACAAGGGATTTACTCTAGCTATATGCCAAATTTTCCCCCTTCCATGCCTGGTGATGATTCAAGTCATTACCAAGCCGTGTTGGTCGGGGCAGGCGCCCTCGTGTTTCACCACTGATGAAGTGCTATGGCGCTAAAAAAAAAACGTCACTGTTTTAAAAAACTATTTATAGTTTTGGAAAACGAGGGTTTATTCCTGAAAATTATGCAAAAGTTAGACTGACTATGAGTTTTCGCAAAAATACACTTTGTGATAAGCTTCGTTTCAACAATCGCAAGCCTTGGCATTCAATAAGATGGTCTCGTATTTCTCGGTGTAACAATGCCAATGCGTCAGCTGACAGAACCAATTGAGGGGTTTTGGAGAACAAATCTGCACATTCTACGGCTGGAATGCATTGTTGTCTCATGGACGCAGGCGAAACTGAACACAGGCTGTGGCGGTGGCTATAGGCCAGACCTTCAGTGGGATCGTCAAGGGCCAATCAGTGAGGGCTGCAGCCTAATAAACAGCTGCTTACTTTGCCCCTCCTGCACCGCGAAATGAAGCAGCTGTTTTCTTCCTTTTGCATCCATCCATGATCCATCCCTGTCCGATTCACCCACTCAGACTATTGCATCATTTGGTCAACACCTGAAAAGACCCGCCGCGTGTCATGCAGTGGTGGAAATGTCGGCCACGGAGCAAGCACTCAGGCTGCCCGAGCTGCTGCTGGCGGTCTTCGAGCTGATCATGGCGAGCGACCGCAGCTTGGTGCCTACAACCCAAGTAAATCGGGCCTGGTTCGACTGCGCCACGAGCTTCCTGTGGAGAAAAGTGTACTCCCGTGTGCTTTATCGTGTGCCAGAGCATCGGCGCCAGATCTATGCCTCCAAGATTGAGAAGATCGAGTTCGATGGCGAAGAGGGCGATATCCATGAAGCCTTCAAAGGTCTTCAGTTTGACCATCTGAAATCAGTCTCTCTGGATCTCTTCAACCCCCCTAAAGGCGGCTCCACTTGTCTTCGGCAATATATCCAGCCAACTCTGCAGAGCTTCAATTTCTGCGGCGGCGATCTCGATGATGAGTTTCTCCTCCAGATGAAGGCTTCGTGTACGCGTCTTCGGGCCGTGACCATCAATCTCCCAGGACCTCGTGTCACCCCATCTGCCTTCCTGAACTTCATATCGGGATCAGAGTGCCTTGAGGAAGTGAACCTCAATGACATGGAGGGCCTGCTCTCTGATGCCATGTTCCTCAACCTGGCAGGGAGGAGCAATCTTTTTCATCTTAGTTGGGGAACATCGATTCCGCCTCGACTCATCTCCCGCACCTCTAACGAAATACCTGCTCCGTTCAAGAATGTCCGCAAGATCACGACATCAGTGTCTACTTCTTCCGTCGCGTGGATCTCACAAAACATGGTTCATCTGACGCATCTCATTCTGAAGCTTGAGGATTGCAAACAAGATGTATTGCAACCTCTACCAAAGCTGCCAAACTTAAAGCGTGTTAGACTCTCATTCGAGCCGAGGACCGTACTGTCGACGGAAAGCCTGGTGGCTCTTAGATCACTCAACAAGCTGGAAACGCTCGACCTGGCAAGTAAGACTAGAGGCATGAAAGTCTTTAATGCGCGCGGCGGCACGTTCCAAAACCCCGACTTTGAGAATCTCATCTCCGGCCTGCCACTGTTGCGACAGCTGTCATTGGTGATCGAGGCACAGCTATCCGTCAGAGCAGGCGCCATTCTCGCGAAGCACTGCCCTTTGATTCAAGAATGTAATATCTTGAAGAATTTTGATACCCGGTTACTCATGGCCCTGGCCCCCGAAGACAAGCCCATGTTTCCATTTCTGCAGAGGTTAAATGTTCGCCGGGCTACATTCGACCGCCATGAAGAGCCTCAAACTCTCGAGTAAGTAATAAAGTAACGCCACCGGGTACACGACTATGTTCTTCGAAACTGATGAGTGAGATACCAGACAATCCGCGGATAAACTAATTGCTCTGATAAGGAAAAACTGCCCTGATTTGAAAATGGTCGTCCCGAGTTTGCATAATCCGTACTCGAATCTTGTTGCCCGGAGGTTTGATAGCCTCAACCAGCCGGCGGATCCATTGCCAACATTGCTTACGCAATGAGTTCAGGCATCTGCAATGTCAATAATCGATTAAGACACCCAAGCTGTTGATTATCAAAATGAAGAGCGTTTCGTTAGGGTAGCTGTTAGAAAATGGAAGTGTTGGCGAACCAAGCAGCTCATTTCTCTATACAACGTGCGGAGGATATTAGTTATTCGGGAACCAATCAGGCATTTGGGGTATGGCACTCCAGGACTAAGCAATTTCTTCAGTAGTCTGTTTCTTCAGTAGCCTGTCTCCGATATCGAAGTTGTAAGATTTCTATTCTAGGCAGGCTGTGGGCATGATGCTGGAGAATCATGGATAACAATCTATTAGTCTGAATCTACGTATGATCCAATTCTTAGCCCCGTATTCATTATATTGAGATGTCGGGTCTAGTATCTTCTATTGTTCATATTTATACTCGAACTCTCTTCCGTAGTTCTTAGCCCGTGCTCGTTCTATCCACCATATCTAAAACAAAACCCAACGAAAGCACCAAAGCGGGAAATAACAAAATTCCCCTTTGTTCTCCTTCAATACCACGATCAACCCAGCATATAATACATTTGTCCAAATTCAAATCCTGAGAATGAAATCTCTATAAAAAGACACTATATTAAAGTACTAATCTCTGCTTAATTGTGCATGTGTTGTCGAATGGAAGTCTACACATGGTTGCTTCGATAATCATCTCAAGTCGCAAACATTTCGAGTCACTGAAAGGTCCATCACATATTGAGAAACAATGCATCCATGTTTACCGCAGTTTTGTATTTACTTTCTTACCTTGGCTTTGGAATTAAATCAACTTCCAATTAGTCCTATGGGCGGAGTCGTGTTGCACCAACTTCGGAGCACAAGGCCAGCTTGTAACGGATCCCGACATCTAATCTTCTTTGTGTGACTCTGCGAATTTATGTGTGTGCGAATCATGGAATCTTGTAGGTATAAATTAATATGCGCGCCGCCGCAGAGTAAACCTCCATACCACCAAAATCACAAAAACTGCTTCTCGATACAATTCAGACCAACAGAAAATCCGACCATTATGAGCCAAAAAAGTGAATTCAGAGACATGACATGTCTCTTGGGTAGTGTACTTCAAAAGGCCAAGGAGAATCCTATGCTTGATGGGGTTCTCGAATCGAGAGTCAAGCGCGTGCATATTGAGTTTTCCGACAGTGAAAACCAAACAAAGCCTCACGTTGTGTTGAGGCTTATACTCAACGAAGGGGTCCTAGCCTTGCAGGAAAAAGGTCGCTGGAAATCTGCTGGGAGTTGCATGTTCGACTCGAACAACCGACAGCAAGTTGAAGGTGCTGAATCCGGAGTTGTTTTTCGGGTTCACGAGCTCTTCAAGGGGCAAACCTGGCAGATGCACAAGGATAGCACTATTGCCTTCATTTACGACGTGGACCCTGTACATACAGTCAAGGAGTACGTCAATGTCATACTCGGCAAACACAAGGGCCTTCCGGATGGAGAGAAGTCAAATCTATCCTGGTTTGTGCTCACCAGTGTGGATGAGCACACCCTAGATGGATGCCGCGATGTCGTGTGAGTATACCCCAACAAGTTGGACATGGAATTTCTGCTCAATCATTACTAACGCTTTGACAGGACTCAATGGGTCATCAGACTTCATAGGATGGGATTCATGAATTGGATCGCTGATCGTGCCATGTTAGACGACAAGGAACAGTGCATACGCTTCCCGCAAGAGTTCGACGCGTTCATTGCGAGGAGGTTCAAGAACCTCCGGACGGGTTTGAAAAAGCTCAACACTACTCCCAAGGTCGAAATGACTGGCGATTACATCCCCATGCGCTTCGGGCATTTTCAAGACACAGCAGTCGCTCGCATCATCCAGTATGGCGAGATTATGCTTCCCTATAGTTACCCAGCTGCGACAAGAACGGATAGGCGGGATGATTGTATCATTGTTCCTAGCCCCAGCACCCCCATGAAATGAATACAGAAGGACTCTTCGAAAATGCCGGGGAAGAAAAGCTGATGGCTAATGAAACGGGTTGGCTGTGTTGAACTCAAAGATCTGGGATTTTCAGAGCGTGTTAGCACTGTTTCGAGCAACGATGTTGCTCTCTGTTCAATAGAGTGTACTTATAAACACCGTGTCTCAAGTATATTATTGGACTTCATTGTGACCTTGGCGGTGACTCTTTCATGCATTTAGTTCTTCTAGATATCCACGAATGCTCACCTAACGCTGGGATGCTTGCAATTCAGTACAAATTTGAGTGCATCTAGCTCCCTTAGATTTATGCCCCATTGCGTAGCGTTTCCAAAACATTAAATACCAGGCCTAGGAAGAATGTAATCATTTCAAGGTATAGTAGAATTATGACCGGTTCACTGAATGGAAGTTCTTAGCTCTTCCACCAAACGTCTCCAGCCTCTCTCCAGGTATTGGAGCCACAGTGTACCTCTCCCCCCAGGAGGTGGTGGGAGAACCAGTCATCTTGGAAGGTGACGTTGAAACCCACACTCGCATACAATTTGATGGCTTCATTAGCAAGAATGTCAACACCGTCGATGATAGGGCCCCAGGGATTCGGAGCAAGAACCTGGGAGTCACTCAACACCACGCCATTCACTATTCCGGGATAGAATGCAACCAGCTGGATAGTAGAACCTGCCTGTCGCTCTTGGACAGCCCCCGATGGTGTTCCCCAGTCGATAATGGACTTCGCCTTAGAAGAAGGTCCTCCCGAAATTGTGGAGACGGATGATTGAGCATTAGTATTGTTACAAGGCCAGGTATGAAAGTCATAGAAAGTAGCCGACATGCGTAAGATCTCATCATCAGTGATACCCGTCGCGTTCTTGATCCGTGCGATGTTCTCCTCGATGAATTCGGCGGCTTGCTTCTGATAGGATTCAAACGAGTCGAGTTTCAGCGCTTGATCAATGGTGTACGTCGGTAGGCATTGGCCCGTCTCCCCCTCAAGAAGGCCGCGTGAAACGGCCTTTTCACCGCCATGGCCGTCTGCGGAAGCCTTTTTCAACAGTGCAAGACCTGCCAGCGGGTCATCAGCAACGAGGACCCAGCCGCGCTCACTATCTACAGGCAAAAATTGAAGAAACTCATCAACATGCCCAACAGCAAGCCATGAAGTGTCCAGTATCAGCGGGTCTTGTGACTCTTGGGCCTTAATAAAGCTCAGAATCCGCGGTGTTTCATCTTCCGAGGTACCCATGATGATGCGACCGGCTGGGTAACTCTTCCCGTTGTGAGTATATGGTGGGATAGTTTCCAAATTGCCAAAACTATCTCGAGTGCCTCCTTGTGCAAGCTGCTGCACGGCGCCTACACCGTCCGAGCGGAGGGCAGTGAAGACTTGCTCTCCGGCCGTACGAAAGCTTTGCGATGAACGTATCATTATTCTCAGAGAGATCAGTCCATCGGGGCCCGGGATGCTGGAGTACCCAGGCTCGAAGAAATCCTGGGTCCAGTGGTCGCTCGAGGATGTGAATTGGAACACAGGCTCGCTGATCCCAGCGTCAGCCACGTTCTTGACCAAGTTCTGCACGAAGCGGGTTTGGTCGGGCCAGCTGATGGTAGGAAGGGTGGTGAGTATCTTCTGCGCGAGCTGGGCATGGTGATGGGTTAAGACGGGGGCCACACGAAGCGCCACAACGTCCTCTGCACTTTCACCTCCATCAGAGACGGTGAAAGTCACCTGGGCACGCCCATCCCAGTCAGGGCGACGGACATCGCGGGAATCGATTCCGAGTTCCAGGCCGCCTTCAAGCTCACTGGCACTGAACGTATAGTTGGAAGAAACAAAGCCCCATGATTTGCCGGACTTGACGAAAATGCGAGTTTTGGCAGCCGCAACCTGGTCGAGAACCTTGACAGTGCCGACTGCAGATGTGCTCAATCCTGTGATCGGGAGGGTACGAAGAGGTGCGAGATATTTTGGATTCCGGAGTTCATTACCCTCGGCGTCATTGCAAGTGTCGAAATCACGGCTGCTCGCGCACCGTTTGTTGGTATCGCCAATATTGGCTAAGAAGAGAGCGCCCCTATCTTCTGTCCAAGTGGCCTTGCCCTCAACATCCGAGTTTCCTTCGACGTCAACGTGACCGTCCCTGTTAACGTCGGCCAAGATCGTCGCGCTGAGGGCAGCTGCAGTCTGCGCCAGAGCTGCAAAGAAGTTAGCGAAGTGCCCCGGCATATCCGGAGGTGTATCTTACCTAGGCCGGCGATCGCCAGTTTGCGAGGGGAATATGTCATTTTTGCTTGACTTCCTCGACCACCACGTTGAGATGATTGAAGTCTCCGTGTCTAACGGCAACGGAAGATGGCCTCGTTTTATTGACACGGCCTACTCCTACTTTGACGGCAGACCAATGCCAAGAAAAGCAAAAGGACCCAGAATTGGCAGCTCAACACGGTTCACCTGCCAAAGGTGACGGAGCATCTGCTTATTCTATCCACCGCCGGCTTGGCAAATGGACTCAGCCTCGCTGCATGGTCCAGAATAACCGCGTATAGAATATGAGCCGTTTCACCTTTGCTGGGGTAAATTGATTGATTAGCAGGCAGATCATCACGCGTACCGGGTTGAATTAAGCTTGTCCGCTTTGATGAGCACACAAGTAAGCTTTAAATAGTGATCCGCCCTATCCAAATAGCCAAGCCAGATCGTACATTATCCGCTACTTTCGTTTACTAATTAGCGTATCGTCATGATGAAGCAGATATTAGCACCCGGCGCATCCGTTGTTCACGCGCGCAGCTCGCGAAAATCTCGGATGTGCATACGATCGAAACTATTCCATCAATCCAAATAAAGATTTGCATCTGCTGTCTGTAACGAATCTGCTAATTCGTTAGCTCTGTTCCGTAGAAGTAGACTCGCAATGTATAAGAAATTGTGTACAGTTTCAACCTCCCCTCGGCGATGGACGCGTCACAGCCTGACCTTCCTCAGCAGTAGGTGCTTGAACTTTTGCCTGTTTATTGCTGAAATGCATGTTCATATGACCTCTCTTGGCAATAGGAGAGTAACTGCCGTGGGCCTGGCAAACACGAGAAAGCTAACGGATTGAAAGCATGTCCCTCTCTCCCGTAATGGGGCAGCCGCGCGTGGCCATTGATCTGCGAGCAGTAGCCTGATTCAGGCCGAATCCATCGGAGCAAACATGCATCATACATCTCTGCATCGGCTAGAAAGTCATACCGATGGCCGGTGGATAGCAAGATGGGAGGTGGGGAAGATGATCGTTGAAACTGATTTCTGGTATTATCCCTTGTCTGTGAAGACGCAAATGACGGCTAGCTTTGGTTAGACTGTTGGAAAGGAGTTCTTTGATGCAGGATTTGTTGCTGAGCGAATCGCGGAACAGGTTCTTAGAGAAAAGAAACTGGCCGCGTTACAATTTTCTCCAACATGTGGATTCGTGCTTTGGTTTGCGGGATGCCAGGCTGGCTTTAAGAGTGCACGGGTTAGGAGTTCAAGACCTAAGACAAGTAAGAATATACAACCTCACCCAGAAAACATCTATATTATGTATTTATTCTAAATTAATACAGTATTTTTTTTTTCTTGGTAATTTTGGGCTGTAGGCAGAACATTTTAACTAAACAGTGCATTGATAACAACTAGCTCTACTTCAATAATATATTATGTACTTAAAACATCACAGAACGGTGCTAGATCATCCAGCAACCCCCATAAACTTCTTTGAGAGTGCATCAGGGTCAACCTTTGATGCTGCAACAGCCTGAAGGGCCGGGCTTGATTCAGACGGCAGAGGCACACCAAGTGGTAGAAGCATCTTGAAGAGGAAGGGACTAAGATACGGGGTCTGCCTAGCTTCATCAGTGGCGATTTCGGGTTTGATGGTGATGTTGTCGATCTTGGAAACTTTGGTTAGTGAAACTGAGTTATTCAGACGCCGAGCGTTATTAATGACTCACCTCCTGAATGATGCGGTTCATCATGAAACGGCACTTGAGGCGCGCCTCCTCCAGGCCTACAACAGTAGGGGCAAACGGCTCGTCGATTGAAGGTGGTGGGAGAGTGACCACCTTCTGTGGAAGGCTGGAAGGTCTAATAACTTCAGCCACACTACCTTCAACCGACTCAGCCTCAACGGCAGGCTCTGGGGCGGGCGCTTCATCCTCCGTTTCTGCGGCCTTCTCAGTGATTGCTTTGGCATGTTCGGCTACTACGATATCAGTACCTCTCGGGTAAGGACGCATTGCTGAACATACCGGCTTTGTTACCCCTTGGATTTATAACAAGGGCCTTCGTTCCCTCAGAGACGTCATAAGCAAGAACTTGAATTGAGGCAAGAATTGACTTGTAGTCGAGATAGGCCTCCTGGAGAACATTGGTATATGTTCCCGTCTTGTCGTAAACAGGCAGGTCGAAAGTCTGGCTTGTGTAAAAGCTCCGGAGGGCCGTGTACTTGGTGAGCAATGCGCGGGTGCGCATAGGCGTCTTGGCGCATAGATCGGGGAACTTTAAGGCGACGGCCTTCATGGTGTCAAAGTCCCAGTCCTTGGTGGCTTTATTTCATACCGCATCAGCTAACAAGAATCTCATTATGATGAAGACCTGGACCGCATACCTTCTTTAAGCTGTTGGCCGCCACCGGTCCATGTCACGGAGACTGAGACCTCGTTCTCATCTGCTAGATGCTTCTTGATGTTGTCAAACTTGGCGCTAATATCCAGCGATAGCTCCTTGGTAGTAGACCCAGGGGGTGGGTTCTTGTTTTGAGAGAAAGCAACTCGAGCGCTGGAGTAGTATGTCAATGAGATGGAAAATACAGAAGATGTGACATATTAGTAACATACTCAGCAGCAATAGTCTGGGCTTCGTCTCGGTTCTTGGCTTTGATACTAATTACAGCCAAGAACTCGCCACCCTCCTGCCAGCCTGAGATGAAGGAATCTCCATAGATTTCAATTAGGCGCTGCGGCGATGCCTCCTTCATATTAGGAACAGGCTGAAACTTGGTGAGTGAATAGTCATAGATGGTTTGATTGACCACCTTGACGGAAACCATGATGCTGACGTCGCTGTCTTTGATCTTGTTGGTGTTGACAAAGTTTCCACTACCATCGACCGTCAATTGATCATATTTGATGTTGAACGCGCCATTGATCTGTCATTGGGGCACGTTTGTTAGCATTTTGCAGTCCATGAGAACAATCGCACTAACTTTCATCTCGTCAGTGACATCGGTGGTTTTCTCGATGACACATGTTTTGTAAGTGACGGACTGTGCCACTTGTGTGGGTTCTTCACCCTCCTTCTCAAGCTTAGCTGCTATGTCCACGTCACGGATAACTGCATGATCAACACATGGAGTCTGAGTAAATGAGTTAAAGCCAGAGCCAAGCTGCATGGCAGTGTTGTAAGGAACAATCTGAGTGGCCATTGTGGGAGAACGTAATAATGAAGTGTGTGTGTGATGAGCTGGGAAAACTGAGAGGGTTGGGGTTCGAGTCTGGGGCCTAGTTTGAGTAGCTCTTGTAAATACATCACAGAGCCGAAGGAAAATATCCGTTGACCCATGGACGTGGCGTCTAAGAACAGGCTGGGCCCAGAAATCCGACCTGGCGACCGTGCCGTGTGTCAAGACCTTTCAACATTTAAGGTATAGTTACAGTCATGGGTCTTAGATGGCTGACCGCACTTCAAACGGCGGTTCAGCTTGCATCAATAGTCTCGACAGGGGGTCGCGTGGAGCAGACTTCGGCTAGGTGCGGAGGTGCATGGAAGTGACTGCTGACTGCAGTAGTTTAACCTATCCAGATCAGCTCTTGGGGTGTTGTGCGGAGTACTGGCTACGAACCTATCATGGTGGTGTGCCCTAGGCCGTGGTGCAGCAATAGTGTCCAACGAAATGGATGTTCGTAAACATGGCCGTAAGCGAAAGCTACAATATCATTCTGCAATGTTGTCAATACAACCTCCTGCTGACAGCAGACGCGAGGTGGGCTACATTCCAGGCAATAGAGCATGACATTTTAATGATGTGTAGCATTCGGAGATTTTTATCCTCTTTTCCTTACATATATTTGATAGCTTATTCTGGGGGTCATACTATCTCCTATTGTATCGTAGCGAAAGCATAGATTGGTACTCTCGAAGCGAAGAAAAAGGGGCAAGCAACAGCTCAGTGACAAGCCCACGGTCGCAGAGTCGATCTACAGAATCATGATAGACCGTCCCCTCCAAACCCAGAGAAAATTCCTTGAGCAGAACGTCAGAGGCTCTGTTACCAATGTTCATTGCCCTTTGTTTGTTATCAGAAGCTATGTACCCGGCGGCAAGGCCGTCCTCCAGGCTAATGGCTGTGAAATTGGAGTAAAATGAGGTGAGTGAGTCGAAAGCAGCGACACTCAGGCCACCACTGTTGCTCTTAGATTGGTTTACATCATCGATGGACTTGTTATATGTCAAGAAGAGCGCCTTGATCTTCAACTGCAGACGCGTCGCCTCGAAGAAGGACTTGTTAGCCATCTCGCCGGAGATGGTGGTGTTGTTCACTGCTCCCACTCTAAGACCTGCAACGTAGAAATCGCCGTACGCACGACGGAACTCATTGACGGGATCAGAAGAATCGCTGAGCAGCTTGATTGCGCCCAGGTCTAGCCTGGGTATATAGACCAAATCAATTTGGCCGCAGATATGCTCAGCCCGAACGCTTATATTTGATTTCTGGACCCAATTTAGCTTTGACAGGTTACTTGCGTCGTAGAGGTTAACCAACATTTTTGTTTTCGCGTATACTCTTCTCATAGCTTCCACGGCCAGAGGCGCCCAAAAAGCTCCCGCCGATAGAGGCGCTGACGGCGAAGCTGGTGATTTCCGACTTGCTGGCGATGTCGGTGGCGGACTCGTCTCGAATCGAGGTCAATTGACACTGTCGGTAGTGAAGTGGAACGCCCTGTACATCCCGAAATGCGGACCGTGTTAGAAAGAGAGCATCATTCTGGGAGCGCTGCGTATTGAAGCCGGTGCCGAGCTGAACTCTCCCCTTCGCCCATGGCACAGAGAAGGGGGCAAGCTGGGCGCCTGCGTACTTGACCGTAGTCTCCAAGGGATCTTCTGGAAAGGCAGTTTCGATGTCCATATTCTCTTTGCGATGCAAGGTATTGGGGTTGAGGTTGGATTAGACAAGATGGGGTAATTAGGTGGGATATCGATCTCACAATGCGAGATGGAGGGGAGGGGCGTTACTCTCCAGACCCCAGTCCCTCAATCGTCATCTCGGACAAGCTACACACACCACCCCAGATGCTTCACACCATCGCTTCCACGGCTAGTGAAGTGTCCAGGTGGGAGCGACTAGGGCTGTACCGCCGCCAGGCTCGTAAGGGATGACAGAATGATCCGACATAGAGCTTATTCCTATTTTGCGGTTCGCTATAGACTTGACCGGTCTAGTCATGGGGCTGACAATGGAACATCCTACCGCCTCAGCCCTGAATACGCGCCAATATTCCACCTAAGCGAACTGACCCTCTACCTCGTAACTTCAGGGCCTAGAACATCATGTCTCCCTCGACGGCACCTCCTCGCTGATCTAGCTATCCTCGGCCACGACTTGGCAACCCTGTCTAGGGCTTGGACTCATCCAATGTCATAGATATCCAGGATCGTTCGAAGTCCTTTGATTGCCATCTCTCTGGTCATCATGTTGTCCGATTATTCTTCGCATTCCTCTACATCACCATGGCTCTCATGCTCGCACCCTACAACAGCGCCATGCGCTTGGGCATGGGCTTCAATTCCTACACCCAGTCCCTCTGCGTTAATGATGTCGTTCGTAAGCCTGGAAGTGTACCAGCTACTGAAAATGACTTGCGCGCCGCAAAGTTGACTGACAAGGCGGACGCTGCCAACACGTCACCGAAGCAACTGACTGCAGGCAGCTCACAACAGCAATACCCTCAGGCTGTCCTTGATGGGGCCAAGGGTAGCGTAACGAGAACTTTCATAGATGGACAAAAGGAAGTCAGTCAGGTCGTCACTTGGACTGCAGAATTCATTGAAAACAGCTCAGACGTCCTCAAAAAGCTGGAAGTGAGCGGTACGATGGCACAACTTGGTTCTGTTCAAGCTTGATTTTAAGTTATACTGACAGTTGGGCTTAGGTGCGCTGAGTATCAAAATGGCTGGACTCGGTTCACTCTCTGGCAAGGCGTCGTTTGTTGACTCAAGCGACATTAAAACGGCTGATATAAACTATCTCATCCATGTCAAGGTTGTTAATCAACGTTTGATTGGTGACAATATCACAGAGTTCACCCCGATCCCATACATTTCAGAGGGGCAGTTCACCGAAATCTATGGAGACTGCTTTGTCTCGGGGTTCATCGAGGGTGGTGAGTTTGACGCCATCGTTTCCATCACCACTGCCGATACCCTAAAGAAAATGCACATTGGTGGCGGACTTGAACTGTCTGCGGTTATCAGTGGCATTGAAGTTTCGGGCAAGGTCGAGGGCGCAAAGGATGACAACTCAACCCTGAAGAATGCCAAGACCAATATCAAGTGAGAATAATGATGAAATCGGGGAAAAGACGGCATGCTAACTTCCTCTCCAAGAGTCACCTGGTCTGGTGGTGGTGATATTCGAGATGACAACATCAAGGAGTGGAACTTACAAGCCTTGAAGGAGGTTGCTATGAGCTTTCCGGATGCTGTAGCAGCTTGTAAGTGAATAAGAGATTGCCAACCTGCAATGCATCTCGCTGACTTAATATATGCAGGTCCACAGCGAGTAAGGTAATCGTTTCACTGAAAATTCAACACGTGCGCTCTTGCTTATGTTAAGTCCAGCGCTATCTTGACCAAGTATACTTCCTTGCGAAGTTTCCATGAACAAACCAGGAAAGGGTCACCCCTGGATTATGAAAATGCCGGTGTTTACACGGCAGCTCTATATGATGCATATACTGTGAGTCTGTTATCCTTGCTACCTTTTGGGGCTACCAACTAAAGAGGCACAGGATTATAAAATGATATGGGGCGAAATACAGATCAGTACGTTGACTATGAAGCTAGAGAGACCATCCAGAGCCCATTTATTAATTTGCTGATTTTGGTTTAGTGATCCAGAAATTGAATTTGCAAGAGATTCAATTATACATTAGAGAAGCTTCTCCTAGCCTGAAGAAGTATGCTGCGATGATAGCCGAAACTCAACTCAAGAAAGAAGCAGCGTATAAAGCTGCTATCGAAGAGAGGAAAGCCAATGAAGACCTGAACGCGTTGGTACGCATGGCGGGAGGAAATCAGCAGCCAGCAAAGCCAATTGACAAGCCACTGCCAGCAAATGCTGTTCAACCTTACGATCCTGATGTATTTGGTCTGGAGGTCGCGGCTAGTGATTGTCGGTTCGAGATGATCAAGATTGTTCGAGAGGTATGCCAGTCCTGGATCAACGAGTGACAAGCGACGGATACTGATAACTTCATAGGTGGATGCAGTCACAAGAGATCCCCAAGTAGCCTGTGATCCTTCCCGCACTGGTCAATATCTGAGCCCGAGCGTGTTCAGATTGCTCGTCCCTGTATGTCATAGCATTTTCTATAAACAAAAAAGATCTGACAATGAGACTAACGGATTAGTCGACGAACAATATTCGTTTACCTACTATGGAGGAATGGCAGGGCACACAGCAGGAGCTCAGGGACTCCCAGAAAGCAGCGAAAGAGAAGAGTGACCACATCGATGAACTGAAGAAGAAGTTGGAAGCTGCTCTAATTGTGAGGATCTCTGAGTTTCATCTACCTCAACAACATAGCTGACAGTATCGCAGACGCCCAGGAGACAGGAGACCCAGGAAAATAGTAACCTTATTGCTAATTCCACGAATGAAACTCCTGATATACACCCCAGCATCAGATGTTCCGTATCACAGCTCTCTTACAGGGCAGATGAGTACCGAATGCAGAGCTTATTGAAAGACAAGAACAGCATTTCACCTGGCGCTATATTCTTTAATGATCTGGAACATTTGGAGCCCGGTGCCAGGCCCGGCGAACTGAGGCTATGGCAGAATGATAAAATCGAAGGCCTAAGCGTCGTCTACACAACGAGCAAAGAAATCGCTCACGGGAAGAGGGAGGGCAACCCTCAGCATGTGCTGCAGCTTGAATACGATGAAGCCATTACCGAGCTCGAAGTATACATCTCTAAGAGCGACGGGAACAAGCTATCCGTCCAAGGCATGGCTGTGGCAACATCAAAGTGCAACATCCTTGCAAGCGGTACTAAGGCTGGCTGCACAATTCACAGGTTCTCTCTAACAGATCTCCGCCAATGGTCGTTCCGTGGATTCTTCGGCTTCACGTTTGACGATGGCTTTGAAGATCTGGGCATCGTCTGGGGCAAGGATGTTCTGAAGGCAGCTACTGCTACAGTCCAGGCACCCGCAGCTAAAAGGTTCCTTGGAATGGGCCCGTCACTTCAGGAAAAGACGAAGCAGGCTCTGTCCGGAACCAGTCCTGCCGAGCACTTCTATTTGGGCGATTGTGTCAGCACTGGGTCGCAATCTACGCCGACTGAAATGAATAGCTTCAGTGCACTGGACACGATTGTTGGGACCTCAAAGATCACCAAGCTTTCTTTCAGCGCCTCGGCAGGTAGACTTAGCGGCCTTAAGGTTGAATATAGCGATGGCAAGCAGCTCATCCACGGTGCCTATGCCGAAGAGAGAGAAGTTTGGAACTGCCAGTTGAGGGGGCCTATCATCGCAGCCAAGCTGACCTCAGGCAAGACCATCACCGCACCTGAGCCCTTCATAGACACTGTTGAATTGGTCTGTGGCGATGAAACTGGCCAGCTACCCTTGTGGCCACTGGATGTGTCTACAATTCGGTACCTTGGCGACCACACTGAAGAGGACAGACTGGAAGTTGTCTCCAAGCTCGTAGAGCAGGCACCAAAACTTAACCGCGCAAACTGGACTCTACGCGGCTTCTACGGTGAGGAGAGTGCCGGACTGATTACTCGATTGGGACTGATTTGGGGATGCGCATGAAATTCTAGATATACTTTGCAATGAGGTGATTTCGATCGAACAAGAAATATTCTTTGTATTATGATGTCTAATGCTTGGAATAATCAGTTTGCTCTTCTCTCTCCTGAAGACTGCTTCCGGATAATCTACGATAATCTACTGCGAACTACCTAACTTGTAAAGAGTCCTAGCATAATTAGCCTTGTATATCGTTCTAACAAGTATTATGATCGCATAGCCTCGGAATTAATGATAGACTGGACCTTAAGTTATGCGATTACTTTCTCACGATAAATGGGCGTCTCTGTGACATGTCAATACGTGGACAGTGGAATATCACCCCTGAAGCCCGCCCAGTTTCCCACCCCGGATTCATGCAAAGACGCTGATGATAGTTATGAGTCGGAGGTAGTATTTTCATAAGGCATGGTGAGGAAAATAGTTAGGCGAGAGTGGTCAATTTAGAAACGCGAGGATGGTTGTTCAGCTCACCTCTAGCGCTGATGGCTAACACCTATCACGCTGCATGCTGCATGGTAAGATGGTGGCCTATATATTGATTATACTAACCAAATCCAGCTCCTATATTGCCCCAACGACTTTGTCTTAACCTAGGGTGTGCATACGCCCTCTCATGCCCAGGGTCTAGACCCTTTCCTCAAGATCTACGAGTAGAATCCCCTTCTCCTTTGAAACTGCCCACTGAATACTTCCACCATACTCGATCTCCTCAATATATTTGAACATTTGGAATTGACCTTTCAAAAACTCGTAAATCTGCTGAGTTTTTCTTTGATTGATTTAGACTGGCTGCCCAGCCAATTGTCGCAATTTCGTTCGTCCCAATGGCTCTACTATATCAGCACGCCACCAACCTCAGCTTCAATACAGCCCCCATCGTCTTCAAGAATGACGATAACAATGTTTCTGCCCTTGAAAATGCGCGGCTGCAAAAGAAACGTATGGAGGAAGCCGCTCGTCTCCAGAAGCAGCAACTGGAGGAGGCAGCTGTAAAGCTGCAGAAGCAGGTCGAGGACACGGAGGAAGTCATCAAGGAGCGAGACCACCTGCGTAGCGAGAGTGAGCGCATCACTCAAGAAAACGCAGCAGCAAAGGGGCTACTTGATGCAATGAAAAGACAGAAGGACGAAGAGATCGCAGCTCTGTCTAGTAGGGTCGCACAACGAGCAGCAGAAATAACAAGGCTGAATCAAATGATTTTCAGTGGGCGTGCTCCTAACATGGCTCGGCAAGACAACTGCCTGCCATTAGTGTATCATTACGCGACAGTCCACATTGTCAACGCGTTTTGCCCGCTAGGTCTGGATTCTGGATACCGTGAGACCCTCCCAAGCTCCTCTTATTGCATGTTGGTGCCTTGCTAACCCACCAACTTGTAGAGAATAGAACTAGGCTACACTGCTGGGAGTATTGCATAGGGATTGCGAATCAGACCTTCAAGCTGGAAAGAGTCAACAATGACATAACTCCAGAAGGATTCTGGACAATTAGCCGCACCGGCGATAACCGCAAGTCTTCATACAACCGCGTGTCAAATTAATGCTAACCTATTCAATGTAGACAAACTCTACTTCCCGAACAACACGGTCGGGCTCGATGTCCACGTTGGAAATGCTCCTGGGAAACAATGCTATTGGTACATTGGCCGAGCGTCAAGCAACCGCGTAGGCTCTTGGGTGTAAGTGCCGTGGTACGACTCAGACAGTGACATATGCTGACGACTACAGCAGAATCAAGAATGCCGAATGGGGCACGTGTATTCAGATGGGAAATGGTGGTAAGGAAAACGCGTATGTAAACTTCATTACGACTTGATGACATACAGAAAATCAGACTAATCAGTGCGACTAGGCGACATGTCTACTCATACCCGGTCAGCGATCATGCAGATGCAAATTGGCTCATGGTTCCCTTGTCCTTCAACTAGGATCCATGAATTCATTGAGCTTATGAGATTCTCGCATAGGAAGTTTCATCAGAAAGGTCATCGCGAAGATAGGACCTTAGTTACAAACATCACCTCATCATATTCAATTCACAAGGCAACCATCTGAACAGCGGTGCAAGGCATTCGTTGGGGTGAATTCAATCTCACCTCATATTTTGTTCTTTCATTTTTCTTCGCGAAAAGTGAAGGTTGTTCTCTCCATTTTACCTTGCAAATATTGCGAAAGGATATTATATAAATCCTAAATAGAAATTAATTACAAACATCCTTAGAGACGAATATTATAGTAGAATACAATTCTTATCTAATAAAACGATAATTATGGCGTACTATTCACAATAATTATTATACTCGCTCTGTGCGTGTGAATGTATTACCCCCTCATACCCCGTATTATCTCCCTGTGCGATACCCAGCAAGCTCCTTCTCTAAGTCGCTGACTTCGTGTTCTAGCTGCTCATTCGCTCTGTTAGTCTCCTTTATCTGATTACCTGAGTCTTTGATAATCAGCAGTGTTGCAATATTGAGCGCCAATCCAGATACATAAGCCAATGGGATGCTAGCTGGTGGGCTCCAAACATATGATAAGACACTCGCGATGCTGGTTGTAAATGACAGTACTATCATGGTATAGAAAACCTTCGGAAATTCAGTCCGGATCTTATCCTTCTGGCTGGTGCTGAACATCGGCCTGAGTACTACGTAAAGCCCTGCAAATCCAGCAATGCATTGGCTCAACGTGGACCAGAAATTGCTGTCCACAACGGGCAGGTCGTCTGGGGTCTCGCAGATATAGGTGGAGTATATGGTGAATGGCATTGCCACGGTCAATATAAGGATGACAGGTGATTTAGCAAATTGAAAGAGCGGTGCGAAGAGACTTGCCGCCTGGCTCCATTGCGTTTGAAGTTTCTCCATGGTCCGCACAGCTGGTTGGTTGCTACTGGTGGTAGCACGCTTTCTAAAGGATCTCCTCTGGGCATTTCCACTAAATGAGACATTGGCACCACTCGTCCATGATTGGCCCGGAGGAGGATTTGGAAACGGTGAGAGATGTTTTGATCGCTCTATTTCGAGTCAAAAATAGCAGAAATAGGTTGGTGTTCCGGGGACTGCTCACCTTCGATACTGAGTTCGTCAACTTTCGCTTTGCACTGGTCCAAATACGTCTCGAACATTTCGAATGTGTTTTCAATATTTTCCATAGCATCATCAAAAGATATCCCAGTCATGATGGTAATCTGACCGAAAGCCGCTTCGATGGAAATGAAGATGGGGGATATCTCAGCCAGTTGGCTGCGTATGCCATCGATCCTGGTGCTAAGCCAAGACGAATCCTCTCCATCTATTTTCCAACGAGTAAAAACATTGATCCATGCTGCTTTCCAGGTGTAGCTCGAATGGAAGCCTCGGCTTAGCCTGCCCAATACTGTCTGTTGTTGCGGGTGCCAGGAAATATCCGGGACTTGGCCTTGATCATCGAAAGTTGATAATGATGCCAACATCTTTGCGAGTGACCGGCATTGCAGAATAAGTAGTGGGTAAGCGATGGATAAACAGAGCTCGATAACTTCTTGTTGCGTCGCGGACATCCATATTTTTAGATTTCCGATAACCGTTAAAATCTCGATAGCATTCATGCCAACCAAATTAACGTATCTCTCTCCCAAAAGGCTCGTCGCCTCGGACTTCAACCTCCGGGCTTGATTGGTATCAGTCTGTGCTAACAGCGCGTTCGCTTCCTCAATGTTGGTCCTGTTAGATGCGGCCTCAGAGACCATATTCTCTAGCTCAAGCTCCATCTTCTATCGTCAGGTGAGAAATTTGAAGTATGTGGGAACGCATGGGCAGATGGATCTGAGGTAGAATTAGCTTTGAGGCGACTTCGGTGCTGCTTGTTGGCTGCCTTGAGACATATTTGTGCCCAAGGCAGCCTCAGGTAGCCTTGGGCTCAGTTCCAGATTGCCAGTTATTTGCACTTTCATCATGTTCATTATACACATTCGGGGTAACAGGCCAATAGAAGCTGAGATGACTGCAGTGCGCCACCACGAAGTCCTACATGCCCCATTATTCAAAGCTCAGCTTTGTTCATATTCAGTAAGATGCATCAATACTCTACCGGATGCTGTAGACTTGCGTTACTTTTAGCACCAGCTGAAAAATAGCGTGAAAAAAATGCAGCTTGTCTCTTTTCCCACACCGTACTGGAAGAATAGGAAGATTGTCTGCGATGATACCTATGGCCAGTTTATTGTCATGTCGCTAACTGCACAGCTCCTTTATTAGATACAGCATTCTAGCCACTAACTCTCATTTTACTATCAGCTCTTGCGTCCATTGCCAGTATGACTCTGGCTTCCGTTGACGGGGATATTGTTTGCCTGCCAAACGGTAAGGATAGAGGCAATGAATCTTTAATGTCTAACAGCAAAAGGTCATCCCAAGGTGAGCTTGCCTTGCAAAGGTGTCATTTTATACCTTGTCAAAGGGTCGGCAAGGTCTTCAAAAACTACCCCGCAGCACCACGAAAGGTGCTATTAATTCTGACAGTAGGAGAGAAAGATTACGCACAATGAAAAGATGTTATGACTAGGGATCTGGTGCGATCTAGACGTTATTAATCGCCTCAAATTTGCCCTAAGCGGATACTCGCGACCAATTGCCGGGATTAATAGTGGTGGTGTGATTTGTGATTGGCGCAGATCTCCCCGATGACTCACTGCATTTAGGCATCACCCAGCCAAAAAGATCTCTATATTCCTCGGCCGAGCCATTCATTTCATCGGCAGAAGAGTTTGCCTTTATTTCCTCAGAAAAAATCAATATGGAGTCTTCAAACCAGCCCACTCCTGAACTACGAATTGCCGTGGTTGGTTGTGTAAGTCAAGCCTGCCAAAGACCATAAAGATGTATGATACAGCACTGCATACTAATGAAAGCCTCGCTTTCTGGTAGGGCCATGGACAACTTGATACCATCTACGCTGACCTCGAGTCCGGATGTTCTAGCAGAGGCTGGAGCCTGTCGGATCTTGACCTTCTCATCATCTGCGGTGACTTTCAGGTAGGCCATCCATTCCATACCTGACGTCTCATTTCCTTGAATCTTATAGAGCATGGACCGCAGGCTGTAAGAAACGAATCAGATCTCAATTGCATGTCTGTCCCGCGAAGATACCGCCAGCTTGGGGACTTCCACAAATACTACTCTAAACAGGCCCGAGCTCCTGTTCTCACAATTGTCATTGGTGGCAACCACGAAGCATCAAATTATTTCTTCGAGTTGTATCATGGAGGCTGGTTAGCGCCCAATATCTTCTACATGGGTGCTGCGGGCGTCATACGCTATGGCCCGTGGCGTATTGCAGGCCTCTCAGGAATCTATGGCCGGCCAGATTATCGCAGCCCTCACCATGAACGACTGCCATACGATCGTGACGGGATCAAATCCGTCTATCACGTCCGCGAATATGATGTCGAGAAGCTTCTTCGAGTTACTGGACATATCGATATTGGGCTAACTCATGACTGGCCTGCTTGGGTGGAACTATGCGGCGAATATGAGAATTTGTATGCTGCAAAGCCCCATTTCCTCGCCAGTGCCAAGATCGACAACCTGGGCAGCAAACCTGCCAGTCGACTCCTAGGATATTTACAGCCCTCTTATTGGTTCTCAGGGCACATGCATGTCAAATTTGCAGCCACTATCAAACATGTTGAATCTACCTTTGAGGATACTGTTCGCTTGCTTCCCGTATCAGAAAGCATTCGGACAACTTTGCCTTTATTCAAGAAGAATTCTTCTAAATCTGTTGTTGAAAACACTTCCAAAGCCAAGCAGAACAACGTCACTCAGTTTCTGGCTCTCAGCAAGGCAGCAGGAGACCATCCTTCTACGTACATGGAGCTGTTGGAGCTCGAACTTCCCGAGCGCTCGGAAGAAGAGCAGCAGTATTTCTCTCGCGATGACAATGGAAAATACCATCTGTCTTACGACGAGGAATGGTTAGCCATCACACGCGCATACAACGACACCCTCCGGCTTGCCGATCCGAACACCCTGATTGTCCCTCCTGCAAAGAAAAAAAGCACCGTTTCTCCTACAACAATAACCCGACATAGGACCTGGGTTCGTGATAACATATCCAAAAAGGGCCTGCTTCGAATCCCGGAGGACTTCACAGCCCATGCACCGACACAGTCTGCCAACACCATGGCCGGGCAGGAACAGCCACCTGAATTTCCAAACAAACAGACTTCAGATTTTGCCGAGTTGTTGGAAATGGAGGACAAATTCGCCGTTTCCGTAGATGACTCTCACCAGGATGACGATGAAGGTGGGATAGAATTCGGGTGGGAATAGCCGATTCCTACTCCTGAGGCCCTTCCTGATTTGTAGCTAGCGAAAGACACCCTTCTTAAGAGGAGATTGCTATCGGACCACCAGATTTCCCTAAGTAATTCACAATAGATAGCTGCCTTAATATGATATTGCCCAGTTCAGAAGCTTACTTGAAATCAACTAATTATTCATGTGTTCTATATACTCGGTGGGGGCGAAATGATTAATGCTAAACAGCACCACTCGCTCAGGTTTTCAGATCTCGATTAAGTTGAAGATGAGTAGCTATAGCACATAGCTTGGATATCCATGTAGTCCTTGACAATGGGTTCAACATCCCCAAGCTGCATGATAGGCATAGCATCATTGATCGAGGCTGGAATGGTGCGGGCTGCGTCATTGAAGCCGGTGTAGTCGGCCAGACGGGTAGCGTTACGGCCCTGCCACTATAATATTACAAAGTCAGAAATTGCCACTATGACTGGGAAGGATGGGGAGGATGAAGCGCACCTTGGCCCAAGCACGGTCGACATTGGCGTGGTGCAGGAAAAAGAGCGGCTCGTTGGGCGAAGTGGCCGGTCCCATGTCGCCAAAAATAATGCTGTGAACTAAAGAAGATATCATGCGTTAGATCAATCCAAAGCAAGGCAGGTCAAAGAAGAGGGAGACAAACTTTGCGCGTGCGGTAATCCCTCAAGCATGCTGGACATGTCGCGGTAGGTGTCGAAACCATAGATGGTCTTCATGACCGAAGAGCTGTACGCTCCCACCTGCATGTCTCCAATGATGGAGTCGCCGTTCTCGTCCTGGCCCAGGCCGCCATTGAACTCGCGTGTGAAGCAGTGCAGACGATTGCCGGCATCGTTCATGTTGGGCCATCCCATGGCCAGCGTCAAGTTCGTGTTAGCAAAGGGACCATCGACGACGCAGCGCTCGAAGCCTGGCTCAGTGCTGCCAGTACGTTTGCCGTCACCTCCAAAGCCGGTTACTGGATCGAAAAGGGGAGAGTTGGGCATGTCCTTGGCATCCGCGTCGATGCTCCAGTCCCAGTAGGGTTGTGTACCGGTGAAGCCGCATTCGCTGCGCAACAGATTCTCGTGCAGCTGCACATACCAGCGATGCCACGGAAGGAAGTTGGCTACGAAGTGAATCTCTGTGTTGAGAGCAAAGTGGGTGTAAACCAGGTCGTCCAGGCGTGTCGTGACTGCGTCGACGAAGGCATACTTCTCCTTGGGCAGTCCACGTAGGCACACAGCGGCGCGGAGGTACTCAGCCTTCTCGGCGTTGGTGAGCTCTCGCCACTCCTTGCGAACGGCAATGTTGGTACAGGCACCGTTGGCACGAGGCAACGCGCTGGCAGCAGCCCCGGCCGCAAGGGCGCATACGGCGAGTAATGAGCGAGGGAGCATTTTGATAAGGATTAAAGACTGGCTGGAGTTAGAGAAGCTGTGTATTTGAGAACACAGGAATTATAGTCGTGTGAACGTTAATACAGTAGAGTGAAAATGACTAGCTTTCGTAGAAGAAGCCATCTCTTTATAACACTTCCCTTTTGCATCGGCTTTTCAGAGTGCATTTGGCAGTGACATTCACTAGCGCCGGCATCGTGGACAAACTGGTTAGTTTCCGTTTTCTTTGCTTGGCGGGTTCGTATTGAGACGACCCAGTCTCCCCCTGCCATCTAAACGGGCCCATTCAGCTCGTGTTTAAGACGCAAAACAAGGGGGAGCATAAAGGCCACGGCTTTACCGACAAAACAAAATTAACAAGGCCCTTGCTCAAGTCTCGTCTGCCGTGGGGTATTTGGGCACTGCATGGCAATTAGGATTTTTTTGGTCGGACTAACTCCAGCTGATATGCCTGTGCTTCAACTGTGTGCTCTTTAACCGAATGAGATTAAAACAGGAAACTTTTTACGAGCCATCGACCTGTTCGACACGAAGTTACAAAGTCTTCAGCACACACAGCAAGGCAAACGAAACATCAGGGAGACAGAAGATATAATAGATGCATCTAGCGGCTCAAAGAAATGGAATTTTTTCAGCGGCCAAAAGTATCAATAGGGACAAAGGAGCCAAGGACCGAGTTGTCGATAATCCTTTGCCAGTTCCCACCTTACCAACGTCGCTCAACAAGACAAAATGCAGAGTTCGTACTCCAGACTGTATACATGCAAAACCATTGGGTTGGAGGCAACTCAAAACCATACCGTAGATTTGCGAGTTAAGAATACGAGCCGCTAACCACACTAGACACTAGAAGCAAACAACGCTCCACAACTGCTACGTAAATGAGGTTTGGATTTGTGCGTGGAACCCCGTTAAATCAAATTGTTCATGGTTCCGCATAGTTCATTATCTTAAGATTACTTACAGAAAGACGCATCGTTAGAAGGGACTTTTTTTGACAGAAAATAAAGGAGGAGAAAAGCCTGCTGTCTGTTTTATACAGGATGAAACTAGCTAATTTCTCGACCCTGCCCATTCTTACAAGTGGGCCCCGACTCACCATAACCTATTAACCGTCTGTAGTCTGAAACGATTGTGGGTTGTCGGAAGAGAAGATCTGTTCCTTGGCCACCCAATTCAATCGGCATATCTAATGGCCAGAATCTTTTCAAACTCAATAGTGAGTTGTGTATGCCATCCTTGCAGTGACTTAAGTAACACTAAGAAATAAGCTTATAGGTGTAGTGGAATAGTCCGCCTCACTTCAAGCTAACCAGTGAAGCCATCCTTCGTCCTGTAGAGCCATCTCAGGACATGTTTGGATCCCCTTTCACCCAAGACTTGGGGTTATGCTTAGACCCATAAATTTTGTCATAGTCTACCAAATCATCATATTGGCATGGAAGCAACTTACGCCATAGCCAGGAATGCTCCCTCATACATCGCACTTTCTGCAACTGATCTTGCCAAGTATCTACTGCAGGCGCTGAGACATAGTCTTGATCAGCCTCAGTGTCAAATAGTTCGGGCTGTATGTTATATAGGCTTTGGGATGTCACATATCCAACTTCTCGAAGATATAACATACACCGCCCTCGAAGGCCATCCGCGCTACTTTCCTATGCTCTGCTGGAACCAGTAGGCCCCCTGCCTTAAGTTCTTTGCCGAGGCAGTATAAGTTGAATAGTAGGACGTAGCGAACAAGGAGTGCGCATTGTTGCAGTTCACACTACCGAATGGCATTGCTACTCTCGAACAACGATCTCGTTCAGCTGATCTGCCATTGCGTCGTATCTCTCTAACTTGACTTCGGACGAACGGAATACTAAGTTACCATCACCAACATCATTGAAAGAAGGTATTGATCATGAAAACTCAGTGGAAGGATGTGGACAGCCCATACTTCGCGATTGCCAAATCCGGGCCAGTGTTGGTGACCCTGTATTCATTAAATCCAGGTCTTCAAGACTCGCCAATATAAGAGTCTCTGGTGTCACTATTTTCCCCAGCTGGATCCTTCAAATATCAGACATAATCCGGAAGTATTGCTTAGAGAGTGTGTGTGCCTACATGTATTAGCTCGAACTCCGAGTTTAGCCAAGTTGTATGAGAGACCGAGTTTAGCCAATTCTGTCTTGGCCTCCCTCACCCTCTTTTCTCTGGACAATGTCCAGACTACTAGACTACGCTTTGGTGGGAGACTACTTCGTCGATGGGAGGCTACTTCGTCATACAAACTCTTTTCCGAAATTGCTGGATATGAACTGTGCTGTAGAAGCATAACTGCTCATCACCTTAACTGGGCTAAAAGAGACCGGCAGTTAGCTCACTGTGAGTGCTCGAGTGCAAAATGAAAACAGCAATAGAAGATTCTACACCTAACATCTTGACAAAATGATACAAAAGACAAGACATACACAGGCTCTATAAGCCTAGGGCTGTAATTATATGGAAGGAAAGTTTTATAAAACTTTATGCCAATAGCTCACTTGACACTAGGTAGCATAAGCCGCTTATAATGTCATTATTTAATCTATCCTCTTTTACCTAGCTTCCTTCATACACTTGCAAAGCGACATGTAATAGCCACTCAAAGTGCCTATTCGCAGGGCTCTCATCTAAGTTGATTCTACGAGTTCAACTCGAGATTCATCCCTTCAAAAAAAGATCGCTTCTAATGATTGGATTCTGAAATAAATTTACACTCAATTTCCGTGTCAGAGTATGCCTTTTCAAAAAGAAACTTGAATCCGTTGTCCTTGAAGCAATATCTGTATGGTGAGAGCAACGCAGTGCACCAGTACACAGTCGACAGTGTAGTGAAGATACATACGAGGACAGCCTGGCTTCGCCGCCCTCGGAAATGGGATTTTTACAACCAGGTCAGTTAAGTTCAGATTAAGAAGTACTTCAATACGTAATAAACATGGGACTTCCAAATGAACAACGGTGCAATACCCACCCCTAGCCCACCGCCCACGAACAGGATGATAAAACGACTTCATAACCTTGAAGGAACTTTATATTAACGCTCTGGCGTGATATGCTACTAAATGGCAGAATTGAAACCTGTACCCACAGACATTACAGAGCATTTTTACATGATGGAGAGTGTAGATGTATAAAGCCAATGTGATGAGTAGGCAAGATTTTTTCAAAACCCGTTGGATTATCTCGTCAATATTGTTATTTCCCCTCTCTTGTGCACCACACTGAAATTTCTCTCGCGATGGCTTCTGTGGCTGAAAAAAAAGGGGCAAAATGCTGCTATTTCTTTAACCCCTCTTGAGAGAGCATCTGCGTTTGATGAGGAGCTGTCAACTGGCCACGCAAATCAACCGCCCGCAGAACCAGTGCGCCAGAAATGGTATCAGTGGTTCTCTCCCACTGATACGGCGGAGGAGCGTCGTTTGATCATCAAGCTCGACTGCATAATCTTGCTTTACATTTGTATCGCTTATTGGGTCAAAAGCATGGACGGATTAACGATTTCGGCGGCATACGTCAGCGGCATGAAGGAAGACCTTGCTCTTAATGGCGAAGAACTGAATTATATCTCAAATATAAACCTGTGAGTATAACGTATTTTGGCAAAGATCAGCATCTGTTTGCAATTTTGGACATCATAGACTGACGACGGGGCTTCCAGGATTGGGTTTCTTATCTTCCAGATCCCTTTGACAGTGCTGCTAAGCTACAAGCCCTCAATTCGCCTTAAACTAGTTAAAATATCCTAAATACATATAGATGGCTCGATGGGGCTCCAGCCATTAGATCCCAGCTGCAGACCTGCTTGCGGGCACCTTGACTCTAGCTCAGTACAAGGTGTCCAACGTGGGCCAAGTTTATGCGCTTCAATTTTTCTTAGGCATATCAGGAAGCTTTTATTACCCTGGAGTTCACTGGTACTTAGGATCCTGGTACAAGAGTTCCGAGCTAAGTCGACGCGGAGCTCTCTTCTTCATCGCCAGCCAGTTGGGATCCATGAGTGCCAGTTACATTCAAAGCGCGGCATATACGACTCTCGACGGCAAATATGGTATCGCGAGTTGGCGATGGCTCTCTATCATTTGTATGTTTTTCCACCCGCCCCGTATTTTGAATCCGACATTTCCGACCAGTTCAAATTAATTCGACGGAACAGGTTTTGCTATTACACTTCCAGTTTCGGTTGTAGGCTTCTTTCTGCTGCCTGGCACTCCTAACAAAGTCCGAGGTCGCTTCTTGACTGAACAGGAGATTGCTCTAGCCAAAAGGCGCATGGAAGCCGAAGGACGCGAGCCAACTAAACCTCTGACTGTCGCCGTCATCAAGGACGTTCTATCTGGGTGGCATTTCTGGATTTTGATTGGCCTCACATGGTCTTTCTCCCAGACTGGCGGCACGAGTATCGACCTTTGGCTCAAAGCGGAAGGTTACGGTGTTGACAGTATCAACAACATTACTGGAGCTACCCCTCCGGTAAACATTATTGCGTGCGTGGTATGCGGTATTCTCTCAGATGCCTATGATGCCAAGGTCTCTTTGATTATGGGAACCGGTCTGGTGAACCTGTTTGCGGCCATTTGCCTTGCTTTGGAACATCCCAGTCGGCCTTAAGTTCCTATCGTACTTCATCTTTGGGACTGCATACGGTATCGCTACTGTTATTTACTCCTGGGCAAATGAGATCTGTGGTGGTAGCTCCGAGGAACGGGCATTCGTTCTCAGTGCATGAACACAATGGGGAACATATTTAGCGCATGGATACCGCTATTGTGAGTTTAATCCTTCCGAAATCTAATTGGATCATTAGTCTAACCGGCTCCGAAAGTCTTTGGAAAGTGACCGAGGCCCCTCGCTACCCCAAGGGTTTCCCATGGACCATAGCGATGAATGTTGGAATGATGGTTATGGCTTGGGTTACTCGGTACTTTTAGCGCCGAGAGATATCCCGAAGGCACGCGTCGAGTTAAAGAATGCTCTTTTTCTTCTAGTTGAGTATCTAGAGGAGCATTCTTACTCTCCAGACTTACTGGCAAATGGGGTTTTTGTTCCGGCTCGCAGGGTATCGAGGCGAGTGAGGTTTTCCCGAGGCAATACTGTGTTCAATGCGTAATTAGTTAAATACCCGCTATTGGCTACGGCTACATAGGAAATTGACTTGATTCATCGATTAATTTTACTCTCTAGAGGAGCTCCAGGTTGACAACATGGTTGTTGTAACCCAACACATTATGTCGGGGCAGTCTAGAAACCAGAGTCAATATAGTTCGGTGGTGGTGGGTGTTAGGGGCTAGGAATTCGGATATTTAAGTAAAAGGCTTGAAATTGATTCACCCAGCTATGTTATCTGTGACAAACGGAATCCAGCAGTGCTAGCTGTAGGTGTTTGATCTACAGCCTCAATGGACATGGTCTCGGCCTCCAGCAACCATGGAATCTTATTAACCGCTTCTCTCCAAGGATATCAAGACTTTATCAGTAAATACTAACATGCTACAGTCCTACTTTAGTTCACAGTTGTGTTATAATGATTTCACTAAAGATTGTACTATTTTGTGCGTGCCAGAAATAAGCAACCCACATAGCATAGTTCGGCGCTGGCTAATCCCCTCATGATCCTCTTGCCAATCCAATGACGCCGACTCTTACAACTTTATCTCTGGGCTTATGGGTTTCCTTTGAGATGAAGGCTTTTGTAACCATCATACCTACGACTTCCAACCACCATCGCCCCAAACAGGGCCCCCAGGAGGAGTGTAAGGGTTCGCTGCCGAAATGTCCCGGTACTCGAGAAATATCTACCGCAAATTGTTAACTTCAATACAAAAACGCAGTTAATGGGTGGCGACGCACCGATTTCGTATCATCAGGCTGGTAAGCACCTGGTAGAGCAATGCCTTCTGGCAGCTTCGTCGTACCACTTCCGGTAACGGTGATCTGGTGACAGCCAGGATAGAACTGGGCGAGACTTCCGTTCTTGTTGGTCCTCTGGAGACCGAGAATCTCATGCCTATTTTGCTCTCTACTTAGTAAGGCAACAGTTTTGCCCGTTGGATAGATCTAACCTTAAAATGTATTCACCAGGAGCAATGCTTGATGGGAGCTGAACCTCCCAAGTGCTGTTCTGAGTCGGGAGACGCTTGCTTGCCCATGGAACTTCTTCATTGGCATCATAGCCGGCATGGTCGATCTTAACCCACACATTACCGGTGCTGCCCGAGAAAGAGCTGCACGGACCGTTGCAACTCGCAAGATAAGTCAGAACTTCACAACAGTCAGACGGGAAACTCAGTGCATTGCTTTGAATAGATGCGGGACATACTTGGCCCCGGGTGGTCACTCTGCCAGTCTGTCCACATGAACTTGATTAAGCTTCCGGCAGATACCTGAGCTGTCGCTGTGACAGGGATATTGTTGACTCCATCCCGACCAATATTGCAAGTGATCTCTTCCGTCTATTTTTAGTTAGACAGACAGATTCCGATGAATAAAATGAATAAGAATCATTTACGAACGGTAAAGCGTCCATCGGTAACCGGCCCGTTATCCTTGAAAATTCTCGTGATTTTATTCACCGGCGGGTTCTTCTGTGGGTCTTTGTATGGGTTCCAGGTGTCAACAAGATTGTTCCCGAACCATATCTGCTGCACGAATCCATGAGCACATACAAGGGCTGGCAAGAAAACAGATAATGTGGCGGCCTTCATGATGGCGAAAGGGTCAGATATAGATCAGGACTGAAGATGCAAAGATCTATCCCACTACCCGACCCAGACCCGGACCTGGCTCCATTATATAGTCGCGCTCTACCCCAGCGTTTGAGGTGACTTTGAGACGTTACAAGTATAATGAAGGGTTGGCAAAGGGGTTGAATGAAACAGGAACACGGAAGGTGGGGTGGATGGCTCGGAAGGTTGGGGTATCCCGGGATTCGTGGGTTTAATAGTTCCGGATGCAACAACTCCGTATACATGTACGATGCCTGGAAAGTACCCGCATGAAAGGCAACGCTCTTGAGTTTCCCCTGCCTCCCTTCTGGACTAAAATGGTCTCACCGCACCCGGAGCTGGTATAGATGGCTCCGATGCTCTTAAGTTGACAATGATCTGCGTTTTTTTAAACTTCCACCACTCTCTTTTTATACCACGGAATCCCAATACAAAATCATCCAATAATCCAATATGGTATATGATCTCACAAAAAATAACTTACTTATAATATGAGGTAATTGAGAAGGGCATAGTTACTAAGTTGTAGATGGGAGTAGATTCAGTGGTCAAACAAGTATGTTATAAGAGAAAGAGCACTAGAAATAATATTTCAATGGAATAGTGCGCCTAGATTTATACGAGACGTAATTTCGTAGATTCCGTAGGGTGAAGGCACTAATGGGTTCGGATTTTCAGAATCACTATAAGTCGTGGGATAGCTCAAGCGTTCGATGACGGGTGCCCAAGACTAATCCACTGACATCTCAGCGCACCGACCGGTCTCAATGCAGTATGCTTCCAGGTATAGTATATCTTTTCTCAAAACTGATCCAGATAGCTAGAGGAGGTATAGATAAATGCAAGTTTTCCATCAAGCTAGGTATGCAAAATGTCGTAAAACCAAGGGCTGGCACAATGAGACGCGGAATACGAGAAGTGTAACGTGTCCCTGCAGCCAAAGTTCTCATTTCCACCAATAAACCCTCTTTGTAATCAGTGAAAATTTAAAACACCATGACGATTGCTACACTATAGAGGGGCAACAGGGTTGAGCCTCTAGGTAGATCTGTCAGAGGCCAAGAAATTGAACATATAAGAATGCCTGTCATGTGAAGATGTGTCTGACCTTCCGCGAATGACACAAGCACCGAATTCAGGCGTGTTCATGGCCATAATTGAGAATAGCTAGGTAATACATATCATTCGAGAAAATATGAGATGGCATTCCAAACGTTTCAGCACTCCTAACAACAGCAAATGGAATTCGGCACAGACAAAGGTGCTTGTATGACCACTCTCTAATATTCTAGACAAAACTTCGCGCTCATGGAAGAGATGAACCAGTCCCTATCCCAAGCGGCTTCTTACATTTTACGGCCAGCAAGATTCGAGTGGACTTTGCAATTGCCAAGTTGGGGAGTACGATATCTACTTCCAGATCTTGAATGGCATTGTTACAATCCGAAGATTATAGAAGGCGTGATTCCGGCAAAGCCTAGACTCCAAAGAAAATTTGACTGCCTGAATTACTGCCTGAGTGGATAGCATTCAGATGTTATTACGATCCGGCTGAGTGAGTAAAAGTTCGTATTATACGATTATCCATATAGTGAGAAGAGTGTCTTGACTTATCTCATCTTAACCCACTTAGGTAGAATGTCGAGGGATGTACTATCCACATATGAAGCTGAGAGTTGCCAAGCTTTCCAGGTCGAATCTGGGACATGGAGGAACGAAGCGTGTATGAGCAATGGGTTGGGTAGGGAGTGTAAATGGATGTACAGCTTTAGAGTGATGTCTTGATTTTCAATTTGAGATATATACTTACTCCTCATTACAACTACGATACTAACGCCGACAACCTTATAGAAACATCTTTATTATTTAATCCAAATCGAGTGTCAGAATGCAGTATCATGGCCTCGTCTCACTTTAGGTTTTCGTGACAATTGTTTAATGTGCAGTTGATTGCCACTCAAAGAACAGAGATTGTAGTCAAATACATTCAAGTCCGACGGAGCGGCGATTTGCGTCTCGGCCGGCCCCTGTTGGAAATCACGATGAATCGGAGAAATCCAAAGCCAATAAAGGATCGAGATGAAGTGGGGCAGCAGCTAAAGAAGCCAATCTTTGCATACTTAAAACAAGGCACTCCACTATAAACAAGGCTCAGTGCTTTTAATATTACAGGTCTTCAGGATCGGGGCGAAGTATCGCTCCCGACGGAGTAATTGTATGAAAGATAAAGTCCGGCACACCAATACCATCAACACAGATGGGATCTATGCAACTGACATCCATGCAGAGTGTAACTTAAGTCCCATAACGATGACATTTCCTGGCCATTTATATCTGTTAATCAGCCCTATTTAAAAGCTTGGCTGACAAGCGGACCATGGTATTCCTCAGATCCGGGGACATTTGTCAACAACCCTTGTCAATGGGCCTTGAACTCGGCACAGCAATGTGAGACCTAGATATGATCGTCCTTTTTTAGGGCTGCTATGAGCCACGAAAGCAAAGGCCAGGCTGAATCTTAATATGGCTCAAACCGAAACTGGGAGGCGTATGCTGTTGAGCTCAAGCGTCAGGGCAATTCCGGTATCATTTAAAGCAACACCTTCCTATCATGCTTTTACTTTTCCTTTCATTTTTCATAGTCTATCTTCAGCAGACTGTTTTTCTTTATTTCTCATTTGAGTTGCCCTTTTTCCTCTGTGAGGAGAAGTCTTGAAGTTTTATTGTTTCTACCCATAATACATTCAACATGAGTCCTATCGATCATAGCCGGTCAGGAAAGCCGGCAATCATAGGGCCTGATGATACCGAACAACGATCGATGAGCTGGTATTCGGTTCCCCAAGATGAGCTCTTCGAGGAATCGACTGCCTATGACCCAGGCGCTCCGATTGAGATTGCGCCAACACACACGAGCTCAGCAGGCGAAGGGGAGGAAAATCTATCCCTCGGTCGCGCAATCAAACTCTACCCCAAGATGGTAGGGTACTGCATGGCCATGACAATCCCTATCATCGGCTGGGGTTACGACTTGGTTATTGTCGGCGCCATCACAGGCGTCGACTCTTTCACGACAGACTATGGTGCTATGATTGATGGCATACAGGCAATTCCAGGTAACTGGCTGACCTTGTGGATGGCTCTTCCCCCAGCAGGCTCGGCCCTCGGCGCTGTCGTGTGTGGTTGGATGCAGGATCGTATCGGCCGAAAGTTCAGTCTCATGATCGGCAGCATCATTTCCGCCCTCGCCATCTCTTGCATCTTCTTCTCTTACTTGTTCGAGCCCGTAAACATCAAGCGTGCCGTCATTACGGCTGGTTTGACAACTCAGGGCTTTACGGTCGGTATCATCAAGACTACCTGTCTGACCTGGGTGTCCGAGAACTCACCAACAGCACTGAGGGGTTCGGCAATGGCCTTATTCCCAACATTCACACTTATTGGGCAGCTTATCGGAGCAATCGTCGTGTTCATTGTCAACAAAGTCGAGACTGCGACTGCGTACCGGGCTGCCTTCGCGTCTCAGTGGATTCTGTGCCTGGGCCCCTTTATCCTGTCGTGTCTGATGCCCGACAGCCCGGCCTACCTGATCAGAGCAGGCAAGGAGGCTCAAGCAATTGCGTCGGCTACCAGACTGTTTGCGCCAAAAATAAATCCCCGCATCGCTCTGGAGAAGATCCGACACACCATTGAGGAGGAAAAGGCATCAGTCACATCAGCCTCGTATTGGGCTTGCTTCAAGGGTACCGACTTGCGGCGCACCATGATCGTCATTCTTGCCAATGTTTTCCCTGCGCTGTTTGGTTTAGACCTCCTGTCCAACTCGACCCCATTCCTTCAAAGCTTTGGGATGGAGTCAAGCACTAGTCTTCTGCTCCAGATATTCGGTATTGTTGGAGGTATGGCTGGCAATGCGATTGGGCTATGGATTCTTTCGCGCTCGGGACGTCGTAACATGACTATCATATCCATGGGTGTTACCGGACTGCTCTGGGGGGCGATGGGCGTCACGGGCTTCTGGTCGAGCCCTACTCTCACATATGCCGCTGGAGGAATCATGATTGCTGTCATTGTAACTTGCGGCTTGGGATGTTGGCCCGCAGGATATGCCATCACAGGAGAGACGAGTTCCCTGCAACTCCGAGCTCTGACCCAGGGCATTGGTGGTGTGGCAGCCCAGGGCTCCTCTATTACGATTGCCGCTGTCCTCCCCCAGCTGTTTGGTCGAGACAAGGCAGCTCTTGGCGCAAAGACTGGTTTTGTGTTTTGCGGACTTTGTGCAATCGGCGTGCTTCTGACTTGGTTGTGGATTCCCGAGATGAAGGGCCGCAGTATGCAGGAGATTGACTACATGTTTGCAGTGAAGCTGCCTACAAGGAAGTTTAAGCATTGGAAATCGGAGACTCATGAGATGCAGGAGGCATTACCGCTACGTGACAATTAAACCGGAATTAAGGATTTTTTAGGCTACATCAACCCCAAGAAATGTTCGAGTAAGCTAGCATACCTTATGTAGCAACCAAACACTCTTATCCATATCCTGTATCTCCATATCGTTTTGATGGTATATGTTCTCTCCTTTTTACACTTTTAATCACATATCTTAACCAAGAATATCTATCGTCTTCCTTGACTATGCAAGCGAGATACGTATCTACAAGTTGCACAGCACGGGACCCTGACCCAATTACACCCAAAAGATTCATTAATCAGCTAAGACACTTCCACTCAAAGAATCATGTTCAATTCAAAACATTCCCGACGCTAACAAGAGTTGTTTTGCTCTCAATTTTCAATAATGCCAGCGCATGATACCTTGACGGGTGATTCTGATGGCATCCGGCTTGGCATTTATTTTCAAAGGATCAGCTCAGCACCAGCCACAATCCACGGATAATTCAGCACCGCTCCGCTGTTTCACCTGATGCCTCAGAGAGGTCAAAACTTCCCACCACAACAACAGTTGCTAGGCTCGCCCTTCCAGAACGGCGTAATCGCAACCACAGCCCCTATCAGTGTGCTTTCTATCCTCAGTCCGTATCTGAACGTCATGGGTAATGGACCACACGAGCTGCCCTGGGAGGCGCTTGCGGCCAACCTTGAATGGCGCGCAGAGAGTCCATGCACATTCCAAAGCACAAACTATCACTTCCAATTCAAGGCGGATCAAAGTGATTCCATCCGGAATTTTATCAACACCATGGCGAGCGCGATCAAAGGATCCGCAGACCGCGAGCGACTCAAGTATCCCGATCAATATATTGTCCCTGCTGCGGATGACATCATGATTGACATGACCGTCGCGAGGAAGATTGCGCCCCTCATCCACAAGCTGCGTGAAGACGGATGGTACTGGAAGCAGGATGACCTACCCGACGCAGCCTCGTGCCAGCATCTACGTGATGACTGCCCGGGCATGCTGCCGCTAAAAGAACGAAAAATGTCCGCCTTTTTACGGGTGTTCGATAGTGACCAGGCCAACGGCATATCCTGTCCCTTCGACAGGGTGGCGAATGAAGACGTATTTTTTAATCTTGAGGTTTTCAAAGCCCTTGTCATTTGCGGGGAGATGGACATATTGCTCAGAATCTGCTCGCATCCAGACGTTCATTTCTCATATTGGCTGGATGGGCCCCTTTCTTGCGATTGCGACGACGACGACGATTGCGGAATCGGCGATGACAATGAGTGGGCTTTCATAGCAAACCACGCCCTATGGTCCTTTATTACACTGAACTTGATGTCGTGGCTCAAGCGAGCCTCAACGTCAGGCGTCGGCCATCCCAATAATCAGAACGTCTACCGTGACACGGAAGCCTACCAGGAGATGGTATTCGAGCGGACCAGGTTCCGTTGCTGGCCCCTCGCTCAATATCAACACATGTTCTTCTTTGGTATTGCGGGCCAGCAATTTCATGAGTGGGGTGGCCTCCATGACGAAACGAAATGGAAACGGGCTTTGGACCTTTGGGGGATCGATTACCTGCGGTACAGGCCTCTTCTAGGCTATGGAACATATGAAGATTTTCTCGATTGCCAAGGCAAAAAACTGCCCGAAAATACCCACCACACTGCCACAGAAATATCACAGCTTCGTTCAGACCTTGTCACGCGCACACAGCTTCCTAATGAGCTGATCGACCGGGTCCTCGAGGAAGGAGAATACGATACCCCTACACGTCTGCTACAGATCCCCCATGACCCCCTCCATCCGGCCAATCGCAAAGAGCTACACAAATACCTCGAGGAATGTTGGGCTCTTCTCGTCAGGTCCGAGATTCTCGTCAGAGCTCTCAACAGCAGGAGAAGCGCGACGGCGAGGGCTGGCGGGGTTGCTAGTGATCATCCTGGTGAGGACACAGGCCCTGGGATCGAAATGGATGTAGTAAACATCGATTGGGAAACAGAAATCGGTGAAGTGATCCAAAAGCTTTTTGGATGTACTTGCTGTCTTGACAAGCTCAAGAACGGTGAGGACATAGGTTTCGTGAATTCCAAGGTGAACACGAACGCAGAGATGTGCTCCAGGTTTCGTGCGAGTCGCAAATGGCCATACAACAATTAAACGGTGGTTGGAACATTGCACGTGAGAAACGCTTTCGTTCCCAACTTTCACATACGGACCGCACTGGCAAGGTGGCTATGGTATGATACCTTGAGCTTATATTCTCTGTAAGATTGTATACACAATTAGCAAATGATTGCATGAACAATTGGCAATACCCAAAACTCCATTCTATGTGCCCAATATGTGTTCCGTAAAAGTCCACCTGGTTCACATGAAATCAATAACAACTCCCTCAACTCCATATCGTAAGCCATTAAATACCCGTCGTGTACAAATAAATACTGTCAGTAGGCTATATACAAGCAATCAGACGACTAGAATATCAACGGACGTCATGAATGAATTTCTGTCATGACGGAATCAAGCGGGTTCAATATATGCAAGAAATTAAAGTTGTTCAAGATCAAAACGACTGAAAGCAAGAATTGCCTAGTTGGACGTGTAGTGAGCCACGTAGCCAACCTCCTGGCGAGAGCCATAGCCATCCAGGGTGGCGGCGTTGGGGTAGCCAGGCTATCATCAATACGTTAGCAAATGTCTTGACCGATAATGTACAAGGAGGTTTATCATATTTGACTTACCCAGGTCCCGCCGACTGCGACGTTAAAGATGATGTAAAGGGAGCTCTGAGCAAGCGCCGACCAAACGTTGGTGTTTCCGATACGCGAACCGCTCACCTGATGGAACTGGTTTCCATCGAGATACCATGTGATGGTCTGGCTCAGGTAGTTTGAGTTGCGACGGTCGATCTCCACACGCCATGTGTGCCAGCTCTGGTTAGGGATGCTCGTCGTGCCGGCAATTCCAGCACCCTCGTTGCAGATTCCCCCGGGGTAGACATCGCAGTGGATGGTACCATAGCCCGTCAGGAGACCGTTGACCGTCTCCATGATGTCAATCTCACCGCAAGCAGGCCAGCCCACGCCGTTGCGCATGCTGTTTCCGAGCATCCAAAACGCGGGCCAGATGCCTTGCTTGTTGGCAATAGCGCTATCGCCAAACATGATCTGGGCCTCGATACGGGTAATCTTGCCGTTGGCCGGGGTGAAGGTATACTTGCTCTCGATGCGACCCGAGGTCCACCCCTTGGGCTTGGAGGAGTCCTTCCATGGCACGAGTTGCAGGGTCTGGCCACCACTGAGCTGGACGTTGGCACTTGAGCTGGTGTATACCTGGAGCTCGGCGTTGACGCCGAGGTCACCAGTTATGATGTTCCAGTTGCCAGTGTTAGGAGACGAACCCCCCGAACCGGAGAAGGTATCTTGCCAGACTCGCGTCCAGCCGGAGTAGGTGGGGGACTCCCAAGCACCGGCGACGGCGGCGAGGGAGAGGAGGGAGGTAACGGTAAAGCGAACCATTTTTGCAGACTTATACCGTGTTCGAGGAGAGTAGCCACACGAAGGTGTATTATGTATTTTCCAAGGGAGTGTATGTGACAGGAGACCGTCAGTATGTGCAAGGAATGTCGGAGCCTTACAGGCAAAGGAATGACTGATGAACAACGGGTTGGTTCAGACAAAGCCTCTGTTAGTTACAAAGGGCATCAGAATCATTAAGTATTCATTTTACGGCCCCCTTTGCGATGTCCAGTCGAAACAGCGCCTGGACCCAAAGAAGAAGCTCAAGCCATTCCATTGTTAAACCTCCCCGGAGGTGTGGAGCAGAGCAGGGCCGAACAGAAAGGCAGGTTGACAGCAAGATACGGCCCTCTATTGGTCGCATAAACGCTTAGCATGACCATTATTGCGAGGCAAGCCACCTTCGTCGTTCATGGAAGGGCGGAACTCGGGAGAGGCGCTTGACCCCGGCATCTGTTACAACTCTACTAGGCCCGAGGAAGCAAGTCCCTTGGGCAATCACCCGGTACTGACACGCAGGGACATGAGCGGCGCGAGAGGCCGGCCTATGAGCATCCATGAGCTTATTACTGGTTAGATGCCATACTTTGCGTGATATTCGCAATATGGGCCTTTGGGCCTGATAAGAATCCCATCCCAAGGGACAAATGTCACAATCAGAGTGCAAATGCAGTCTTTGATCTTCAAGCTCTGCTCTACACATCGCTTGTCTAGTCAGGAGTCTCGCGCCCCTGAGACACCACCTGAATCTTGGTATGGCCCAGAAGGCCAAATTCATGCCACAGCGCCACGCACGCCAGGGCCGATTCATCGGATAAGTCGCGCTATATTGGGCGGGTGTTCTGAAACGTGCGCCCAGGGCGAAGAAAGCTTAGCCAAGCCGCAAGGGGATTGGGGGCCAGGGACTGCCGTAAGAGGGCAAGGGTTTTAAGAGGAATCGGTCCCTTAAATCCTGAGTGTTTACTGTTTAGGAAGGAAAGCAGATGTGATAGCAGGGAAAAGAGATGAATTTGTTCATTCGGGGAGTTCAGACGGACGAGCTAGTGAGATGATAGGCTCATGGCCCAGATGAGGATGCATTGATGGGGCAATGGCAAGACCCCCGATGCAACATTACCTTACTGCATCATGCATGTCCATGATGGGAAGATGGGATTGTGCGTGTGGCGAATGGACCCCATTAATTGACCAAAAGTTGGGCACATGTTTGCCATGTCGTGTCATTCATTGCTGGAGGGCAAAATCACCATCCTGTTTGGTGAAACATGAAACGCGCCGAATCACCGAATCATCCCTCTTTGGGAGGCAGCCAGCCAAATTTTGTCAGCATCAGCATAGGGCTTCAGCCTGTAGAATCCACCAGCAGCAGTCAGATCAATGCTACCTCCCTATTTGCCTTTACACATGCTTGAGGATGCCTCCACGTGATGTCCGTTCCGCTTACACATATTGCAAGTTGGGTCGATTCTTCTCCGTTGTATATTGGTTTTTATCTGCTGTTTCTTTGTTCCTTCGTTTTATCATTTCCACGCCTTGTCTTGAGGACTTTGTTTGCCCTGTTGACCCAAGCTTTTCTGTCTCAAGTGGTACCCTGTCGACAAGGCGTGATACACCGAAGCTCCATGGTCGTGGGCTAGTACCAAAACGACAATTGATCAGAGCTATGATCAACCCAATTTCGTGATCATCACCTCACATTCTGAATTTGACTCACCTTGATAAAGCCCTGCCCAAATTCCATCGATCTGCTCTAGGGTCGCCACATTCCCGGGAAACCAGAACCCAGAACAAGAGCACGGTCCGCCAACAGGAATTGTTGGTTTCGTGCATAAACAGAGTGTTTCAGGGCCAAAATTTCCACATTTAGAGTATTTTCGTGCCTACTGTAGTTGCTAGGGTGAAGCAATCCGGTTGGATGCGGCCGATGAGTATGTTCTAGATCTAACTAGTTCCCAATGCTTCCATTCATTCTTTCAACCATTGTTGATTTTGACAAAGAAAATAGAACAAAACTCACTTATTCAGCCAAAGTATCCTAAAGTAATCTGTAGGTTTGTTCTCATTGTTCTTCGCGTCGTCGATAGACTCAGCTGCGTACATTCGGCGATTTTCATATTGTAGCTATGTCTGTTATCGAAATGATATCAACTACGGAAGTTCTAGAACTTGATAGCTACACTTGACTCAACCGGTAATGTTTCATTCAGTCTTGCAGCCATCATGCTCACTTTCGCTTTCTTATCATCAAGTTCATCTACAAATTTACACTGCCACTCTATTTTTAGATCTAACCATTTCTGCACCAGAAAAAGGCCTCAAAAGGAGCCAAAATTGCTTACGTATTGAAATTATAGATTGCTTTCGATTTGCAAATGATTAAGAACTCGCTTTAGATCACTCTGTTGTGGTGGAAAGTAAGAGCATGCTAAGATGTTGGCTCTAGGGTAGCCAAAAGCCCGTGATGGAAGCCCCGCTCAGATTGTCTCTCGGATGTGTGTTTCCATCCCCACCTTTCCCTTTCCCTCGCGCAGGCGATGCACCACGCGCTGGCTTCGGATTCGATATGGAGTTAATGGCTACGTCCGCCGAGGATCTGTCCCCTCCCGATGCCCCCGATAGGAACGATGTAGCGTCGCCTTGCTGCGGGAACAGAGCTGTCCCCTCCTCCCTTGCCGACGCATCAACAACCCCAACGACGAATCGAACGGACGTCCGAGTAAACAAACATGCCCGCCTCAGCTGTCTTTGCGCCCGGCGCGACCGCCCTTATCACTGGAGCTGCTGCTGGCATCGGCCTCGCGATTGCCAAGCTCTGCCAATCCAAGGGAATGAACCTGTTCCTTGTCGATATCAACGCCGACCACCTCGAGGCGGCGAAGAAAGCGCTGTCCACCGAAACAAATACCGTCGTCACGGCCGTTGCAGATGTCTCCAGCACCTCGGAATGGCAGTCGCTTAAGGCTACTGCCGCTGACCGTTTCGGGTCAATCGAGCTGCTGATTCTGAATGCGGGCAAGGGAATGAAGGGAGGATGGGGTGAGGAGGACTATTTCCGCCAGGTAATACTCTAGACATCTCTTTGCTGTTTGGGATTGCTTCTTCTGCTTCGACAGTAGCTAATCATTGCACCTCCCTTGGTGTATTATAGACACTCGAGACCAACCTCTTCGGTGTGATCCACGGCATCAACGCCTTCCTCCCCGTCGTCAAGAAAGCCTCCGAGTCGAAGCCGACATCGATCGTTATCACCGGCAGCAAACAGGGAATCACCAATCCACCGGGAAATCCTGCCTACAATGCTTCCAAGGCGGCTGTCAAGTCGCTGGCTGAGCAACTGAGCTATGATCTACGGGAGTCGAGCACCAGTGTCCACCTGCTGGTGCCTGGCTGGACATTCACCAACCTGGTAAGCTATTTACTCTGCATCTCCTTTCACCATTGACGGCTAGAGGGGCTAATATTCTGCTAGGCCGGCGCTCTTCATTTCAAGGAGAAACCCGCTGGAGCTTGGCTGCCAGAGCAAGTCGCCGACTACTTGCATCACAAGATGGAGCAAGACAAGTTCTACGTAATCTGCCCCGACAACGATGTGACCGAAGAAACAGATAAGAAGCGCATGTTATGGTCGACGGGCGATATCGTTTACGAGCGGCCGCCTCTGTCGAGATGGCGAGAAGATTGGAAGGAGGAGGCGGCGGATACAATGGCGAAGACGCAGATTTAGAGAGAGTCCCTTGTTGGGCGATGTATTGTCCGAGCACCCTCATGACGGTTACCGGGAGATGGCGACGACGCCATGAGGGAATGAATGAAAATCAATCAAAATTCCTTGACTGGTCATGTGCCATAGTGCTTCTTGTTTTCCCCTTCCTCACCCTCACCAGGGCATCAGTCGGTCAAGGAGCCGCAGACCGGAGCACCTTATACCCCTCTTTGGCGTCGGGGGGATCGTGGACCGACGAGATTCATCGTCCCTTAGCCTTCAAAGTGGGTTTGATGGTCAGCAAACCCTCCCTCTATCTTGAAAATTTTTCCAGAACCACCCTCAAGCATCAGTCTCCAACGAATGACTTGACAGACAGAGTCCCAGGGGTTGCATTTTGGTGGGCAGAGCGGATCCGGGTCCCCTCTTCCCACCCATGGCGCGATAACGATGCCGCTCGCCATGCCCAATGACTGCCAGATGCGGCAGGTTTAACCTCACGATAATGCTTACGCTAGGAGGAGGACGACCGCCGCCACTAACAGATCTGTACGGCATCTGCTACGACGAGGAGATAACCATATCTCGCCCGATGGGCTCCACACGGGAGTGGGCGTCTCATCGCGAGGGCATAGGGAGAAAAAGTAGGACTCCGTGTCAATCAGCGCCCACAAATCCGCCACGATGGTAGCTGGAGTGGATGGAAGAGCTGTCGAGGGTGTTTGAGGGCGACAGCGTCCGTGTCCGTCTGTTCCCGCCGGCGCTGCTGCCTTATTACTCGGCGTTCATTCTTCCCCTCACCAGCTCGCGTGGCAAGCTGTGTTCATTGATTGATTGCCCGAGTGAAGCCGGCCTGTGCTGCGTGTGTGTTGTTTTATCCATTCTTATCCATCGCGCTGGCTATTTTGATGGTCGGCTGCCCACTTGCAAGGCAAGCTCACACAGAACAGCGCATTATTCAGTACCCAAGCAACGCTGAAGATGACAGTCGCAATGCCTGAAGATGCCTCCAAGAAGACAGAGGTTGTTTCTCACGTTCGTGCCCTACCAGAAACGCCAGATGACCAGTCCTTAAGCGACCAAAGGAGTCGCTGGCGAGTGCCCTACTATGTTCGAGTCAGCTTCGCAGTTTCCTGTGTCGCGATGCTTTTTGGGTAAGTCTTGACGATTTCCTTCGGGATAGAATCTAAATGATGGAGATCCGGCTTATTGACTGAATTCTTACGCAGCATGGACACGGGCAGTATTGGCCCAGTCACGGCTATGCCTGCCTTCAAGGCCACCTTTGGATCTTTCTCTCCCACAATGCACGGTGTTATTGTCTCCTCCGTCCTCATCCCGGGAGCTCTTACTGCCTTGATAGCGGGAGCTCTCGCCCACCGCTTCGGGCACATCAAGCTTGTTGCTCTTGGGTCCTTCATCTACAGCATCGGTGCCGCTGTCGAGTGTGGTGCTCCCATTCTCGGGGTTTTCATTCTCGGTCGCCTCATCAAGGGTGTCGGGGAGGGCCTCTTCCTCAGCAATGTGTACGTCCAAGTCTCCGAGATGTCCCCATCACGCGTCCGCGGCGTCATGACAGCCCTGCCTCAATTCCTCATCACCACCGGTGTCGTATGCGGCTACTTCATTTGCTATGGTACCATCCGCCTGGGCACTTCTTCTGCCGCCTGGCGTGTCCCACTTGCGGTCATCTCTGGCCTCGGATTGATTTTCTCCAATGTGTTTTTCATTTGCCCTCCGTCGCCCCGTTGGTTGTCTACCAAGGGACGGTTCAATGAGGCTCGTGTTGTCGGTGAGAAGCTTGGGCTGGAACCAAAGGAACTGGAGCAGATTCTATCGCAGTCTCCGTTATTCGATGGCGAGTCAGCCAACGAGTCTGTTTGGCAAACCCTCCAGCAGACCTGGGTCGAGTTTGGCTACGCCTTCTCTAAGCCGTATCGCGGCCGAACCGCCTTTGGTTGCTTCATCATGGGGATGCAGCAATTTAGTGGCATCGACGGTGTTTTGTATTACGCGCCTACACTTTTCACCCAAGCTGGACTGGATGGTGATCAAGCCACATTCTTGGCATCAGGGGTATCTGCTATTGTGATCTTGGCCACGACGATTCCTGCCACCCTTTTCGCCGACGTCTGGGGCCGCCGTTTCGCAAGTATACTGGGTGGTGCTCTCATTACGTTGCTTATGCTCCTCATGGGATCTCTGTACGCTGGTGGCAAGGTCGGGGATGGGGCTGGCAAATGGGTAGTGATTGTTTCCATCTATCTTTTCGCCATCGTCTTCAGCGCAACCTGGGCCATCTGCTTCAGGACTTTTCTCGTGGAGAGCATGCCACGCAAGACGAGAAGCAGTGCCTCAAGTCTGGCGCAGAGCAGCAACTGGGTATGTATCCCCTCAGTTTCGTTATCCCATCAAGTCAGGCCATAGCCAGCTAATCATTTGTAGATGGCAAATTACATCGTCGCTCTCGTGACGCCCATACTTCTTGCCAAGTCTTCATTCGGAGCGTATTATCTCTTTGCATTCTCCTCTCTTCTCACCACCGCCGTGGTAGCTGCCATCATGCCCGAAACAAGGGGATACAGCCTTGAAACGATCGAGGAACGATATGATGAGCGACAATCACGAGGCACTGGAGCGCAGAGTTTCTCTTTGTCGGCACTCAAGCAGCGCATCCAGACCAAGGCATAGCAAGCTAAACGCCCTGCCACACTAACAGCACTCACGATTTAGACATTTGCAGCATCACGAGATAGAATGTGATTCATGACTGGGACGAATTAATATCCAATATTCACGTCAGAAGATAATATGCATATATACAAATAATTGTCCAACAGCTTTCAAAGCTAATACTCTCTGTGAGAACCAACCATGCTTCTATGCGTGCTAATCTTTAAAAACAAAAAGTCCCAGACCCCAAATATGTTTATTTTTCTTGCGTATTGTTGGCAGCGCTCTTGGTCCCTGCCGCAGAACCCTTCTTGCAATACGACCTGTTTCAGCGGAGTCCAGGCAGAACGAAAACGGCGCGTTTAGTGATACAGAGCCAAACTCGGGATGGGAGCCCACGCGCGTCTAGTGGTGGAGGTGCTGGTGCAGGTGCCTCTTGGCCTTGTTGCTTCGCTTGCACTTGCCGGCCTCCTTGGAGGCGGTGGGGAGGGCAGCCGAAGAGGAGGAGGAAACGCCGGCAGCGCTGGTGGGGGCGCTCTCGGCGGATGTGTTGCCGGATCCCTGGGTCGAGCTGGGCTGCTGGGACTGGGTCTGCTGGCCGGCCTCGGAAGAGGGGGCGGCAGCAGCAGAGGAAGAAGCAGCAGAGCTGGCAGCGGCGGAGGAAGCAGCAGAGCTAGCGGCAGCCGAGGAGGAGGCACCGGCAGTGGTGGAGGAGCTGCTGGCCGCGGCGGACGACTTGGAGGAGGAGTCGGTGCCGGCGACGCTGGGGAGGGGGTAGGAGGCGTCGTCGTTGCGCTTGCAGCCGGAGATGTCGGTGAGGGCCGAGGGGCACTGGACGCGCTCGAAGGTGAGCGCCGGGTTGTCGGCGTTCTCGAACCAGTTGAATCGCCACTTGCAACCCTCCTGGAGGAAGGTCGGGAAGGAGTCGCACTGGGAGATGGAGGAGATACCGCCGTACTGGGCGCCCGCGAGACCGCCGAACTGGGGGGTGCAGCCGTCGAAGATGCCAACACCACCACCGGGCATGAGGAGATCGAAGTGGTTGCTGCCGAGGTCACCACCAGTGTTCGTGGACTGGACGATCATGGTCTTTCCGGAGACGGCGGTGGAGGTGAAGGTGATCTGGTAGCAGGCGCAGCACCACGAAGACTCAGTGCCACCGCTGAGAGCCGTGGCGGCGAAACCGTAGGAGAGGTTGTCGCTGACCTGCCAGGGAGAGAAGTTGCCGCAGGTGTATGCACTGCCACCGTCACATCCGCTCTTGGTGTCGGGGCTGCTGAGGGGGTTGTTGTTCGCGTCGCATGTGTTGACTGGGGCGCTCACGTCGGCCTTGCCGGTCCATGCGCAAGAGGGCTTGCAGCAGTCCCAGTATCTTTTTGAAGAGTCAGCCTTGAAAAGCTTTGTCCGTGTGGCATAACAGATACACTTACCTGGTGGACACGCCAGCGGCGCCAGCGCCAAAGGCAGGGGCGGCGAAAGCTGCCGCCGTAAGGGCAATCTTGGACAGAGAAGGCATGATGGGCCAAGGGTAGAGAAGTTTCCAGAGTTCTCAAAGATGTCGTTAGCAGAAGAAGAGCAGGTTGGTTGGGCAGCTTCTAGATCCAAGATCCTCGTGGCCAGCCGTCTATACTTAAGTATATATTCCTCCCACCGCCCTACGATCTACGCAGCGGGGAAAACAGTCACTGTGGATATTCCTACGAGGGGTCATCCATGTTGGTGATGTGGTCTGCTAGTAATCTCGATTATGAAATGAAGTTTCAGTTGAACTAGCTCCTATCAGACCATGTAGGACAGCCGCCATCAGACCGCCGAATAATAAGCAAAGCCGTGTGGCAAACCTGACCCAACTTGCAGCAATTTCCCCACGTGGGTAATGTGGGTTGATATTAGACATGTCAGGCCAGACGAGGCTTGACGGAAACATCGACCGAATAGCCGCCCTGGCTCGATCGGCTCGATGTGTGGGATCCTACATGACTAATGTCATGATTGGAGTTTCAGGTTCTGGTTGTGCCCATTTATATGCCCCTGGCATCTGATATTTGCTCACAATACCCCACCAATCAGCAGCCCCTGAAATCAGACTCTTGGCTCGGTCAACCCAGATTCTGGGAATGGTCAACTGGGATCGTGCTGGCGTTGTGATCGGAGTTCAACCCAGAGTCATGGTGTTGTGGCAAGTTTCAGGACCCCGCGGAATCACAATATAAGTTGTCTGATTGCTCTACTAACCACGTGCTGCCGCCAGAGACCTGTTTCAACTCGCCGCTTCCAGGATTCAACAACAGGATTTCTGTTGGTAGGGAGCGTAGTAAGACGGAAGTACAAATATGCAGCCGTCTCATCTGGGCGTAGCTTTCGATCCTCTTCCATTAATCGACATTGCACAAGGAGTCAGGATGAGAAAACGACGCATGTCAGATGGAAAGCCCTCGGCCCCACTGCCTCCAAGGGCCAAACTGCCCGTGCTTTTAGCCGCCGTTGGTCTGTAGCCACTAATTCCTTCCACAGTCGTTGTCATTTCAGTCGCCTAACGGGTGGTGAACCGAGGCAGGGGGGGATGCCCCTGCTGACGGGCGACTACTAGCGGTCTGAAATGAAGCGTTCTTGGCCATAATAATCTAGAAGCCCTTTGGAGTCTACTCTCCTGCGGTATGCGGTCTTTTCTCTTTTCATACAATATTGGCGTCTCCAAAAGGAAACATGATCATCGCCCACTGTGAGCGTCTGCAGGTGTTTAATGAGCCAATCTGGAAGCACCACCGGAATGTAATGAGGGAAAGACGGTGAATGGATTTGCTTTCTCGGCAACGCCCGCCCGAGAGGTTGGGTATGACACTCATTAGGTTCTAGGATTGTCAAGGATCAATGTCTCAGATTCTTTGTTAGGCGGTGAGTTCCGCTGCAGATCCCTTTACCCTAGGGATAATAGTTCATCAGCACATATAAAGGAAACGATTCTGAAGCACAGCTATCAAATGTATATACCACGTAATGTTACGGAAACCAAGATAGCAAGATCTAAAAGTGGCTTGTTTATAATTCGAACAGAAGTAAACAAATGATTTCGGTTGGAAGTGTTTTTTGGTGCACGAGTGCTGAATATACCTCTTCATTGGTAGCATTTGGTTGTCGCTTGGAGCACATTTGATCCAATGAGAGTGACTTTGAGCAGATAACTTATTGCTCATGGGCTACCGGGGTATGCTGAAAGCCCAGAGGTTCCCTCTTTTCCCGCTATTGATCACCGTTACATGCCGCTGAAGCCGAGAATACGCTATTTCCAGTTTTGTGTTTCGCCAGAGTTTGAAGTGTGCGATGTGGGATCGGGCAGCTTTGAAACACCACACACGACGCCTTCAACGTAATGTGGTCTTGCCGATCTTTCCAACAGCTATCTCCTTATGATATATGATGGCCGATATAACCGGTTTCTGAGCTTGAAGTTGCGCTGCATTGTACAACAGTTTTACTCGGCTAGCCATACGGGTCCTGCAAGCCCCGGTCTGGGTGAGAGAGGATGAGTTTAAGAGGTCGTCGTCAGAATTTCAGGGCAAGCTAGCTGCTGATGGTGTGGCTGCTCTACCACGCGGATGACACGGGCTATGTGGCTACTGAGATTTACTTTTGCGCACCTATACAGAAGTTGGCATTCTAAACACCTTCATTTTAGATCGGAACTCGGCAACCAGACAACAGGGGTAACTCCTTTGCATAACCGAGCGGAATTTATCCTCTCATTTAGGTAGCGTGCAAATTCCGTTCTCCCTTTGCGGCTTTCAACCCTGGGACACAAGGATGCTATTTATGATGAATGTCGTCCAGCATGTTTCGAGGGCGTTGAAGACGTGGTCAATTTGGCGCTGAGCCAATGCCGCCAGCCTACTTCTCAATGCGGATAGAACTGGATCAGCAAATCCAATCATACAAGTACGCTGAGCATTATTTTGACCTTGGTGCTTGGATGAGTATAAAATCTTCGACCTCGCCCGGTTGGTCACCCACTTAGCCATCAGGAATGAGCCATCATCAACCATTAACGGACAAACAATGTCCGAGATAATATCGTGTCTCAAACCTTCGTGGTCGCCTACTCCACCGGTAGTGGAGGCCCGGAATCGGATGAGAAAGCGGGGGATTCGCCGAGACCAGACAAGAGGGATCAATTACTCGTTCGATCAATTCAGCCTCTTGTTTTCATTCACCTAACATCGATCTGTCTAAAATTTTGAAAGTTCCCGGTTCGACGATATCACAAAAGCCACCATGCCGATCTATCACATAGGTTTGTGATGCCTCGCCTCGTATCTAGGCCAGTCGATTGTATCTACGCCAAGTCTAACGTAACCAAACCAACAGTACTCTTCAAACTCAAGCCTGGGGTTACTGAAAACCAGATTGCCGAGATGCGCGCTGCTGGCGAAGCCATGGTTGGGGTAGTTCCAGGCCTCAAGAGCTTCGAGATGGGACCTCCATTGGCTAGCACCGCACACCGATCGCGGGGCTTTGACATGGGCCTATTCACCATCTTGGAGACAGAGGAGCAGGTCCTTGCTTATGCAGGCCACCCGGCTCACCAAAAGTAAGTTCGAAACTCTCTCTCATGTGTCGAACGTTGAGATCGCTGATTGGGATCGGAAACATGTAGGGTTCATAAGATTCGGGAGGCTATCTGCGATGATACCTTGGCATATGACATGGTTCTGTAGTAATTTACGTTTAGGCTAGAGTAGAAGCTATGAATTCAATGACCAACATATATAGTGATACCACTATGAACCGTTGGTGCTGTTTGTTCCCCTAATTCAATGCCTCATAATGGAGAGCCCTAGCCGAGGAACGATGCTACGCTGGATTGCTTTCTCCAGGTTCCCCCGCTCTACCCCTCTCCCATGTTCATCATCAGACCATCGGAGAGGCGGCGTCAAACATGTGCAAGGAGATATGACCCATCGGAGTTGGTGGCGGGGTTTGGTGGACTGGTTGTTTACCCCGGATTTCAACTCACCCCGCCGCAGTGAACCCCAGGAACATGGAACTCGGAGGCCGGTCATCGGTGCTGGCATGAGATCATTGTAGAAATAAATATCCTAAATACAAGTTTTCTCTTGAAGTAGAACTGAGCCTCTTCCTTCATCAATCTTAACTGATTACCCCAGTGTTCACATTCACAGATACCCCCGTATTCATCTCCCAATACAAGAACTTAAAAAATGGCTTCTCAAGGAAGACTCTCAGGCAAGGTCGCCATCGTTACCGGTATGTGATGGAGCTTATCCCAGATGTGACATTTCCGTCAAGTGTTTGCCAATCTGACAATCATCAGGCGGAGGCTCCGGCTTTGGCCTCACCATTAGCGAAGTGTATGCTCGCGAGGGCGCCAAACTGATCATCGGTGATTTGAACACAGCTGGTGCCGCCCACATTGCCGAGCAATACCCAAGCAACATCGTACTTCAGCAAATGAACGTCACGAAGCGAGCCGACTGGGACGCTGCTGTCGCTGCTGCCCACGAGAAATTCGGCACCCTCGACATCGTTGTTAACAATGCCGGAACGAGTTACAAGAACAAGCCCACGCTCGAGGTGACCGAGGAGGAATATGCCCGGTGCTTCGATGTCAATGTCCTCGGCATCTTCCACAGCGTGGCTGCTGCCTTCCCTGGCTTTGTAGAGCGCAAGGGCGGCATCATGGTCAATATCAGCAGTTGCGGCGCCTCCAGACCCAGACAGGGTTTGGTTTGGTATAATGCAAGCAAGGGCGCGGTATCTAATGTACGTCTTCTGGAGACTAATCCTCGTCAATCTTCTCTGCTAACGTTGGATAACTACAGGCTACTCAGGGTTTGGCTTTGGAATTCGGACCTCACCAAATTCGCGTGAACAGCATCTGCCCTCTCCTTTGCGGAACTGGCCTGTAAGTGAAATCTGCTGCCCTCTTATCTTTACTCATGCACTAACTGCTCTGTGAATAGATTTGAGAGCTTCGCTGGTGTCCCCGATACTCCCGAGAACCGACAGAAGTTTTTGGGCAATGTGCCCCTCGGCCGCCTTACCGAGACTATCGACGTGGCAAACGCCGCTCTATACCTCGCCAGCGATGAGGCTGCTTTCTTGACTGGTGTGAACCTGAATGTTGATGGCGGAAGGACGATCTAGATATAGCATGAATCATGGTTAGATAAAGCTGCTCTCAATCAATCAAAATATTGAACCTGATACGAGATATGCCCGTCGAAGTGATTGAAGTGCATTTGCCAGGAATCTATCGTACTGCTGACTTGTAGTTGATATCGTATATCTAAGACTACAGTCCGCATTTCATACTCGAGCAGGATACCAAGCGATATACTGAATAAAAGTTAGGTTCTGCTTTTGACAATAAGGACCAAAAATGAGATGATGATCGCCTCGACCATCAACAACACAGCCTGTCCTGTTAATTCTGGTGGGAAATATATCAATAGGAAATAAGTATGAAAATATGCTGGAATAAATTTGCCATTTTCGTATTGGCACCTTTTTATTTATTGCTAATTGTATTTACACAAATTTACTGACGGTTTGTCTGAATTTCCTGGCTAGACCCCAAACACTCAATTCAGTCAACGCATCGAGAGCCCCCTGTTTTGCTTCGTCGAAACTACGCCTGTCACAGATATTGGCTATGGCACCAAGAGAAGCTGGGCCCCCGTACTCGATCCACCGATTAATCTGCCTCATCGCGTTGGCATCTCTCATCCATGGGATCTCGTCCAAAGCTACACGAGGGAGTGCCAAATTCTCATCTATATCATCTTCGGTGAAGGTTGCAAATCTGATGTACGCAAGGAGGTAGGCATAGCCCATGAATACACTAAGAGTCTCGCATGGAGTATTGATAGTGCAGTCGCGAGCAATGGCGATGATGACGGCGGCGTGGAAGGCAAGACGGCGAGCGTTGGTGGCATTTGATCGGAAGATCTGACGGAGGCGGTCCTTGGCAGCTTCTGCTGGTCTAGCAGATGGATGGTTTGCTTCCAGGCCCGAGTTACGGAATATGCTGATGATGAGGTCCATGGTCTCATCGCCAGAGCTGATGAGATGAGACCTATGGGTAGTAAGGGTCAAGACACTGAATGACTGTCAGTTGGATGCTAATGAAGTGGAAATGGATAAGCGAACTTCATATTTACGACATCAGCCGTACACATCGGTTTGCCCAGCGAGGCATCCAATGCTTCAAGACCATTGATGAGCGTTTGCCGCGTCTGGAGATGAGCTTCTGTCATGGCTTGAATCCCCAAAATGCCAGGCGCAGAAGCATCCTGGACCTCCTTCAAATCGTAGAGAATACTTCCAATTGCCACGGCACACAACCTCATCGCCCAAGCAGGCGCATCAGGGGGCACATTTCTCTGGCTGATAATCTCACGAAGCGTGGGGTAGAATAGTAGTCCGGCGGGAGGGCTCGAGGTAAATGGGACAAGTGCTGCCCATGCTCGAGCCGAATGAGCTTCCCAGATGCTCTCGCTACACGGCAAACGCGGCGGAAGCTCAGCGATCCGAAACGCAGGCTTCTTAGACGTCATGGTAGAGAGCGTGCAGTCAAACTCGAAAACAGACCAAGCCATTCGCTTTGCTGTCTCTTTGTCCCTCCAGGCTCGCCACGCCTCGTCCAGTTGGACGTTGCTCATAGCCTTGAGCTTCCAAAAGTCGAGACCTAGAGAGTCAGGGGTTGAATTGATGCTACTCTCTGACGATAAGAGACCCAATCCTCGCAAGCTTGTCACGAGGAGGCCTCGGGAAGCATCGGCAATCTCATAAAGACGCCTGTTTCCTGTACCGAGAGCATAAATCTGGTGCAAGCACGAGGCGGTAATATAAGCCGTATTCCGAAACGCGGAACTGTCTTGCTGGCCCTACACGTGAAACATCGAGTTAGTTCCACTTGATCCTTAAAGTCAGAGAAATGACGGATATTACTTCTTACCATCCAAAAAAGCGCCCGCTGAGTTATCTCGGCAAACAAAGTGGAAACTTCATTTGAGCCTTCAGCGGTGGAATACGTGGCCCCGAGGCACGCCAGGGCAGCTAACAATGGTGTTGGGCACTTCTCGATCCTCCAGGTTGGTATGTGGATCACCGGAAACATGTTATGAAACTCTGCGAAATAAACCCTTGTATATTCACTGAGAAAGGCCACCGCCGGCATAGCCTCAAGAGCTGGTGTGTCGTTGAGTGATGGGATTTGAGGTGCGGAGAGGACTTTGATCAGGTCGCCGAGAATGTTCTTCTGTATCGTGGGGCGGGAGGCGACGGTCTGCTCAAGAATTTGTTTTAGTGGAGGTAGTTTTATCCTTCGAAAGCCCTGATTGGAAGTGTAGTCGAAGGGCCATGCTTCGTTCCCTCCTTGGTCAAGGACGCCTGGCCAATGCTCCTTGTTCTCCCAATCTTTTTGCTGCGTGTAGCGCCTGATTTCAGGCTGGCTTTTGTCACCAAGAGGTGGTCTATTATTGCTTGGCTCGCCTTCATAGTTTCTCGGAGATGTGTCGTCTGCTAACATGGGCTGACCACAGACAGAAGCCAGCCCAGTTGTTGGATCTTCAGGCACTTGTCCTACTGACATTCCAGGGCTTGGACCCTCTGCCTCGGTCTCGCCACCGAGCAGAGTATTCCACCCGTAGAGATCAAGCTGGAACGGATCAAGAGGAAAGTCAAATATACATGGATCTACAACTGATTTGTCTTGGTCCGTGTGACTGTCCGTCTCGGGATGATCACCCATCAACTGGTCGAGAGCACCCTGAGCATCTGTCGTTGGCTCTCTCGGCCCTTGGAGTGTGTTTTCTACACTATATGGAGGAGGCAGGATCCCTTCTTGTGGTATGACTGGAGACCTAGAGAAGAAGAACTCTCTGCTACCAGTCTCACAACCTGACGTCGTATCGGTCGTAATAGTAACGTTTGATGGGAAGTCAGTCAGAGAGTTACACTCCACCTGCTGCCCTGATACTTGATCACTGTCCTCAATGCTTGTTCCATCGATTTCGGATATGTTGATGGAGCATTCATTCAAGACATTGGCGGCATCAACCAAGTCATTTAGGTTCCCGTGCCGAGCCTCGTCTATGCGGCGGGTTCCTCGAGTTTCATTTATCGTGCCCACTGGTGTCTTTGTTGCAGATGGGATGGCTGCCCCTGCACCATAAACGCATTGCTCAGGATGATTTCGGCAGCCGGTACAGGGCAACTCGCGAGAGCATCTTATCTTATATCGGATGCATCGGCGACAAGACTTTCTACGACCAGCAACGCGGTTGGCTCGATCTGGGTCGTGGACACTTCGTTTATGCCTTTGGTAGACGTCTTTTCGCGAGAAAGATTTGTCGCATATCTGGCAATGGAATGTTTTCGTAGCAGTGCTTGTATCTCGATTAGTGGGAATAATCGCGACATGTCAGTCAAAAGGATTGACTTACGTAGAGTGTCGTTTCAAATGGCGCTGTAGATGCGCAGATCGAGAGAGAGTAATTCCACAGATTTCACACTCGCAGGATCGTTTATGACTCCCAGCGGAAGGCTGTCAGTATGTCAGCTTCCCTAGGGCCAATTCTAATGAATGGATCCGTAACAACGTACTGACGAAGCTTCTGAGCGCGGCGAGGAGTCCATCACGGCAAAGCTACCATCTCAGTGATAGATGGTTGGGATCGGAGTACGAGACGAAGAGGCTGCTGATCCCACCGGAGTTGCGCATGAGAAACAATGAGTCCCCCGCTCAGGTGCTTTTCAGCGGATAGTCTGCATGTCATAAACTTAGGCTTGACTCGTGTCACTTCCAAGCACAATTGAAGAGGGAAACGATTTCCAGACCACTACCAACGCAACACTCACCTGTTTCGCAGGTGGACCAGTTTTCCCCTCATGTGTGGAGCAGAAGGAGTGGACTACAAGCCTCATTCCCTAGCTATAACGCGGGGAATCTGGGGGATCATTCGTCTCAGTGCGATTAGAGGCCACGGGTGATAAGATTTTACGCGTCACAAGATGTTGAAAGACGGAGTATGAGGCGGGGTTGTTATTTCCATCAATGCCTAATATCCGTGCTCTCGAATCAGCCAGACGAGGTGGATCCCATCGCCAATGTTGTGGATCGTGAGCAGGGTCATCGGAGTTTTTGGTGGGATGTGATATCCGGGGTAATGAAACTAAGCTGGGTGTATAGAGTCCGGACACTCATCACTTCACTAGCAAGGATCTTGAGGCCTGAACGCAATGCTAGTGTTAATTCGACGCAAATAGTTGCTACGTGGCAAGAACTAATCTAATGGGTAGGTTCTATTATCCAAATCCTAGTCTTAGTACTGTCCTTCCAGGGTCAGTGTGCCGGTCTTAGTGATGAGGTACTCGTTGATGGCAACGTCTTTCCCAGACTCCTTGCCAAAGCCGGAGTCCTTGATACCGCCAAATGGTGATTCAGCAGCGGAAGCGTTTCCTAGATAACTCAAGTCAGCATTTAGTTCGACAAACGAACAGTGTTATTTGTCTGAACTTACCAGTGTTCATTCCAATCATGCCAGCCTCAAGGTTTTCGAGTAACCTCCACGTCCTGTCAATATTCTTAGTAAAGAAATATGACGCCAGTCCCATAGATGTGTTATTGGCATTGAGGACTGCCTCCTCTTCGGTGTCAAACGGCAGTAGAGCCAGCAACGGTCCAAATGTCTCCTCGTTGGCCACTTTCATCTTTGAGGTCACCTCGTTGATGACTGTTGGCTCAAAATAGTAGCCTCCATCTTTCTCAATGCGTTTTCCACCAGTGAGCACCTTGGCGCCTAGTTCTGTAGCGTCCTTGATTTGGCTGGCGACCTTATCCAGTCCGGCTGGAACGGTAAGAGGTCCCATTGTTGTCTCTTTGTCGATACCATGGCCGACTCGCAATCGGCCCACATGCTCGGCAACCAAGTTGGAGAACTTCTCGTACACGCCTCGTTGAACGTAGATTCGGTTGGCTGTGATGCAAGCTTGGCCAGCATGTCTAAACTTGAGCGGCATCAGAGCTAAAGGTGAATGTTAGTCAAGGTTGATTATTTTGCAATCAATGTTCATACCTTCTACAGCCTGGTCCAAATTGGCATCATCGAAGATGAGGAATGGGCAATTACCGCCAAGCTCGAGGGTGAGCTTCTTCAACGTATCGGCGCAATGGGCAGCAAGTAGCTTTCCGACACGGGTCTATACTCGTCAGCCTAGAATAAAGCGACGAATAGGGCATATAAAACATACCGAGCCGGTGAATGAAACCTTCTTGACCAGCGGATGTTTGCAAAGAGCTTCGCTCAGAGATGGGGTATTGGCAAGAGTAGTGGGCAACACGCTCAATACACCTTTTTCAAATCCAGATTGCTCTGCCAGATGCGCCAGACTCAGTGCAGACAAGGGAGTCTCCGGTGAAGGCTTGACAATCATTGTACACCCGGCCGCTAGCGCAGTGGCAGCTTTTCGCAGGATCATGCTATGCTTGTCAGCCGCCATGATCACTTTGTTCCCATTTCGGATTACCTACGCAATAGGAAAATTCCACGGAACCAGAGCAGCCGTCACACCAACGGGCTGCTTGATGGTTACTACACGACGGCCAGGAATAGAGGGCGTAAAGGTCGTCCCTTGAATCCTCTCTGCCTCGCCGGCGAACCATCTCGTAAACGATGCCGCGTACTCGACTTCGCCAAGAGCCTCAGCAAGCGGCTTTCCAGTCTCATAGACGAGGATTCTGGCGAGGTCTTCTTTATGTTTTCGAATCAAGGCGTCCCACTTGGCAAGCTTATCGGCACGCTGTCGGGGATTGACCGTTCGGTACTTCAGGAAGGCATCGTAAGCGGTTTGAACGGCGTTTTCGACATCTTCAGCGGCCGCATCTGTACAAGTGGCCCAAGGCTTTCCGGTACCAGGGTCTAGGGATTGTTAGACTTTACAGTACTGAAGATTCTGGGACTGGAGCACATACCAATGATCTCGAATCGTTTGCCCGATTTTGCTTCTGCCCACTCTCCGTTGATGTAGGCTTGGTCTTTGAAAATGCTTGGGTCTTCCAAACCGAGCTGGAAATTTTGCATATTAGAAAGCAAATGCATACTTGGGAAGGTAAGATCTTACAATGCTGGGTGCCTTTCCCGCCGTCATTGTGCTGTCTTCTATTATCGTGATATAAACAAACTCGAAGATTGCAAGAGTAAGAAATTTAGACAGTGTGATTGAAGAAACTGCTAGCATAAAATGCACTTCCCATCTTTTTGTAAAGAATGATTTTAACCAGTGTAAATGACGGCATCATCACCCACCACTTGTTCCGTTCCGATGTAGGAGGGAGCATTTGCCCCGCGACAAGTCCGATCCCACCACCACATTAACACTGTTGCTCCGCGCAAAACCGCGCGGGGAATGCTGCCATACCTACTGAGGGTAGCCATAATTAGTCCGAATCTGACGTAGGCATGTTTGGGATTCTGGATCCGTTGCTTTAGATGTTTGGGATTGGAGGATATCCAGATTACATGTGATGCTACAATGAAAACCAGTCCAACCGAACAGCAACGGCGGAAGGACTTGTTACATCACCCTTGAGATACACTCATTGATTCAACTCATGTTCTTTGTCAACTCCCACCATCGTGCTACAAACGTGACTCTGAAGACCTCAATTCCAAAATCACAATGTATGGGGAACCTACCCGACAGCAATGGTTGCCCAGTATTTTAATGAGTCTCACTATTTTAGAGGAATTTATTCAAATATTACTTTCTACTATAGAAGCTTCTTCAGGTTCTCCCTAATTGCACTGCCCAACTCCTTTGTAGAGCTCGAACCACCCATGTCCTTTGTCCTCAGACCGCTTTCCAAAGTCAGATTGACGGCATCTTCGATAGCTTTGGCCTCTTCAAACAATCCAAAACTATATCGCAACATCAATGCCGCACTGAGAATGGCCCCAATGGGGTTGGCAATGCTCTGGCCAGCAATATCAGGTGCCGAACCATGTACGGGCTCGAAGAATCCCTTGACCGGCTTCAAGCCGGGTGTCCAGGCTGGAGCGGGGAGATCTGCCAAGCAGCCTGAAGGTAGAACGCCAAGTGTGCCAGGGATAACGGCAGCCAAGTCGGACAGAATGTCTCCAAATGTGTTATCGGCAACAATGACGCCGTTAAACATGGATGGCTTGGTCATCATCAGAGTGGTTGCGCTATCAGCCAATTGATGGACCAATTCCACCTCGGGGAACTCCTTTGTGATGGTCTCTTCGACAATGCGGCGCCAGATACGAGACGAAGCAAGGACATTGGCCTTGTCACAGCTGATGACCTTCTTCACAGGAACTGCAGGCGAGAGTGCCAAAGTAGCAGCCATGCGAGCGATACGCTCGATTTCGCTTCTCTTGTAGCTCCACAGATCAGACGCGTAGTCTGGTTCCTCAACCTTGGGACCATAGAATGCACCACCGCAGTTCTCTCGAAGGACTATATACTTGGTACCGCGGACAAGCTCTTCTCTCAAAGGAGATTTGCCCTGAGGAAAGTATTCGGTTGGGCGGATATTGGCGTACACATCCGTCACCTCTCGGAGACGTAGAGTAGCTCCCTCGGGGCCTTCAAAGCCGCGTCGCTTGCCATCCCACTTGGGGCCACCCACGGCACCCATGAGGATAGCATCGCACTTTTTGCCTTGCTCCAGGGTTTCTTCGGTAACGGAGACACCGTGCTCATCGATGGAGCAGCCTCCGAACGCCCTAGGGACGAATTTGAAAGTGGCTCGAGCGTTTGGGGTAGCAGAGAGTTGGTCTAAGACAGCAGCGGCTTCTGCCGTGACCTCAGGGCCAATACCATCACCGCCCAGAAGGAGGATAGAGTATTCTGGCTTAGGCATTTTGTATGTATTATTTAGAGATCGTGAAGGGATAGAAGGCTCGTCTCGTTATCGGAATTGTGGAAGAGATTTGTGGTTCAGCGAGTGAGGTCGGTGACTACTAAAATCAAACAATGATCTTTCGAACGGCGATCTCTTAATTATCAATAATTATCCTCGGATACAGTCTTCAACATAAGTACTCTAATGGTTCTCCGATCTCGCAACAAACACCGAATGTCAACAGTGCCCGGAGGATCACGCGGTGGGGAACATAGCCAACAGTTGAAGTATCGAAGTATCGGACTTCGAAGTGGTGAAAGTGGAACACTCCCACATCACCCTCCGACCACGAGGGAACCGCTGTTTTGGCTACTCTAGGGCGAACCACATGACTCACGAGAAGTGTCGGGGTCCCCATGGGGTAGAACAGTGTTTGTGGTGTGATTTTCGCAGTCGTGCGCAGCCTTACCCCTGGTTTAGCGTTGTGCCGGATGATTGGGATGTTTACTCTACCGCTTCCTCTTCCCTGACCCTTGGATTTGATTATTTAAGATCTCGGTCGTGTCCATTCCTTCCCTTTCGAGCCAACTCTCCTTCATCATCGTTGCCGATAACACGATTACTGCCATCATGGGTGACGTTACCGACGAAAGCAAACCATCTCACAACCATGTTGACAAACTCAGCGTTGCCAACCCAGAGGAAGGAACTGTATGTCAAGTCTCCTAGGAGTGTACTTCGCGGATACTTATGAATGCCAATTAGCTTCCCGTTTACGATGACCCTGAGACGAAGCGCATCCTTCGCAAGGTCGACTATCGACTGATTCCGATGTTAACACTTCTCTATGTTGTTGGGTTTCTCGACCGCGGCAACATTGGAAACGCAAAGGTTGCGGGCATGAATGTGGATCTAGGTTTGATAACAAACCCCCTTTCTCGATGATCGTTTAGCAAGTTACTAACCAGTGGCGTGAACAGGTCTGACCAGTTCCCAATACAACATTGCACTCACCGTGTTCTTCTTCCCGTATGCCTTTTTCGAAGTCCCGAGCAACATTGTCCTCAAACTCCTTCGACCTTCTATATGGATCTGTATCATGATGAGCTCATGGGGTCTGGTATGCATTCACTTGAACTGCTGTTTGCCTTTTTTTTTTTTAGAATAATTCTCTGACTCAGAATGCAGGTCATGACCATGCAGGGCCTAGTCAAAGGCTACAACGACCTCGTCATTACCCGATTTTTGTAGGCATGATCTCGGGTGAAACTCAATGGAGGATGAGTTCGCTAACTTATGCAGCCTCGGTCTGACTGAAGCGGGCTTTTTCCCGGCTGCAAACTATCTCCTCACTACCTGGTGCGTATGGTTCCTAACCTCTCCTCTGGTCTTCCACTAACGAGACATCAGGTACTGCCGATTCGAAGTGCAAACCCGGATTGCTGTCTTTTACTCCGCAGCCTCGCTAGCTGGCGCCTTCTCAGGTCTCTTAGCCTTCGCCATCGAAAAGATGGATGGTGTTGGTGGCCTCGCCGGATGGCGCTGGATTTTCATCCTCGAAGGGATACTTACCGTCGTCATTGCCGTCACATTGCCTTGGACCCTTCCCGACAGCCCAGAAACGGCGAGCTTCCTGACTAGAGAAGAGAAGGATGTCATCCATCGACGTCTGGAGCAAGATTCGGGAACCTCCGCCGGCACAGTGCAGACGAACGAAAAATTTCAGTGGAAGTTCCTCTGGGCTGCTTTGAGCGAATGGAGGCTGTATTTTGGTATGATTGCTTACTGGGGCAATTCGTAAGTTGAATTGATTTGATGCCAAGTTGCGAAAGCATACTGATCTTCTCGCAGTGTGTGCCTCTACTCGTTTACGTACAGCGCTCCCAGCATCATCCTTGATTTGGGATACAGTGCCGCGAACGCCCAGTTGCTCAGTACGTCCCCAATCCATAATGCTCTTTCGGAGCCCGGCTAATTGTTATGTAGCTATCCCCATCTATCTCGTTGGTGTCATCAGTACCTTGGTGTTCGCCCGGCTAGCAGACAAAAAGAAATATCGCTGGCCTTGCATTGTAACTCCATTCGGAATCGCGTTCTGTGGCTTCATCGCTCTGCTGAGCATCCCTCACCCACGGTTCCCTGGATTAACCTATGCATTCCTATTCACAATCCCAGCAGGTGTTTATCCTCCCCTTGTCGGGATCCTCGCTTGGAGCGGAAACAATCTCTCACCAACATGGAAGCGTGCGGTCGGAATGGCGCTGCTCATTTCTCTCGGCAACCTTGGAGGTGCCATCGGCAGCAACATCTTCATTGAGCAACAAAAGCCCCGTTACCCACTCGGATACGGCTTCTGTCTTGGTATCTGTGGCGCAGCTATTATATGTGTCACTGTTCTTAAGTACTCCTGGAAAAGAGAGAACAAGAAGCGCGATGCAATGGATGCGGCAGAGATCCATTCTCGATACTCGACCCAGGAGCTCTTGGAATTGGGTGACAAGTCCCCCCTCTATCGGTATGAAACCATCGAACTTGCACCCAAAGCTAATCAAATGCTAATTCATATGCCAGATACGTGATTTAAAGCTTTTTAATGGCTGTGAGACAGAGGATGACCATTGCAGATCCAGTAGCCCTGTTCAGACGGGTATCATGAAGCTCTGAAGGAAGCTGGTGCCTGATTTGTATCACCCATTCGATCGTCACAGAGATCGCTTCTGAAATTTGAGACTGCCAGCTGTTTATCGACTGTTTGCCCCTTAGTTTTAGTCATGCTAATGCATGCAAGGCTGTGTTAACGGAGGATGCAGGTCTATTGGCCCAGATACGCAAGCGCGGAATCGTTTACGAAATTTAGCATAACTCAAGGGAATTCTCCATAATTTGAAGCAGAGGACCTATAATTAAATAGAAACCCCTGCAAGAATATATCTTTTCGAATAAAGCTAACAGGGGCCTCTCAGAAGCCTGAATTAGGTCTAAATACTAAGCTTTCCAGTAGTTCAGAACCTCGAAAAGATATTGTGTTTTTAACCGGAATATCTTTTCAACTTTATAAAGTTTTGGCTGTAAATTCTAGCAGTTCCCCCAGATCTTGCAGATTATTAACCCCTACAAGCCCAACAAGGGTCAGAACGGTACAAGATCAAGGGCCCATATATTTCACATACAAAAGGTATCTGCATAAGTTATCGCGCTAAAAATTCCTCCTTTGCGCTTCTGGGCCTATATCACGTGTGGCCTGATCTTGGGATATCGCCCTTTGCATACGGTAAAACCCCCAAATATATATATATATATATAGGTACTCAAAGATACTCTTCTAAACAATTTAACTGTATATACTCTTAGTAAGGCAAATGACTAACTGGTATGGTTCTGACAGACCGGGGAGTTAATTTAACTGCAGTGGAGTAAAGCAGCAGGAAGACAAGGAGGCGAACCGGCATGCTCCTCTCCTCCATATAGAATTACAGTCGGCCGAACTTGCCAAGGGCCCAGTTCACTCACGGGAATAAAGCCTATCTACGCAGGTGGAGGCATCGTGGACAGCGGTCTAGATACCGTAGGGGAATCCTCAACAGGGTGTACCTGCTCTGATGCCATAAACAATCTATATGCATTCACTTGCATGCGGGCTACATACGCTGCAAGCGCTATATTATGTTGATATACAAAAAATAGGCACTTCTAGCTCAGTACTACTCCTTTTTACGATACGTAGATTTTCGGTAGATGGGAGCTACTAGTAGTAGTCCCGCTACGAAGTGGTTTGACACACCAGCTTACAGGCATACCATTATCATCGCAGCAATTAGGATCTGGCTTACCTGCTCGAGGCAGCCCACGGCTGCAGCTGTTGATCGCATTCATGAGGGTCCGGGTGGATGGGATCAGACTTACCTGCTCGAGGCCGCTCGAGGCTGCAGCTGTTGATCGTATTATGGCAAATAAGATCCAAGGAAAATCAGCAGATTTTTACTCCCTTGGGCAGGGACTTCAAAGCCCGGCTTTGGAAGGAATGCACACCATGGAAGGAAGGCACAGTAATCTCAGCTCCAACAGCGGCTTTTCCCTTCCAAGAGCCAGTAATTCCTTCTCAATAGAATAACAAAGTAGTAAGAGTACCTCCTTACCTGGGGTATTAGCTTTCAGCCTCCGTATATTATATCTTTTAATTTAAAAGCATATTACAAGGGATAGAATAAATGTCCTTTCAACATCTGTACGACTTGGTATAGCTGGGCATAGCCCCTATTCTGTTTGTATACTGTACATTCATTCATTCGGGTAGCCAACTTGCTCCCCAGACACAGGGCCCCCCGAGGTAGGAACATATCGGTGAGCGTATCCGCAACGCCAAGGCTTGCCCAGAGCATAATGGCGAGACCTAGGACAAGTAGAATGTTATTTTCCGGCTGGCCACGAATCAGAATGACACCTGTTGAAACAGAGGATTAACTGCTATAGCAGTCAACCCTCCGAGCCTTGCGGAGGGTTGTTTTCTAATGACCGGTGCGGTCATGTATTTTCCTTCTTGACGAAAGAGGCGCATTCGTGGCTTTTGGTCTGCTACATAGCGATTACACGAGCCCATTGTCCAATAACACCGGTATGTGGCGAGAAAAGCCAACGCATGGCAAACGAGAGCGACCGGTATATTTAGATTCAGAGCGCGCAGTTAAACAAGGGCCGCACTACCACGCGTTTGCTCTTGCATTATTTTATCAAACCCACCCCTGATCCTGGAAGCTGAATGTAGGATTCACACCGCAGTATAATCTTGATACCAATTTCAAGATTATGCCTGCTAGGAATCCTTCGAACCATCTCGTATAAGCAACAATCAGTATAAAAGAGCCATCGTCCTCAGGTGTTCTCGATCTGATTCTACAGACAGCATTAAAACAATACACTCAATTTCTCATTACAACCTCTTATTCTCAACACTCTCTACTACGATATATTTTCAAAATGAAGCTTTCTATACTCGTCTTTGTTGCCACCATGCTTGGTGCTACCGCTGCCATTGATCACCCTGGCCTCGATCTCGAACGCAGAGAACTTGATCTCGAGCGCCGAGAGTTGGAATTCGAGCACAAGGCTCGGGCCTGGATGGCGACCAGAGATGCCCGAGAATCTCTCAACCCCCGAACAACATGCAGTGGCTATTGTGGATATCCCACCATGCCTCAGTGCTCTTCTGGCTGTATCTGCCAGCGAGGATCGTGTGTCTCTTCCGGATTACCTAGTCCCCCACCTTCTCCCGCGGGCAAAAAGGGAGGCAAGGGTGGCAAGGGGGGCAAAGGGGGGCGCAAGAGGAGCACATAAGTGACGAGTATGCGCCACTCGTTGCACGCGGAAGGTTGGAAGGGTTTTTTTTTTCCATGTGTCTTTCGTTGCCATCAGAAGATTGGCTTTCTTGTACCTCTGATGGACTGATGGTGTTGCGGACGATCACACTTATACAACCGGGATTGCCTCGTCTTTGAGTAGGAACTGGTGGATTCAGCTACGGGGCGTATACCAACCGTCCAGTCAAAGATAATAAACTATTCATTTCCAATCCCAATCAATTTATCAAAGCCAGAGTTACCTTCTTTATATAAGGGGTACATGTATGCCTGGTCTAACTTAACAGGAATATTGTGTAAGCTGATTCATAGCGTTCCCAAAAGTATGACCGGATGAAATAAGAGCCGCAAGCTGCTTTTCTACATCGTCCTCATGGATCTGCAATCGCATCACCAGCGACTGAATCAACCCTTTTATCGAGTTAAGGCCTGATTTTATAAGCTTTTATGCTGATAATCGATCGCTAAGATCAGGTAATTGCCTTAGTATCAATTCAAACTGCTCAATCTACAATCACAATTGAGCGCAAATGCTGAGACCCTACTGGTACTAGCCTTCTCCTTAAATATAGCTTCCCACTCTGTAGCAGGGATTATTTTTCCTTTTGCCTTATATCCGTTAAGTAGGAGCTGAGCTTTCGCCTCGACGGTCCGCATATATTCTTGTAGGTCGTTAGATGTGTCGGAGATCAAATCCTTATGGTCTTCAACAGGGGTTATAGCAGCAACATAACTACGGCATACTTAACATATTTACCTACTTAGGGATAGTCTAGAATACAAGTATTCACATATTTGCGTTTGCCAGGGCTATATTAATGGTAAATTTATACCCAGCTAGCATAGACTTAAAATCGTCTATATCTCCTTGAAGATATTTCTGCATAATCCAGTCGCAGATGCTGGGTCGGGAGCCTGTCGAAGGTTGCTGAGCATGAGGCCAGAAAGTTTGCCAAACAGAGAAAGGGGCAAAGTCGGCAAGGGGCAATGGAAAAGGAGAGAGACGAATATCAGGAGCTACAATTGGCCCGCGGAGGAAGGTGAGTCGATTTAAGGCTAAAGGGACAAAACTGCCATAGGCTCGGCTAGAATTGAGAAGGAATCTGTACGGAAGGGCATGAAGGCAGCTGAATCAAATCGACGATTGGAGAGGAAAAGGGTAGCGAATGGACCCATTGCATGAAGTCTTCTATCAGATATTAAATCAAGTTCGCAGCTATCCTGAACTCCTATCAACCTCAACGGAAGATTTAGCGTCCAGCACGTACCATCACTGAATATAAACACACAGACTCGGTTTTCCCTCAAGATAATAGATTGGGGAATTTACCCAATCACCTCGCTATTTCTTCTCCTCAATGTGGGAGGAATCAGCCCGCGCTTGATCCATCTTCTCATCCAGTATCTCTTCATTTTCTTCTTCTTCGATGGCGTTTTTATACAGGCCCTTTTTTATGTCTCGCTGCCAAAGCACGTAGCCTGTCAGGAACAAAGACACCCAAACGACGCAGAGACAAATGCTTGCGGTGAAGCCTCGTGTCCACTGGGGCCCTTCTGTAACTGGGAATACCACGACGTTATACCACGTGAAAAAAGCCCAGCCGACTGTCATCTAGACACACACCACAGGTTTTAGTACTTGAAAAATCGAGGAAGAACCCTAACTGTGTATCAACGGCTTTGTGAAAGGGATGTTTCTCACCATAGCACCAGTAGTGAAACTCTTGGCTTCGTTGTCATCCTTCATGATAAGATGCACAAAAGGGAATAGCATTGGAGTAATGCAGGAGTTGAATCCCATCAGAAACCAAGTAGCGAATTTCATTCCAGTGGGTATGTACCAGATACGGAGACAAATGTTGGAAAAGAGCAAGATTGTCCCCGAAAAGAGGACTGGCATCCAGATGGGGTAGACCCTTTAAGAGTGAGAAGTTAGCGAACAGCACATGACACTAAAATCGAGCATAGAGAACAGCGGCACTTCAAACACAATCAAGCACTTACATGACAAACTGAGGAACCAAGATACCGCATACAATTGCCATCAGTTGCGTACCCGTAGGTAGAATGTTGATCAGTTCCACAGAGTATTGGCCCGTAGACTTGACCCAGATACCCATCTGGCCGCCAACCCAGGTCGTCAATTGGAAGCTAGTCGCGCACAGATATGTTAGTTTATTGATTCCAAGTGATTTTCGGGCGTGGAAATGTATGTCTCACCTAGTGTAAGTAGCGACGGCAAAGTAAAAGTGCCAGTGCGTAAAGACACGCTTCAGCATGCGCTTTCCAATTTTCCGGCTCTTTCGTACACCATCATCCTGCATTCTCGCCTGAGCCAGCTTTTGTTCCGACTCTTTGAGCCACCAGACGCGAGGATTTGTTGTTGGCAGACCCGGAAACAAGAAGAAACCAGCGATGGCAATGGGGAGACTAATGATACCATCCACGATGAAGACCCAGCGCCTAAATAAGAGGTCAGCCAAACTCCATGATTTGAGAGAGTATGAGAGAACAACGCACCATCCCTCCATGCCAAGCTTCCCATCCAGTCCAGCATGAGCGGCGGCCTGCATGTATCCACCAAAAGCAGCGCCGATATTGCTGGAGACGTACCAAACTCCAGCTCGTTTGAATACTTCATCGGCGCGATACCAGGAGGACAGAATGTAGAGCGATCCGGTAGCAGCAGGAGTTTCAAACAGGCCCATGAGAAATCTCATGCCGAATATCATTTGAGAGCTATTATTTCGGCACTGAATAAACGTAATGATTGACCACAGGGTCTCGCAGATTGGGAGATACCAACGAGCCAGATTGGGGCGAGAGATGATCATCATGGATGGAATTTCCAGGATCATGTAACCAATGTTGTAAAATGTGCTGAATAAGTTGTACTCGACTCCCTTGATATTAAGGTCCTCTTTCATCCCCGAGTTATAGGCATTGGTAATGTTTGACTGGTCAAGCCACTTGATAAAGACTGTTAATCATTAGTTTGGAGAGCTGCGCAGTGTCCATGAGATTGCTGGAAACATACATAACAAACAGCTGGCTCCATTATTAATACGATGATACCATGAGACCAGTTGGGGGCGGAACATACATAAGAGGAAGGATGATGCGGTCCTGCTTCTTGAGAAGGGCCTTCTCTTCCTTACTGTAGTGGCTTGGGTACCAGTCAAAGATGTATAGCCAAGCCAGTTTCAAGTTCTTGTTGGGCTTTTTGGTGGCCGAGCTGACCACGACACCATTCTTGACCACGGGATGAGAATCAATAGGCTCATCACCAATGACCTCCTGAGTGACTGTGGGCTCCACGGTGATCTCGTCATCTGTCTTCCGTTGCTGTTGAGTCGCCATTGTGGCTTTAGACTCGCTCTTCCGGGCCGGTATGGTTACGCTGAGAGGGGGAGCTAATCCTCGCGAGAGGACACAATGAAAAGATCAAAGATATCACAGGCGGAGTGATTGAACTTCTGATGGGATGAATGAACCCAGCTGTTGATCTTGACGAGAAGAGGTTCGAACGTTGAGAGGATGGACGGGACTCTTATTCATAACAAGATTCCCTTCCAAGACTCATCACGTACCCCATGGGCAAGGCCAAGATGGCCACGGGGTAGCGATAACTCCACATGGCGCCACCAATTTCCCCGCATGCGAGTAGCATCTCCATGGAACAGGGGCGTCATTTGCGGTCTGTAGTCGGAACCCTTAGTAACCCCAGATAACAAGCCCAGAAAGGATTGGCCTCGGGGCATGTAGTGCGGTCTCCGGATGAGTTCGCCCCCGAGCATGGGCTTATGGCGTTGGTTACTTATCAAGACTTGCAAATGTCCCGGACAAGTTGTCCGGTGCACCGGAAATTTCGGGATAATTCCAATGAATAGTCCCCAATGATGTCTTGACAACAGGATCCTTCTTCCATGTTAGGGATGCAACGCGATCTGAAGTGGATAGTTGGTCACCATGCAATAAAAAAGCATCCAAAACTCGTCAGCAGACTTTTGCTCGGTCAAACTTCTTGCATATTCCAGGTTGACACCATCTCCTTTCTTGCTATGCCACATCACCACATTCTCATTACTTGGAACAGGACACATCCCACCACGAACTTGGAAATCTCAATCCTGCCCAACACAGAGAAACCCCCAAAATTGAGCCGCTACCATGCAGAATAACAACAGCAATGATGCTGCCTCCTTCAATACTCAGCATGAAGTGCCTGTAGCAAGCAATGCACTTGGTGATTCTATTCAGGCCAACCCTCATGACTCCCAACAGCATGCATCTGATACACCTGATGTGGAACAACCGAAAACACCACCATATGATAGAGAGTCATTTCGGAGGGAGCAGCCTCATCTAAATATCCTGTCACCGACTGACTCACCCCGAACCCAGCCACCTGGCTCTGATGGCAGTTGCGAAGCCGATAATCAAAGTTTGAACAGCCCGCTTACAGAACCGAATCCTTCCACTGAAGATGGCACCGTTTTCAATGAGGGCATCACAATTAGCACAGAACTCGCAGACCTTTATGCCGAAAATATCCTAGCAAAAGTCTATCGGACAGCGTGCAGGTCCATGATTGGGGAAAGAAGATTCCCCGATTATTTCCCCGAATACGTTCCCCAAGATGGTTCAGATGCTGGAAGCTATACGCTACGTGAAGCAGAGTTCTGGACGTGTGGCTTCTTCCCCGGAACGCTGTACTCGTTGCTGGAAAGGGCCATCCGTTTCCCCGCACATCTTAGAAGCCCAAATATTACTTCTTCACAACAACCCAATGGTATCAACGTACAGACCATTCGCCTGAATCTCCATGCACTGTGCGATACCTGGTCCAGACCGTTACACGAAATGACCGGCCGTACAGACACCCACGACATAGGATTCATCGTTATGCCAGCGTTGCGTCTCGATTGGGAACTTATGGGAAATTCACGGAGCCTAGACTCTATCATCCAGGCTGCAAAGAGCCTGGCGACTCGATATGTTCCCACCTCGGGAGCCATCCGGAGTTGGGACTTATTACTAAAGAAGAACCTGGAAATTCGAGATCAAACCGAGAATATGATTCTCATCATTGACAGCCTGTGTAATCTGGATCTTCTCTATTATGCTGCCAGTCACATGGCCGACGGCAAGGAACTCTACGACATAGCCACTTCTCATGCGCGGGTGTTACTTCGAACACACCTAAGAAAAGAGCCTCCCATGTCTCTAGACAGTCAATCATATAAGGGTGCTTGGTATTCGACATGTCATGTGGCCAACATAGATCCCCGAAATGGAGAGCTGAAAGCACGCCTGACTCACCAAGGTTACGATAACGAATCCACATGGGCGCGTGGCCAGTCATGGGGTATTTTGGGATACGCGCAGACATACATGTCTACCAAAGACGACGAGTTCCTCTGGGCAGCATGCGGGTTAGCCGAGTACTTCCTCCACAGACTGAAGACGGCTCCAGATTGCGTTCCCCAGGGCACTCGGCTGGTCCCTCTATGGGATTTTGATGCTCCAATTGATGATCGATCGAACCCATTGCGTGACTCTTCGGCTGGCGCCATTGCTGCCAACGGCATGCTAGTACTCTCACAAGGATTAGCGGCTGCAGGCCAGGATAAACTCTCCATCAGATACCGCCGAGCAGCGGTTGATATCGTCCATGAGCTTCTCTACTTTGCCCAGGCTCCTGAAAAGGCTCGCCTCGTCGGGGGGTGTACCAGTGCAATTACGGTTGAAGATGAGACAGCTCAAACCTTTGATGGGATCCTCAAGTTTGGTACAGCCAACAACAACCAATACTCCAAGAAGCAATATTCTAATCATGGTCTGGTATATGGCGATTACTATCTGGTAGAATTCGGTAATCGGTTGCTGCGAATGGGTCTCGTGTGAGCTGTGGAGAGCACCGTTCTGGTCCATTTATCATAGACATTATATCTAGAAGTTACAGGTTATTTTTTCCAACCCCGATGACCAGCCAGTACAATCTATGCACTTACAGCAGATCGCTCTCCCATGTGTCAGAATAACTGACCAGCCCAGCCCAGTCGCAACGTCGGCAACTCGGTTAATTGTAAAGACAAAACAGCACCACACCCCACATCAGTTCGGTCTTGCTATAAAGAGTATATTTCTTGATTATGTAAATGATGTTAAATGTCCAGATATGGAGAGAAAGTGTGTCACCAAATTACTACCAAATTATGTACCAAGAGACTTGCCTCAGTGGATATTACCGTAGCTCAGTCAATTGACATGAGTAAATGGGACATAGGTTCGGCTAATCGTTGCTACTCGGTAATTTGAGTCACAATGTTCCTATCTCTTCACGAAAAAGTCGGGGGGGGGTATGTACTGTAAGGGTGCCGGGCGAGGTCCTACGGACGACGGAACATCAACTGCCCTGCCGGCCCGTTAACCCAGCAATCCAATATTTGCTAGACTGGACACCGTCATTTAAGGCATGATCTAATAAGCTTATATCGGGCCATTCGTACCGAGGGCTTGGGCCAACGGGGCCTGCTACTCTCACGAAGGATCGCGCGTGTAAGCAATCGTGAGCTGGAGGTCAATGCTCGGGACAATAAGAGCGAGGCTTGGGTTTAGAAGACAATCACTTGTACTTAAGCCCTCAAACGTATCCAAGACGGCAGATTTGATATGTGATCTTTAATGACTTGTTCTTAGAGAGCCAAAGTCGTGATTTTCCAATGGGGTGATTAGAATGGGTGTAATCCCGCCGGTTAACTCAACAGCGGATGGCCTATATGTGCCTTTAGCTTCTTCTCATCAAATCAGATTATCGATTTCGGAGACTATATATATTTTCTAACTCTCTCAGCTGAGCCTGTAGAGGTCTATGAAATATCCTAAGCGACAGGCGGGGGTTCTTTGGGCGAGGGATCGGGACGATGGCAAGACAGAAGTTATTTATAAAAACGACTCTCTTGCTCCGGATCACACTCGACTCCAAAGCCGTGCTCATTGTAGAATAACTACTGGCAGTGCCTCCAGCACCTCAAGAGGATTCTATTGCATCATTATTTGTACTATCAATCACATGGCACAGGCACGATGAAGTTTCTTGTCAAGCGTCGCCAATTTCAATTTAAGAACTACCTAATTAAACTCGATTTTCCATTTTCCTCCAAATTTTCTGATCATTATTGCCCATCTTTCTTTCTGTATTGAAAAATCAAAACTCAAAATCCAAAACTTGAAAATCGGTCAAAGTCTCAACGTGTAACTCAGTCTCTTTTTTTCATTCCCAACCTGAAACCGAAACCAATCCGTAACATCCGTGATTTTTACCCTTCCTTGCCCTTTATTCGCCTCGATACACCATTCATAGCTGTTGACAAAAGTTCAAGCTGCATCTGGGGTTGGATCCAGCTTTTTGGTTCGTTGCATCATCTGCTTCTTGACCCTCAACAAGGAGAACGTCTCGTTGGTCAGGAAGTGCTCCTGCTGATCCCAAAGATACGAGTCGCTGACGGCGAACGCCAGTTCCAATGATGGGCTCAGTCCAATGTCAAGGAGCAGGTCTCTCATCCGTGCAGCGATGCCGCAAACATGATCTTCATTCTCTCTGTCGGCTCTGTGGATCTTGAATGTACCGCTCTCAGCGTCCGATTCGTATCCCAGCATCAGCCAACAGCTGCGCAGTCTAGGGAACGCAGACAGGAATTTTGGCAGTCCGACGAGCATAGACGGGGTAGTCAGCCTTGTGCCCATCAGAATAATGTCCTGCGTCTGAGCCAGCGCGAGGGCTTGATCTGCGACGCTGAGTCCAAGCAGCTTCATCGGTCCAAAATTGATCTCGGGCTTGGGCGAGACTTTGGTGTAAGTCGCCTCGCTAGGATCTTGCCTCCTGCGTACTTCCCTCCTAGCACGTCTCGCAGCGAAATCTTCAATCGCGAATTCTCGATGACGCACATACTCCTCGACTCGCTTCATGGGGGGGTAATCAAAAAAGCTCACTCCTTGCTGGAGCCTCTCCCCGAGATTTGCCGACATCATGATGCGTTTTTCAGCAAAGAAGACGGGCTTGCCGAGGCGTCGGAAGCGTCGACAGGTGGAATTGACGATGAGCCAGTCGTTAATATGCTTGGCCTGGGAAGGGCGCGCTGGGGGTTGACACGGCGTCGTTTCGTTGCGCTCATCTATTGCGTCCTGGCCAGTGGGCTTCGTCATTAGTTCCTCCAAGATGAATTCTGGGAGGAAATCCCATCCGGGGACCTTGCTGGTCATGTGGAAGCGCGGGATGTCAACGCAGTGCTCCAGCCAGAGCGGCGCGTATTCCACATTGTCCTCTGCTGGGGCCGCCTGTTCCGGATTGGTGTCGCCTGTTGCCATGTCTCCGGCGAGAAGATCGCGCAAGATGTGGATGAGAATCTCATCTGGGATGCGGTCAATCATGCAAATATCTGGGGGGCAGCCCATCGCGACGTCGATCGACGGAGACATCTCGTGATGGCGATTGAGCTGTCTTCTTTTACTCATTCGTCCCGACTTGAGATTCAGCTGATTCGATCTGTCGCTGCAGACTCACTCGGGACCATTCGAGCGATGCCCAAGAGCAAAAGATGTTGAGCTTTTGGGGAGACACGGCTGAGTGCTCCGCCCCTCTTTCAACAATCAAATGATCAATCACCGCTTGATTCTCGCTTACGAAGGGGCTGGGCAAATGCTGACTAAGTCCTGCATCGGATGTTTTCCTGTGTTATTCCGAGACACGGTAATGAATTCGTGCGACGGTTTCTGGGTAACATCGGAAGAAGGACGAATATTAATGCAGGGAGGAGTGGGATTGGGGTCTGTTGGTGCTACGTGATTCGAAGCTGAAGGACTCGTGCTGCTCCAATACCGAATCGAGCTGTGCAATGTGTCATCTTTTCAATAAATACACAAAAATCAAGAGGTAAAATGTCAGGCTGGTTGAGATATCCAACTGCCTCTCCATCAAGCTGTCAGTCGCGTCGAAGAGGAACACGACGCGACAGAAGTCCCATTTGTTTATTTTCTAGCTAGTCATTTACATGAAGATGCCAGTCATTGTTTATTTGAAGGAACACGTATCAACAATCTGTTTTGCAGTCCAATGAGAGTTTAGCATATGATTATCACCACTTCATATCGTGTCATATAAACTTTTTAAGAAAATGACCAAGTGGAGCATAAAATACCCCGGTTTTGACAGTACAGGGGTGATATCTCGAGCTCAGCCTAGCTTCCTCAAACATGGGGTTTGGCCCACCATGTTTAGATATTTTCTTGGCAATGGCGATCGATCTTCGCGGAGGGTTTTATTCATGGGTTGCTGGATAAAGAGATATCTTGTTACTAAAGGCGGCCTGTGGGATTTCATTCGATGGTACTCTTCCCTGCATGAGACTGCGTGACAGAACGCAGTCAAGAATTTCCATCACAATAACATTGGCTATCAATCCACGGCTTACGATGAGATCACAGTATAGACCAGTTCCTAAATACTGAAATTCATACATCCAACGCGCGCGTATACTTGTGAACAGGATTTTGTGTACGTGCCTGAAGTTCTATCACAAACGAAGACATGCTTCGATCTCTCAAGTGTCCCATGAGTCTCATAGTCATCCCGAAGCAACCCAATGAATGAACGAAGGCTTCATGGTCTATAGGGAGCTGAACTCGCTGATAATGTCAAGTGACTGGCGGGGAATCAAGACATGGCATGTTTGCCTCTATCCACTTCCAGCGTAACTGTTAGGCGCGAAGTTGCATTTCATGCATTTTCTGGGACCAACCAAGGGCTGTAACTTAGCAATGATAATACAAACAGCATGCTACCAGGTACGGTTGGCCAACTGGTGACTCTGCTAAAACACGGGGATGCCACCCTTATGGAGGGAAACATATATGTGATGGAGCCAGGCCGAAAGCATTCAAAAATGAGCATTTCTGGCCTTGATTAGTGTTTGAAGACAAGCCTGTTTATAGACAGTGTCGCGAACTTCCTCATCTCACAAATACTCTCCATGTTGACCTCGTTTGCATTTTCTACAGATGGTGCAGTCAGGAAAACAGAAAATAACTCTTCACTCCCTCCATGTACAGGCGCTAAATGGCCTAAGCAGCGATGCTACCTTGTTGGGTGAGCAGCTGGAGGTGGGATATGCATCAGAGCCCACACTTGGCATAGTGAGTGCCAATATGCACTCAGACGCGTGAGCTGACGCCCGAAGCATGATTATTTCCAAAGAGGCCAGCTGCAGAGCCCTTCGCCTCCGTCCCCTCGGTGTATCGTATTGATCTGATTGATTGGCAAACGGTGGTGACGGCATGTGTTCACTTCTGCTCATGTGACAGCCAGTAACAATTATTAACCCCCCATCCCGTCCTATCCCGTCCCATCCAACCATCCCTCCATCCATCCTCGCATGATTCCCTGATTGACGTGTTAATGCCCATCCGTCGCCCTTACAGAGCCTTATTCCGCCCGCCGAGTTGTTTCCATCTCCATCTCGCCCGATGGCCTGACACGCGTCGCCATGGACGGCTTATACATCGCAGCGGCAATTATTCACTTCATCGACTACGCTGGCCGTCTCGTCGCCTCGAGCCAGTCTAGACACAGTCCACCGAATGGCCTTCCTCTGGAGCATCGCGAATTGGGCTCCATCGCCAAGTGTCTCCTGTCGAGCAGCCGCCAAATCGAAGAGTCGCTGCGATCCCAACATCGCGAACACACTCATACCAACATCGGCATCCTACAACATCAGACCGCGAGTCATTGCCAAAGCATCGCAGAGGAGCTTCTAGATGCCATCGAACTTCTTCAGGCGGCGGGACCCGGGACAAAATGGCGATCTTTCCGCCAGGCCCTCCGTGTTGTATTGAGCGACTCTAAGGTGCAGGGCTTGGATAGAGGCTTACGCTCCTTGCGTCATCAAAGCATCTATACTACGATTGATAGCCTGAGGTATTTGAATTTTTTTAATCCATTTTCCTCGGTTTTATCCGCCGCAGATTTTGCTGATATCTACCCACAGACTTGAAGCCTCCAGGTTGAGCCGCGTCCAAGCTGCCCTTCGCCATGCTTCCGAAGACGCACCGCCAGCTCCAGATCGCGGTGTCTCGGTGGGAGATCGGTTTCTAAACGACAACAGGCTCGGGGACACCTGGCGAAAACTCATCGTGCGCGCCATACTCGAGAACCAACGAAACCCCAACGCGATGCTCCCTCCGTTCCTCGGCCTCAAGCCCAAGGGTACCTGGGCCCGTGCATACGAGGGCGGCGTCCGGGCAAGGGTCCTGCACCGTCTCACTTTCCGAAACATGGAGGATCGCGAGCGGCAGATCCCCGACGCGGACGATGGGACGTTCAGCTGGGTCTTCCGTGACCCGGTCATCAATGATAAGCCCTGGTCAAGCTTCAGAGACTTTCTGCGCTGGCCCACGAGCAAGATATATTGGATCACTGGCAAGCCGGGGTCTGGGAAATCCGCCTTGATGAAGCACATACATCAGAGTCTAGAGACTCGGAATTTGCTGAGACATTGGAGTGGCGGCCGGAATGTCCTCCAGGCAAGCTTTTTCTTCTGCAACAGCGGAGAGAGTATGCAGATGTCTATCGAAGGTCTACTGCAGTCATTGCTGCTAGATTGTCTGAGACCAATTCCCTCGTCGATAATCCAAAGAGTCCTTCCAGCACGGTGGGAGGTTGCATGCCTCTTTGACCAAGATGACGTTCCTTGGGGCGAGGAGGAACTTCTCGGCGCCCTGCGAACGCTAATGATGGATGTCTATGCACACCAGAAGTTCTTCTTCTTGATCGACGGGCTCGACGAGTATTCTGGAGAACAGCCGCAGCTTATTGATCTGATCATGGAGTTGGCGGAGGAGACCAACAACCTCAAGCTCTGCATCTCAAGCCGACGTTGGCCACACTTTCACGACGCTTTCATGGGAAGGCCGCATTTGGTCCTGGAGGACCTTACCGATGCCGATATTGGTCACTACGTAGAGACCAAATTTGAGGAAAGTTCGGCGTTCTGCCAGCTCCGACAGAGAGAGCCAGAAAACTTCGAAAGACTCATGAGAGATACTTGCCACAAGGCAGAAGGTTGCTTCCTATGGGCCCAGTTGGCCGTGCAATATCTCACCGATGCCCTATCAAACGGAGATAGGATCGGCGATCTCGAGAATCTGCTTGGTGAACTGTTCCCAGGGGACATCGAGAGAATTATAGAAAAGATCATTGCGTCGTTGGACGAAGAGGAGCGAGATGATGCGTCTCGGATTTTCCAGATCGTTAGATCTTGTGACGACTTTGCCACCGTTCTCTGCGTTGCCCTAGCAGATCTCGAGGACACAAGCCTGGCCAAAATGACGTCTGCGAAAGTGATGCCTGTTCAATATAAAGAGTCACTGTCCAGGATAATGAGGAGAACACTGATCAATAGATGTCAAGGCTTACTTGATATCCCCGCCCCAGACGAGGACGAAGACGACAGCGATGAAAGCGATGAAAGCGATGAGGAATCGGAAGACGAAAGTGGCAACGAATCTGACGATGAAGACACAAGCGACGTATCATCGTCAAAACAAAACACAATCACCACTTTCATATCTCATCTAGAGATAAAATATGTCCATCGTGTCATCAAAGATTACATTGAGAGCCCTCATATTTGGGACTGGATTGTCAGCATGAGCTCCGTCCGCTTCGATCCAAATCTGTCGCTCTGCAAAGCGAACATTCTTCAATTCAAGGGACTTGACCCTTTGTCACTCTCCATGTCCGAGTTCTGGTTTCACGCTGAAATGGCGATCAAATACGCTGTTCGGTGTATGGATGTAGAGGGTAACGTCAGGGAAGTCATTGAATTGTTAGACGAGGTGGACTCAACTGGAAACGCCCTGACATACCACTATACCAACCCAACATTCATTGACCGGCCCGGCTCCCTCGGAGAAGACGACCATTGGGCCACCTTCTTTCTTCCCAGCGTCTCGCACCCCAATTTTAGCCATTTGATGGTGGCATGTGGAGTGCACCAATACCTTACCCGGCGTCTGCGTAAGGAGGATGTACGAAACGAGAGGCTCACAGGGGAACCGACCCCATTACTGATCACCGCGGTGCAAGAATTCGCGATTCTGTCCAACTGCGATGAATTGGCAGGCCCTCATGTACGAGTCGTGGAAGCTCTCATGAAGAAAGGGGCCGATTGCCTCCAGGTCTATCACGGCCGTTCAGCCTTCAGCTTGGTGCAAAGAGCGAGGAAAGTTGAGAAACACAAACCGGTCTACGAAGAGATATTAAGAGTCTTCGAGCGATATTCCCGGCGGAAGCTACCTATGCCAGTCAATTTGGACTCTTCGATGGCCGTTGCGCGACATCACTCTCAATACGCCCATTATCAAGAATCCGACAATGATTCCATCCGATCAACCGATGGCCTTTGCGAAGGTCAAAATGGACGAGAAGAACCCGGAGAGGGCAAACGTCCTTCTCAAGATTACAGAACTGTACACATTCAGGGTAAGAATATCAAAATGCGAGAAGGAAACGATAGGTCCGAACTGGGTACACAACACCGTACCTCAAGCAATCGATCGAATTATTCTCATTCTCTATACTCTAGAGGAGGAGAAACAAGTCGGGCCGGAAGTAGGATGGGTCAGCTCTCGAGCTTTAACACACCAAGATCGCTACTTTCTTGGGACCAACAGCAGTCGTCTGGCTCGCAGCTTATCACACAGAATCAACAGAACTACCCGACGAGCAACCCTTTCTCCAGCGATTTAGTGCGAACATCTCAGGCAGCTGCCCCTAGGCGACGAAATTATTACCCATCACGGTTTTTCAATAATCCATTTTCTGCGCGACGGGGGAATGCCTACTAAACCCGCAAAAGTCGCGTGTCAAAAGAAAGCTCAATGCTCTCTTCCACCAGAATCATCGTCTCATACTTCCTTTTATGAACTCGGCTTATGACACGCCCACCAAACCATCTAGCAACAAATTACATTCATATATACCTCCTTGGTGGCATTTTGCGAGTTGAACTCAGCAATCCCATATAATTCCCCATTTAGCATGTTTAAATAATGATATTGTGGTGGCTTCATGAAGAACATTTCTTTGCAAATTTACGAAGGCTTAGGTAACGAAACTATGTATTGATCACTGACTGGGAGAATAGGATATGAGGATGGTTTGGGTCAAAGGATAAAATCAGGGGAGCTGTTTTCAGCCAAGGTAATTTCTGGTTCTTCTATGGCGATTTCTCCATAACGATTGCTTCTCGCTGCGTACCCTAAGTTGGATCCCAACCTGTACCCTGCCCAGTGTGCGGAGAAGCTTTCACAGGGCAAGAAGTGGCATAGAGATATGCAGCACAAGTTTCACTTTGTTGATTTCTATGGGTGGTGCAAAGGTTTTGTCTCAGTCAATGATCTACTTTCAGATTGTTCGTAAAGGTTTTATTCGAATACAGTATCATCTGTTATGATATCTCAAAACTAAGATTCTAACTTCATGGCTATGTCGGGGCTACCTCATGCTCATCAGAACGCGTCATGCTGATAGAGGCATCAACCATATATTAATTGCTATCAATGGCATCACATTATCTGAGTGTAAAAAATCATTCATAAATAATTTCTATAAACTTTCAAGATTATAATTATATCAAGCGAAAATATTTCAGAGATTTTTTCTATCACATCGACTTATTGAAATAGTGAGATGCCCGAAGTCAACTTGGATTTTATCGTTGGATTCACTGCATTACGACCTTCTCATATTCAAATATCTCGTTCGTTCCTCACTCCAGCCTCGTCATTAGAGCCCCTCCACTAGTTACAGTCCTCATTCTTCTCTCAATCACAGATTAATCCTCTTCCACCCTGTCACTCTGGGTTCAATCTTTCCCTGGTAAAGACCGCCAAGCCATGTTCAATGCATCCAAGTTCAGCTATCATCGGCTTCGGAAAAAGGAAGTAGCTCCTAGACCTCCTCCTCATGAAGTCGATGTTGCATCTCAAGTTGAAGTGCTTCAAACTGCCCTTGGCACGCTTGAACCTCTTCTTGGGTGAACCAGACGCTTATCAACTTTCTAGCGAGCTCTTCGCTTCGAACGACGACTGGAGTAGAAATGCCATCTTCGAACAGTAGGCACATCCTGCCTACTCCAGATCGAATCACCAGATCTTCGATCGACTTGGTGATAGTTTCTTTGGCTCTCATAGTAAGGTCGCGTTGTTGCTCTATATTCTCTAAGCCCATAAACTGATCGACACTTTTGGCGCAATCTTTGAGGTAATTCGTGATGTCCTGGGCAACCTCTTGAGATATTATGCGACGTATGTCGCAGCCTGATCGCGGGGCCGAGTTGATGGCGTGCCCTTCCATCAAACTCGTCGTGAATTCCCGGGAGGCCCCGAGGTCAAACACATAGCATACTTCGCCTCTGTATCGCTCATAATCTGTCCAAGTATACAGCTTTTCCGCCCAGCCGTACTGAGCGCCCGTCAGGTCCATGACGAATTCTTCATTGCTGTAAAGCCTTATGTATAGTACCGCGTGGTTGACATCGACGATCTCGTTCGTACTGACAACTTGGATGGTGGGATCTTTCGGTCGTACGCTCAGTTCCTTTAAAGTATGGCAGTAAGCTGCCAGACCAATATTAGTTGTCTGCATGCTCTCACATTTTGGCAAAGGATGGGGTGACTTACGTTCAAGAAGAGCCTTGATGAGGGGCAAGCCAGTGCTAAGACTATCCACGCACATGTTGTGGTACAAGACAGCTTGTTCTACCGCGAGTCCTGCATCCTGAGTCATGATATCCTCAGGGAAATGTTGGAATATAGGGTGGCCCATTAGGGCACACGTCTCAGCGAGTTCCTTCTGCCGTGTAAGATATACGGTGCTCCCATTGACCCTGTCAAGTCGATACCTGCTCGTATACGTTTCGCGACAGTACTTGTCCCATATCTCGGACAAGGCAGCGACAGCTCTTCCGAGCCTCTTACGCTCATGACATATTAGCTCGTGGTTGGGTCGGTCTTCCGAGCGACAGTCTTCTGAACAATAACAGGTTTGGATGCGTCCCACGTCCTCAATCTTGCATTCTGGACATATGATGGAGCCTCCTGGTTCAGCGCAGTTAGAGCAAATCATCTTGAAATCAGTGGACGGATGTGCAATGAGGAGACAATCCTCCAAACTCGGGGTTAAGGCAGATCTGGAAGCTGATAAGTTGGAAAGTTGACAGGAAATGGGAAGTTAAGAACCAGTCTGAAGTTGAGGATGAATCTGTAAGTTGGGGATGAATCTGCAAATTGGGAATGAATCTGCAAGTTGAGAAGGAGTCAGGAGGAAGCCATCAGAGAAGCAGGCAGAGAGGTCAACTGAGGGACGGAGTGAGGAGACGCGTCACTATGTCAACAGATAACGGCAGTGACACTAGTCCATTACCCTGCTGTTTCCAACAACTCAACTACAGGCTGCTATATCAGAGCTCAGCGGTAACTAGGCACCGCAACTGTTAAAGGTTCCGTTGCCAAACTCCAGTAAACTCATACGGAGCACAAACATGTGGAATTTGCTCATTTTGTATGCAATCAATGCAATCAACCGAACTTCAGAAGCCTCATGCTGCTCACACGGCGTGATGACACATTTAATAAGAGCCAAGATCTGTCTTAAGATGTTAAAGTAGAGTGCTCAACCCGATGCAAGGGATATATTATGAGCCTGTAATTTTAAATCTTAACTTCTTTCATTGTCCAATTATAACTGCTATATTTCTTTCTTTCTTTTCGGACCTTCCAAGTACGTCGTTGGCTATGCATACCCAGTCAGTCCTGCATCCGATCTCGCTCACGTTATCTTTCAGTAACTAAATCAACTTCCTAGCGATGTGGGAAACAGCCCAAGAACTCAGCATCCTTCCGCGTTCTACACTGTTCGGATTTTGCAAAGTATCTTAGTGCTCGAACAAAGGGTTCTATAGGATGGTCGCGAGCGAGCAGTGTTCCACAATGCTCCATTTACATCTGGCAGCACAAAGTAGGTATGACCCAGTAACTAACCCGCTGTAAGTTGGCATTCATCCAATGACGGAGTAAAAGTTGGAATCCACTGGCTCTCAATCACGAACAGTGCGACGGGAATCAACATTTCCCCAGTGCATCAACATATCAACATACATATTTCTTTCTTTCCTTTACTTTCCCGATGAACGAATCAACGAATAATGTGCCAATAGAAAGTGAATGAAACCCCGGGTCGGTCGTACGGACTAGCCGTAATCCGTGTAACCTGCCGGAATGCATGTAAGCAGCTGCGGCAAACAACTAAACAAGTTCCATTGTCTGAATACAGTCTAGCTTGCACATATGTGCACTCTCGGAAACCTTCTAGTGCCAATACGACCCATGCACTGCTCCAGAAATATGCAAGTCTTGTGCCCGTGACCGTGATCCTGGTTGTCACATGAAATAATAGCAGCAAATTCCAGCGCCATGATGGATAAATAAAAACTAACATTTTCCATCTTGCGCCCGAGCTCGAAAACCACTTTGTCTTTTGATCTGATTTTCTAGCGTTTGTTTCTTTTTTTCCCTTTCGTCTGTTACCGACTCAGGAGCCTGTAGTCAATTCCAGACGAGCATTGCGCAGCAGCAATGGACCAGGCCTCTTCAATCCTAGACAGCCGCTTCAATTGAGATGAAAGACACGATGCAGAGACAACCTGAAGGGCTGATGAGTGCCCTCCTTCACCATAGAGCTGACTTGCAGCCCGCCTTGTCTTCGATGCAGTCCCCAGCCGAATCGCAAGCAGACGCCTTTGCCGCCTCGTTTCCGCAGACCCCGTCAAATCAAACCTCGCGAGCTCCCTCACCGTTGCAACACGGATCTGGAATGAGGCCAGAAGCCGCCCATGAATTGGACGAAAATCTAGCCCAGTCCCTAGCTTATGTGTCGGGGAATATTCTAGGCGACATTGGTGATTCCGATCCTCTGACATATCGCGCATCCCAGATACTGGGCAATCCCTCGTTTTCAGACTCGATGATCTTCTCCGCTCTTCCGCCGGCTGGCTCGATGCATTTCCCAGACCAAAGTTTTCGTGGACAGAGTGCAGCGCCAGCCGGTGATGGTACTCACGCTCAGGAGGATAACATCAATACATCGCCATCGGTGTCTTTCAAGCATGCAAAGATAAGCCATGGTGATTCTCCCGGTGTCCCAAAATCTCAGCGCTACGCTTGTCCCTATAACAAATGGGATCCTGAAGGATGTCCTCTTTGCTGTATGCCGAGTAATAAGAATCCGGGAGGAGGGGCAGAAACCTTCTCAAGAGTCAAGTGAGCTCCCCAACTGCTAAGATATTCCAATCTCAGACCGTACTGACGTGCCTAGGTCGCATATTCTCCGTAATCACGACGAATCTGTTCGTTGTCGGCGTTGCTGGTCCTCGTTTGTAGGCAAGCCTGAAGCACTAAAAGAGCACGCCAAAGCAGGCGATTGCATATACAAAGCCCGTCCGAAAGGATATTGGATGAATGAGTCCCAAACGAGCTATGTCCGTGGTCAGCGGTTCGAGGGAGGAGGTGCGGAGAAATGGTATCATCTTTTTACAGTTCTCCTACCACACGTAAAGATCTGCGATGATCAAGGGAACCATTTGATAAGCCCTTGTAGGTCGACTTAAGCGCACAGTATGGAACAAAACTCGACCTGTCAACTAATACATCGTTTGTAGATTATACACCACTGTCCGAACGAGGTAGCGAGCAGGCCGTCTTAGCCGCCTTACAGGCAGATGGCAAGCAGTCTGACTTTCAACCCTCGACATGGCCATTTTCAGGTCAAACTTCCACAATGGGTTCTCTGTATGCTAATTCAATCACCATGTCTAACTCAAGGATGATTCCTTCTAACTGGCCAAATAGTTGTGTCCAGTATGAAAACGCGTCGCTGCGATCCTCGTCCTGTGCATCTCCAATAGTGCTCGAGGATCTTTTGTCTGCAAATGCCAGCTTCCCTTCTCTGGAATCATCCACACATAACGGCCCCAGTATGACATTGAGTCCCGATCCTGGGCCAATGCCGTCTTTTCTTTCGACATCTGCCCCTCGACCAATACCGATGCGGGGCTCTCATCGCATCGATGGTCGTTTAGACGAGGCCTGTGACTCCTTCAATACCATCAAAGCACCCGCCTCTATGCCACACCTTCATTCGAAGCGATTATCCAACAATTTCCTGGGCTATGATAATGAAAGATTGCGTCGTGATAATCGGCAGTTGCGCCAAGAGAGAAATGATCTACAGAGACGAATCGATGCTGTGCGCGCGAATATTGATCCACTAAACCAGATGATCGAAGCTGCGCTTTATCAGAATGGGATTCCTTTGGAGGTTTCGACGAAATTGTTTGCTGCAACAGAGACGTTGAATAATCTTAGACAGGCTTTGGGTTGAGCAGCTCACCAAGGCTCGCCAAACCCCATGGGCGAAACCAGTTTTATCTAAATTATTCTGACCGGCGTCGATGCATGTGGGAGCCGAGAAATGGCCCATCTTTCGATTTTCCAAGGTAGAAGGAATGCTGCAACGAGAGGAACGCGGGGGGAAGGGCATCGAAGTTCAATGACGATGATGATGAATGTTAATGAATAATGAACGATTGAACGAATAAGCCAGCATCCAGGTGAGTAACACTAGACCTGAGTTAAAGTGTATGCTTATTTTCGTTAGAATAATGTGAGGTTGTCCTAATTCATCGGGACAGAGTTTCAACATATCAAAGACGATTCGCTATCCACACGATTAATTCTGCTAGCCAAATAACGGCATTCCTCATCAATAATTGGATTAACCAGATGCTTCAATCGAGGAGCAACGTTATCATGCCTTGTTTCAGCGAGGACCTAGAGTTGGCAGGAGTATAGGAAGAAGTTGACTTGCCTACGCAAAGCGAGTTCATGTCTATCCTCAAAGTATTTACTTAGTATTATGATCAACAAGTTTTAATATATCCCAGGATGCTTAAATACCGATCCAGTAGTATGTTAATTACCGCGTGCCGATTTCTCCACAGCATCAACGCATCAACGAGATGCGGAATATAGGGGAGATTATGCAAGTGGCGTTTCATCTATATGGGGATCGAGGACATAAAAACCTTATCTCTTGATCAGTACTATCCTGCCTCCCGTTGACGCAGACCACAGTCCATAAACTCATGGAACGAGGGAAATTACTGCTGCTGATTCTCCTTTTCATCGAGAAATTTCCATCGTTTCTGAAACACGTAATCCCCCATGCACTCCACTGCCGGTTACCAACCAAGCAGCTGGACAGTCAATGAACGCTAGCATGCAGGCGCCTGTCCTTGATCATGAAACACGCATTGTGGCGAATAAGCATACACACAGCCAACGATCGAATCATAACGGGTGGTCCGGGATATGATGTTTCTAAAATCCATGCTGTCCATGCGTGAAGGAGTACCAGCTCCTGTTTCTTGTATAAGTTGCTGAGTAGCCGTCCTTCAGCGTGGCTTCAAAGATCTCGTTCTTCTTCCTTATGCAACAACCCGTGTTGTCGCTTATTGTCGACCCTTCTCTTCTCAACACTCTTTTCATTTTTCAGACTTATCTTTTGAAAATGCGCAGTTCACTCATTTCTGCTTTTTTCCTCGGTTCACTTGCCGCCCAGGCGGCTGGCAAACGTTCCAGGGGATCATTGTGCAAGTCACTGGTTACTGTCACGGAAACCGTCACCGTGACTGGGCTTCCCCCGCAAACAACAGACACTGTTCCCAGCTCGGCAACTTCTCTCTCTGTGGCACCAACCTCACCATCACC